GCTTGTTGCTGGACTGGCGGATGGGCAGGGGCGGGCGCTTGTCGCCCGAGAGGGAGCGGACGAGGGCGATGACAGCAGCTGTCATTTCGGGGCTGCGGGGATGGTAAGTGCGATAGACGCTCTGGAGGGTCGTGTGAACGAAGCGTGAGGGACGCGCAACATTCAAGCGCTTGTGCAGGATGCTTAGCATGCCGACCAGGTGGACAAAGATGGCCGTCGTCGCAGGGTCGTCCTCGCCGTCGATGGCCTCGTGGACGGTCTTTTCCATGACCTCAAGGACCTTCAGGATGACCTCGCGCGGGTTGCCGAGCTGGGCGATGGTCTCGAGGCACTGCTCGCTCCCCTGGACGGGTACGAGCATCTCTACCAAGTCCCAGCCTATATCCTGGGTGAGATGGGCATCCTGGAGAATTTCGTTGAGCTCGGGCAAGATTTCGGGCGAAAGCACCTCGCCGATGATGGTGAGGTAGGTGAATGTATCGGTCGCGGGTGGCTTGGACTCGCGCAGGGCCTGGAGGCCGTTGGGCTTGTCAGCCACGGCAATAGGGTGATTCGTCGCTTCAATCATGGTTCAACTCGGCACCTCTCTGTCTGTCGCTCGGGTTGGGTGAGAAGAAGTCTGTGCGAAGCGGGCAGAGAGGGAGAGGAAGAATAGCACGAAGAAAAAAGAGAGGCTGCGTCTTCCCAAGTTTCGTCATCGGCGCTGAATGTAGTGAGGCCGGAGAAGAGAACAAGGGTGGGGGGGAGGTCCCAATCCGATTTCTCCCCACCAGCCAATAATATAATTAGCACTTAGCACCTCACCACATTGCAGTTCGCAATGCTAGTGCCCACAAGTGGTAGGTACACTCCACTAGACTAGGTACCTGGGTAGAGGAGATTGAGGCGGGCGATTGCAGCAAGACCCAGAAATGCCACCGGCGGGCTCAGCATGAGAACCCCGCACTAGCCTTGATTCAGTGAGGATGGGGTGGGGACACACTGGATCGTGAGGGAGAGAGAGGGTTGAAGGCACGCTGGAACACCGAGGGTCTCCGCTGGAACTAGAGGCTGCCCCCGCCCTCGGTGCAGACGTGTCAGTGGACGAGTGCAATGAAACCCGGCGGCCATCAGGTCCAGCACAGGCCGGTTCCAGTTGGGGCGGGGAGCAGGCTTGGCGGTGAATGTGCTTGGTGCAGTTCAGCGTCTAATTATGCCCACTGCCAGCATTCTGCGACGGCAGATCTGGGATTTCTCAGGACGGGACACTCAGGAGAGCGGGTGGCAGTGTCATTAATTCATGCAGTACACCGGTTTGCGGCCGACCGGCTCGTGTTTGAATGATGCTTGACATTACTGAGAGCATCCGACTGTTCCTAGTCCCCTCCAATCTGCGGGTCGGCCGGACCCTGGAGGCTCGCTGCGCTGGGGATGCGTTATCGATAACCCAAAGTGGAGGGCCAAGATAGTGGGATGCACTGCGACAACCCCTTGGCGACCGGGGAAGGAGCGAAGTGCGATACGATGAGGCACCATAAGGTACCTTGGTACCTACGATACGATACGATACGATGCCCGTGGCGGATGTACCCTGGATCTGCCAGCGCCTTTGACCCTGCTTGCCTGTCTTGTGTCACTTTCCCTTTGGCACACTCGCCGACAAACAAAAGAGAGAGAGAGAGAGAGAGAGAGAGAGAGAGAGAGAGAGAGAGCCTGTCTTTGGGATGTCAAACCGAGCCAAAGCGGAGAGACGGTAACGCTATATGAGAGTCTCTCCCAGTGACTGTTTCATTTCTTCCGACAGAGGTCATCGTCCGGCGCCATCTGTCAGTCTTTCCCTCTGTCAGTCTATCAGTCTGTCAATCACACACCGGTTCCCCCGCACCGCACCCGCCATCCGTGTCGGTTGCCTTTCTTTCTTGAGGTATCCGTATCTACCTACCTACATAGGTGCGCAGAATACAGTATTGCCGCTGCCCTAGCAAACGGCGGGTCTGGCTGGTGGTGTAAGCTAGGTAAACTTAGGTACCTAACCCAAGTCCAGCGCTTTGCGAGGGGTTCGACAGTCGAGGTACCGCCGCGGTACATGCGTTGTCACACTCCCTCCCCAGCCAGACCCTCACCGCGGGATCCTCCCTCTCTGGCAGAAGTACTCTCTTGTCCCGTCCCATCACATCATCCCATCCTACCAAGAGGGAAATCAGGTGCGCTCCCCGCCCTGCCGCTTGCCCGCTTGCTTACTTGTCTGCCAAACGCCCTCTTACCACACTGCACTCACTACACTTGGACCTGACCGATACTTGCCGACCACAGTGGCAGGCTACAGCCGAACTCAAGTCAACGTCGTGCCGTCTCATCCTGCAACCTCATCTGCTCTTGCGCAGTCTCGCGGAGCCGCTATACTATCCAGCCCTCACTCCCTCCCCCTTCCATGTCTTCTTGCGCTTCACCGCCCCCTCCCACCAGGATGGATAGGTTCTGTCAGCTCCCCCCGGAGCTCCGCGCCGCAGTTGTCGAGCACGTCGTTGACCACTGGCGCCACGGCGATGATTCCGATTCCATCGCCGACTACGCACTCGTCTGCAAGGAGTGGCAGGCCATCGTTGAGCGTTTCAACTTTGCCGTTTTGCGAGTCACCCAGGCCAACCTGGACGACTTCGAGACCGCCATGGTGGGCTCGAGGCGGGGTATCGTGAGGCAGATCAACCTGCACGTCGAGCTGCCCACCTACGACAATGATCCCTGCGAGAAGAAGGAGACCTGGGAGGACAAGGCCGAGAATAATGTCTGCTTCACCCGTGCCTTTTACCGCCTCTTTCATATCATGAGCCGCTGGTCCGCCGACGACGTCGCCAGTGGCGGCATCCACTTTACCCTGAGCATCTCCTCACCCAGCGACCTTCGCAACGCCAACTTTGAGCTGTGGCAACGCCGCAGATGGAACATCAAAGACATTGGAGAGAAGCGCTTCGCCGATTCCTGGATCGACTTTGTCGGCCAGGACGAGGAGTTTGACAGGGTCAACCGCCTGCCCGCCGTCAGTGTCATCCGGACCTTCACCTTGAGCCCCCAGAACCACCGGGCGCTGATGCCCGCCGCCCACGCCGACATCGTTGCGAGACTTCCAGGGCTGCAAGAAGCCTGCTTCGACATCACCAAGGACCGTAAGAAGGAGACGCGTAAAATCCACTTTAACCGTGCGTCGCCCCCCCCCCGTCATCTTATCTTCTTCAAGTGCACGGCGGCTGACCACCCTCGCAGAATTCGCCGGCTCCATGAGCAACTGGCCCATCACGCTCAAGTCGCTTACCATGGCCAGCAACACCATCTCGTCGTGGCGTCAGATCCCCCACGAGGCCCTGGCCGAAGGCGACAGCGGCGCCAAGCTCTGTGAGAGGCTCCGCTCCACCGCTCAGCACCTCAAGCACCTGAACGTCACCAACGTCGTCCGCATACGGGAGTTCCTCCGCCCCCACTGGCCCCTTGGCGCCGACGACACGGAGCCCTTCCTGTCTCATCGTCCCTACTACCCCGAGTTCTGGCACCTCGAGACGCTGTACATCTCTTACGGCTCCATCTGGTACAACACAGAGTGGCACAAGCAGGGCGACAACATCAATGAGTCGTCGGAGCTTGTTGACTTCCGCCAAAACGTCTCGCTCGCAGCCGCTCGGATGGCTTACACGATGCCCCGGCTGAAGCACATGACCGTCAAGCAGCGGCCCCTCATGTGGGCAGGCAAGCACGAGCTCGAGTACAGGGTCGAGGAGGCCAACGAAAAGCCGTCAAAGGCAATGCTCACCTGGACCAGCACCTTTGATTTCAAGCCGTGGGAGCGGACCGTCGAGGCGTGGACCGAGGTGGCAGCCCGGTATGCCGGGGTGAAGCTCGAGTCTCGCATCAAGTCCGCGGCGTGGCATACGGATGGCAGAGCGCCCCTGCTGCCATCTCTCACCTTTTAATTTCGATCTTGGGTTCAATATACGGAGGGGAGGGGGGTTGTTTGTCTTTTTCTCTTTTCCGAGGGGGCTGGGTTTTTCCTCTTTTTTTCCTTCTTGATTCTTTAGCGTCGTCGGGTCCGTTTTGGTAACACTCTCTCATTACACTTGGTTCACGATACCCGGGTTTTAGACCATTTTTCACGGCGTCAGGCATATGGTAGGCAACGGCATCAGGCGGGCTACGACAGATAGGAAAGCAAGGCCCGTTCGAAAGAGGTGCGGCACACATTGCGTACACCGCGGCCGGCGTACTTCGGCCTCATTTCTACCTAGATAGACTCGTCGAATGAACAGCAGCACACGACATTTCACAACAACCCATGGTTCATTGTCCTTTTTTTTGTGCTTGATCCCGCGGCCCTACCCTGCCCAGCCTCGCGAGGGGGTTGTCACGATTCAGGATGATATGGTTTCTGCTACAAGTTGCAGAGGCCATCGATTGCCCCGTGCCCCCGCGACCCCCCCTCCCCCCTCCTCCCCTTCTCCGGCGCCGTCCCAGCACAAGTAGGGCTGGAGTGAGTTCGCCAGCAAAGAGCCAGTGGGCGAGGCCGCGTTGGCAGTGTGAACGGCGGGGCGACATATCCGGCGCGGGCAAACACTCGATGGGGCGACGAGGGGCAGGCATCGCCATATTTCATCTCAACTCTGTGTGTGTGTGTGTGATGCGATAGACGAGATAAGACTAGACGGTTCAGGATTTCTTCCGATTGTGTTCCACGGTGTTGATAGTTCACTTTTTGTTCATTTTCTTCGTCTACATGCTACAATAGTGGTAGAGGCTGGGTACGATTAAGGTAACCCCACCCTCCCCTACCTCCCAAAGAACGCCGTGTTGCCCGTAACGCCCATGACTTAAACAAACCCTCCCTCCCACTGGCCTGACCTTGATAGAGTACATGTCAACGGACAAATTGATCACATCTACATCGAATGTGTGTGTGTGTGTGGATGTGTGTATGCTTTTAATTCCAAATCCGGAAACCCTCGAGGGGGGTTTCGTCGTGTGCGTGCGTCTCCCGCTTACTCATCGTCGTCGTCGTCCTCGACGTAGTGGCCGGACTTGCCGCCCCAGCTGTAGCGCTTGCGGGTGCGCAGCATCCAGCTCCAGTGGGCCCAGGGGTCCTCGGCGAGCTTGGTCATCTCGATGACGTCGCCGTGGCCCTCCCAGTGGGTGGTGAGGCCGGCCTCGATGGCAAGGCGGGCGTACTTTGTGGCGATCCAGGGCTCGCCGATGCCGTTGTACTCGATGGCGGCGAGGGTGTAGGCCTCGCTGAGCAGGCTCCAGTGCTGCTCCTGCTCGTAGAGGGAGATGAGCAGCTCGGCCATCTCGGGGGTGGCGCGGGAGGCGGGCGTGTAGTCGTTGAACTCCTCGCGCAGGGCGGCGATCTGCTCCATGCGGCGGTCCGATTCCTCCGTCTTGAGGCGGTGCTGCATGCAGTGGTGGCAGGAGCAGTGGAAGCCCCAAGTCGAGTGCAGGCGCTCGCGGCGGGCCTCACGTGACTGCATCGGGTCGATGTACGAGAGCGTCAGCTCCTCGCCGGGGATGATGTCGCGGAGGGCGACGGTGCGCTGCGTCAGCGTGCGCGGGTCGAAAAAGTAGTCCACGTTAGGGCGGCAGTCGTGGTTCATGCGGGAGGCTGAGTGTGTTAGTGTGTGTGTGTGTGTGTGTGTTGGGGGTTTACTGTCTGGTAAGGGGGACATACTGTTGACGAAGACGGCGTAAAAGTCGTCATCGCGCTTGTCGTCCATCTCGACATCAAAAGAGTTGGTGATGAGGATCTTGTCGACCATGGAGATGTGGTCGCCCTGGTAGCCGTGGCTCGACATGTTGAGCCACTCGCCGCGGTGGTGGAAGGGGAGGTAGTCGATGGCTTGGGCCTGCAACTCGCGCATGTCTTCGGGGGGATGTGTGTGAAAGCGGAGTAGTCGATGAGCAGGCTGGCTGTCTCACGGAGGATGACCTCGCCGCGGCGGATGGGCACCGTGGCCACGAGGCCGTAGTCCTTGCCGGGGATCTTGGCTACCTCGAACTTGGGCAGCGGCTGGTTGGCGCCCTCGAGATCCTCGGGATGCGTGAAGCCCCGGGAGCGGGTGATGTGGGCTGCGCGGTCGGCGTCGGTGATGATGGAGATGCCCTTGCCCGACGCGTAGCTGGCGGCGTGGTAGATGCAGTACTTGGGGCTGTCGGTGCTGTTCTTGAAGCAGGGGCTCGAGTGCGTCCACACCGAGTGCGAGGGGGACGAGGATGTGAAGGGGGATGACGTGCCCGCCAAGGGGAATTGCTGGTCCCCGCGGTCATTGTAGAAGAGGCCCGAGCCGTCCTTGTTGTTGCGACAGACGAATTCGCCCGACGAGGCGGCGAGCAGCTGTGACGAGATGCACATCTCGCCGGAGCCCGATGACATGATCTTGGAGTCCCGGAAGGCGAGGGCAGAGCCTGCGCCCAGGAGCACGAGTGAGGCCTTCATGATGGCGACGAAGAAGGAGCGGTATCAGCGAAGAGAACGAAGGGAAAGAAGAGAAGAAGAAATAATAAGAGCCTCGGTTGTGATCTACACAAGCACGAATAGGGAGAAGCGAGAAGAAGACGAAACCCCGCTTAAGAAACCACAGGAAAGAAAGAGGGATGGAGGCGAAGAGAAGTGGAGGGAGATGGAGGACGACGCTACTTTCGTCCCATTGATATACATATATATATGTATATATATGACAGTCTGGTGTTTCTCAGGGACTCCAGGTTGAGCGAGGGCGGGTACCACGGGACTTTTCGTATTAAATATCCCCGTGCAATCTCGATAGGGGAAAAAACAAAGAGCAAACAGAAGGGCCTCTGTGGCTGCGCCCCCGGCTTTGAAGCATGCCTGCTGCGGGACGGCAGGGCTCGAGCTCGACACAGGCTAGACCAGTGTTTGGGATGTTCGTGGGGGAGCGGGTGTGTGGGTCAGGTGAAAGAGACGAGATACGATAGTTGGTTATGCGCGCGCGCATGCGCGCTCTGCGAGTGCGGTACTTACTACTAGTAGACGTGACAAGCAAGGCCCGCGATGCTTGGCCAGACCCGCATCCCTGGAAACGCAGACCTGGACCGCCTTGTTTGTGCCCATCCATGGGATTCGGGAATGCGCAACCGAGTCTCTCTCGTGTGTGGCTCTATGTTTCTTGTAAAATACTACCACTGTCCCTTACCTACAGCGGTAGGAGGGCACCTAGGTATTGTACGGTACGCACTACGTATCGCAGTATGTGTATAGTACGTATCATGGTATGTAGATATGTGCCTGACTGGCCTCCTCTGGCTCGGCGGCCTGATAGTCTAAACGGTCTGGTCTGATTACCCGGGTTGCGTAGCGGTTTGGCCCGATGTTGTCTTTATGCCGTCGAGCCGTAGCCAGCTGGCCGGTTGGTTGCACACCACCCCCATGGCGACTTCAAGATGCGCGGGGAACTTGCCTTGAAGACAGGTCGCCTTGCGACGAGGGAAAGTATAAGCGAATTAGGAACCAAAGGACAATCCCCATTGGATGCTGCCATTGTTTGACCCCTGCGGTTGCGCACTACACCACGGTAGTGATGTGATGAGCGGTGGTGCTGTGTGCAGTGATGTGCAAATAAGCCCACGCGTGATGGAATGTTTCTTGTGACAAGACCCCGGCGGTTGATGGGCGTGTCCAGGGGCCTGTGCGTCGTGTGTCAGATGTGTTGCAGGAGCTCTCTAATGGGTGGGGAAACCCCCCTCCCTGTCAGGGGCTACAATACCACACACGTACCTACTTACCTACCTGCGCAGGTCGCCTACGTAGCAGTAAGGTAAGATTGAAAAAAAAGAAGCGGCGGCGTCGCAGAAGCAGCAGAGGCAGGGACTAAGAGACGGAGAAACGGGCGATGTTTTGGCATCAGGCAAAACAAGTCGAGAGACACCACACTGATCAGCGGGGGAAACGGCCTGGGAGCCTCAGTCACGCCCCATGCCTCTTCAACCTCTCCTCCTCCTCCTCCTTCATTTTCCTCCCCCCCGTACCCCTGGCTTTGACCCAAAGAACAATCTTCTATGCATATTTTGTATGTGATGTGTGTGTGTGTGTGTAGTGGAGGTGTTTCTAACTACTTTCGTGGGCTTATTATCGTGGGAGGGTTCCACGCCGCCGGAAGGGGAAAGTCGGCAGGACGCAGAGGGAAAACATTCCGACAGGCTCATTGATCGAATAGAGTTAAGTTTCGGTTGATGCGGCGTGTGTGTTTGTATGTGTGTTTTCTGAGTTCCCCCGAGGCCGTTTCCCTCGATTGGAACAGATTGGGTTTGGCTGCTTGGACCAAACCACCCTACACACCCAAACGTCGAGGATGCATTCCCGGCAACCCGGTGTGCCATCGTGGCGAACAACAGAAAAGAAGAAAAGGAAAGAAGAAAAAAGAAGAAAAAAAATCCGCGGCACGATATCAGAACTGAGGCGCTTCGCGCGTCATCTGGCTCGCGATACAGGACTCAGGTCGCGCTTCTTCCAAACATATCCTTACTTCACAAATAGCCCTGACGCTGCCCCCCTCGCCGTCCGTGGCGCCGCGCCTGGTCGTGCTTGCGTGCAGGGGGGGATTCCTCCGTCGTCCGAAAACAACGTCTCATTTTATTTCTTCGTCTTCTCCTCCTCCCCGGGTTATCGTGGGTTGGCCGGTTGCCGTATATCCGCGAGGGTTTCGTCGCATCAGTGGCCCGTTCGGAACACCGCTACCGGGCGCCAAGATGGGAGTCATCAGACGGGCTCCTCCCTATCCCCTCTTAGTCGGAGACTTTTACCTCTGGCCAGGCTCCGCATGTCAATCGGACTACGCGGGTTATCCGGGCAAACGGTCACGCAGCCTTTCGCCCTCAACGTTAGTCTCGTCGTTGGCGCTGCTCGTCCGCGGCGGCGCTGAACCAACACAGCTCGACCCGAAACCTTGGGCCCCGAAGCATCGCTTCTGGCCTCGCCCAAGACACGTGTTCGTCATCATCCACCTCTGCACCACGCCCTCCCAATTACTTCGCGCATCATGGTGGTAACCCGGCCTGGCCGTACACCGACGTCCCACTTTCTGTTACGGCACGCCATACTCTTGCCCGCGGCCGCCGTGTTCCCGTTTTTGAGGTACCCCACGTGGTCGGGTAACAAGAGCGTCGTCGTCCGGCCGGGAAATCATGCCGTAGTATGTCGCCATCTCGACCCAGATCCCAACCATCGGGCCGTGGACGACGGACTTGTCGCGGCTTGTATTGTAACGTAGTGAGGCTCGCAGACGGTATGCTATGTTCTATTGATCGAGTAGTTCGAGACGTGTCAGGAGTTGAGGATTCGCCTCCTCGGCCAGGTCCGTTGGCTGACCCCATCTGGCCCCGATCGTGCAAGAAGTACGGCTCCCCGCCTGGAACGGACAGGTGGACAGTGCTAGTGGCCTTGGCCGGTCCAAAAGGCTGTCGGCAAGCGCACTAGCTTTCCGTTAATGTTTTCTCTGGCCTGGCGCATGCTTCTCCATGTCGGCAAAAGACTGACCATCAGCAACCTCCACCTACGGGCAAGTACTTTTCAGCATAAACCCGTGCTGGTTGCTTGACCAAGTGCAAGCTTGTGGAACAGCCGACCTTTGCCGGTAGGCCTACTAGTAGCTCAACAGCATGAGCAGCGTCCACAGCCTATCGGCCGACGGGTGCTCCGACCAGTCCAGCGTGCCCCTCGCGACCGCGTCGTCGTACTCCATGGCCTCGGAGAGGTTCTTCATGGACCTTGTGGAGACCCCGCTTCTGGATCCCCTCTTGTGTTCTCCGGCCCGAGTTGGGCGGCCCGGGGAATACGTTTTCCGTCTAGCGATTGCTGTGCCATCGTCGGCGCGAAGGTAGCCCACCCCCCTTCTCCGCAGGTAGTGGAACAGGGCTGGCTCCCACGGATTGGTGAGGGTCGCGAGAAGGCGGTAGCCTAGAGACGTGCGGATCGATGCCCGTGAACATGCTGCCACGGGACTACGCGCAAACCGAGGCGTGGATGAAGCGGTTCCTGAAGCAGTCAATGGAGGGGCGTCTTGACTATGTCTCATGGGCCAGGGACGAATCCTTCTGCGAGTAAGCGACTATGGTCGTGTTCTTGTCGAGATCCCGGCGAGTCATGGTCGAGCTGATCAGGCACGAAGAACTGATGAAGTTTGGCCTGTCCACTTTCAACTTGCTGGAGATGTCGGGCTTGCCTGTGGAGGTGAGGAAGATCTGCGATGAGAACGCCATCGTGAGCGGTAATACGAAAAGCCTCTCGAGGTGATGAAGCTCGAACTTCCGTGGACCGGCTTGGGCTGAGCGGATGTGGGGAGACCAGATACGGGCCGCTCCCGGGAAACGAGATCAGCGACGACACACAGATCGAGTCCCGCCAAGGGGGATCCCCACAAGAATGCCATGGTAGCAAAACAGCTCATCCTCACGTGCGAGCCCCCAACGAGGCGACGTTGCGCCGCCGTTCATCACCGTCACCTGGGCAAGGTTCCGGCCTCGTGTGGAATGTGGGCATGGGGAAAGGAAGGGGCCATGCACGTGTGTATTGCCGGCGGTAGGCGTGATCGCCGTCGATCTTGCCCACCACGGCTGCGTGTCCCGAACGATTGCCCGGGGTGGCTGCCCGAGGCAGGCATCGGGCAATTGACCGACGGCCTCGGAACTTTGGAGCGCGAGGATCTGTTGTTCTCCGGGCTAGCCCTCAGACGGACGAGGCAGCAGCTTGCCGTCCCGCACACGGCTGCTCGTCCTGATCCCGGAGAACAGCTTGGCCGACGAGGACCTGCCGACGGGAAACATGCACAGGAAACGAAATGTCGCAGGAAAGGGCGATACTACACTCGGGAAGCCATAATCACCGGCTATATTTAAGAAGTGTGAGACGAAGGAAATTATACAGTATTGAAATAAACAAATATTCCACAACCCGGCATTGGGCCTTCACCCACAAGGTGGTTCCTGTTTTCGTTCACACCGCGGGACAGGCTTCCCAGGGTGGTCGTTAGATTTATATACGTAATTGTTGCGCCCAGTTCCGCATCGCCATGTCGATGCACGATAACTCCACAGAACACTGGCCGATCCTCTGTTTATGGATCATGCATTGATCAAAGTGAATCGGTGCGCAGGGTATAAAGGTGTGTCGTCCAACGCCATGCCATGTCGAGAAAGATGCTGAATAGTTTGTTTGTACAGCGGGTGCCCATCCGTACAGTTCGAAAGGTATTGTCCGGGCATTTGGGACATTTGAAAGGGTTGCATGGGTATGCATGCTTAGTTGTTGCGCTCCTTCTCACGCAGGCCGCCGATGGAGTCCATGTCGACAGAGTAGAACTGCGACTTGCTATCCTTCTCGTAGGCGGGCAGCTGCTCATCGCGGACGGGCTCGAGGCCGACGGAGCCGCCGTCACCGACGCGAACGACCAGCACGCGGCCACTCTTGGGGCGACCGCCCTCGTCCTGCTCGTCGGGGAAGGTGATGTGGATCTCGGGGACGTTGTCGGGGGAGTGAGGGGCGGACCGAGGGTTCTGGAGCATGGGCGAGCGTCCTTCATGGCCGATGTACAGAACACTTGAGCGGCCGTCCTGGCTTGTCTGGATGGTGAGGTTGTGGTGGTTGCGGGGGACGCCCTTCACCTCTTGGTAGGTGGGAAGAGTGTCTTGCCGTTGTTGTCTGCGCATGCGGCGCATGAGGAAGAGTGTGGAGACTAGGAGGAGGGCGAAGAAGATCAACGCCATGACGACGATCATGAGGTTAAGCATGACGCCGTTGTCGTCGCTACGGCGGACGACGCCCGAGGCGCTGCGGGAAACGAGATTCTGGATAGAAGGCATCGCGAGTTGTTCGTGAAATGGCCCTGATTACTACTGCGGCATGTGCCTCCTTTGGCTCGAGAGTAAGTCGTCCTAGTTCGGTGGGATGGAGCGATATTCAGTGTAATTATGATTAACGAGAAGACGACTGTGACGGGCGGTTAGCATCGCGAAAGGGGCTTGCTGTGCGAGGTTCGGAAGTCTGCTAAGACAATCTGGAACACTGGCAGGCGAAGATTGGGGAAAAGGGGACCCTGTTCCGGAGCTCCCTTTTTCCCACCGGCCAGCGCAGCAGATGTCCTCGTGGGATCGGACAGGGGCGGAGCAGAACGGACGTACGCAAGGGATTAAGTCGTCTCTCTGCAGGGCCGTCGCGGAAAGTCGTGAAGAACGCACTTGTTTCTGGTTGTCCGTGTGTATTTTTGGGCTTTGGTGTTTGGGTGGGGCAGAGACGTAGGTAGTAGCGAGCGGGATTAACGAAAGGACGGAAAACGCAGCCGAGTGAATGTAAGCCGGAATTCCAAAGGGGGGGGGGGGAGGGCGATATTAGAGAATGACTGGAAAAATGGTAAGTAACCAAAGGTAAAGAGCGAGTGACAACACACGATCCTGCTAACGTACAGCAAGGACGACGACGATTGAACAAAGTTGTTGAAGAAGAAGGGGGGAAGAGGAGGAGAAGAAGTCGGGACGGGGAGGAGGAAGGATATGTCGTGGAAATGAATGAGCAGGGATGTTTTTTTGGCAGGCTTGCAAGCCGTCTTGGGACTGGGCAGCGGGCGGTGGCCGCCTCCACGACTCCACGCCTCCCGGCCAGCCAGAGAGCCAGTGGGAATTAGACGCTTCGGAGTAACTCGCGCGATGGAACCTTTCCCTTCTCGGCATTGCCACTACTCCGTACATCATCCAAGGATAAGGCGGTTACTGTATACTGCATGGCAGATGGCATAGTACACACGGTACAGCACAGCACAGCACAGTACAGTACTGCACAACACAATTCGATACAGCACAGTACAGCATAGCACAGCACACAGCACATGGCGAGGTGGGCGACACGCCGGTTCGTGATCGCAGATTGGGTTCTCCCTAGGCGCTCCGTCTCCCCCCCGGACAACGTCACATTGTTGACATGGGGCCGGGCCAGCACGGGAAAAAAGGGGGGCTGCATTGGTTCTGGCCCTGTATTCATTGGCACCGCCAGCCGATAGCAGAAGCTCCGAGAAGAGGAGATGAAGTATCGGACGGCAGCCCTCCAAAAGGAACCACTGTATCCGTACTTCGTACCTACAGGTAGTATGCATACGCGCCTTTCATGGAATAGCCCCATCGTCTGTTGGCGAGGTGGGACCTGGACCGGGCCAGATCTCCATTCTGGCGAGCACAGCCCACGCAGTGATTTGGACGGATTCGGTATGGTACCAAGCAACGCTCCAGATTGACAGGCGCGGACGATTCGTCGACGGCCAGATGCAATTTCCCTCACTGACCAATGGGGGTGGATTGTTCCTGGTATAAGTGGGACTCTACCGGGCGCCTCCTTGAAACGGGGCGGATTATTGGGCGGCCGTTGGTCGTTTGTGAACTAAGCTCATTGACCCCCTGCAAGGGGGCTCTTAGTCCGTGAGCTCGTGAGCCAACCCGAGAGCGAGCCCCTGGCTCCTGCGTGCCTATTCCTTCCTGTTCCTGGATCCTACACTATTACCCCCAATCTTACACTACTACCTACCTCGGTACCTACCTACTCAGTACTGTACCAATACAGTATACTGCGTAGTATGCACTTACCTCCTCTGCTCTGCTAGGTAGTGCCTTCTCTTTCCAAGCCTGGACGGGACTGGAGCGCTGCGACGAAAAGCTGGGACTCCCCTTTTCTCGTGCAATCTGGACTCGCAAATCAGCATTCACCGCTGGCCCTCGATTGGTGGGGACGTTGCATACCGGTACTATTTTATGTACAGGTAGTTTACAACGAACACGCTTTAGCGTTGTGATGACATCCATTTCGGGAACCGAGGTACCCCCGCCCGTCAGCAATAATTCTCAGGCTGCGTGGCGGCGACAAATTATCGGCATGAACAGCAACGCAGCGTCTAACGGCCAACGGAACGGGGGTGGCTTTGAGATTGAGCATTACCGAACCTCCTTCCCATGCCTCCTCTCCCATCGCCTCCCGCCTCTTCCGCCCACTCCATGGACCGACTCGACTGTCTGTCTCCGACCTCAACCTCGTCCTCGACCTCGCCCAGTTCTGCGGGAACCATGATGCTGTGGCGCTTGGTGCATTCCCTCTTGGCCCCGTGATCCCTCTCCCCCGTTCAACTCCTCGCCCGTCGTCGATTAACGGAGCCTAACGTATGTATGTGCCGATTTACGTTTGCCCTCCCAGGGAGACACCCACGAACAATGTCAGATCACGCTTGCTAACTCCCTCTCGACCCCAGAAATAGCCATATTAGAGTCGAGGCTTGTGGAGCACGGCCCACCCTGTCAACTCCCAGCGTTGCCCTACGCCACGAGATTACGGCCAGCTCGCAGATGGGCTCTTTCAACGACGTGCACGCATCGAGTGCTATCGCACATGTGGTCCTGCCGCCGCCCTACCTAGTCGAGCCAGAGCTTTCCCTTCCGGCTCCGACATCCGGGCTGCTGTTGTCGCAGGTCTTCCCTTTTAGGCACACCTAGGAGATTCCCTGGAATTACTAATGCCCCTTGGAGACAAACGAGAGAGCTGCTCATCTCGGTTGTTATGAACCACGTTGCGCTGTGCAAGGCAGCGACCACCTCTTATCCCTCAACTCATGCCGACCCATACCCAGTGCAACATTGACGGCTTGTCGCCGAACACCGAACATACCGAACCCGTGCTCGTTCCTGCTCTGTGGCTTACGCCTCTCTGGGCGCCCGAGGCGTGGCGTCAGCTCGACCGATTCACAAGACGCCACAGCAAGCGGGCTGACGCCCTTCCCTTAAGCCCAGATCAGATCGCCGTTACTAAATGGCACATCATCCGCATAGTCATTTGTGACTACTCGTACTCACTCTATGGACCGTGTTGCCCAGCTATTCACCTACCAGCCCACCACATCAAAGGTGGTCGCTTCCCCGCACCGACGACAGAGACAGGGAAAGCACCCGGTCTAGCTCTGTTTTCAGACCCAACGGAATGCCCATATCAGTATCACCTTGGCCCTCACCAAACCGTCGCTCAGAGATTCGATAACGCCGACGCCAATTGTGGCCCTCGGACAGTAACATTGCACCTTCGGAGTGATTTGAGATGGCTCCTGCACAGAGGAGCTCTTCGGTCGTTATTCTGCCCACCAGCTTCGGCTCGCGAAAACGAGGCAGCCCGTGATGCCGCAACGATTGTCGAGTGCGAGACAGCTTCAGGGGCATGGCGAAACCACGGTATAGGCGGGCATGGTTTAACTTGACGCAGGCCTCTGCGAGACGCCAGCATGCTTCGCCCCGACCCCGGCGAACAGACACCACAGCTAAGTATGCGGTTGAACGAACGGCCGCGAAGCTTTGCGCATCAACCATCAGAACGCGGAACGGAGATCCGACTGGCATGCGACTACAGCCCTGCTATGACAGCCACCGAGACACCAGGTGGCAGTGCCTGTTGGCGACATACAGCAGCATCCTCTCGACCTCTGGCTTGCGAAGCACCAGTGCTTGCTTGAGTTACCCCGGATGCAGCTATCCGCTGCGATACATCGAAAACCTCGTCGTTGCCACTTGAGCATATCGTGTCGGACTCGTCTTCCAGACTAACCATGGCGGAGGTGGTGCGGCACTTTTTTCGGCGGTGCTTCAAGTGAACCCAAATTTGAAAGATGCCTGAGATAATGCCCCTCTATTCACGGCGCTTGGGAGGAGCAGCCACGTATGGATATTTGGCGGGAAACATTGACGTCACACAGCGACGAGCGACGACTGCAAGATCGGACTGCCGGCCGCCCCAGATGTCTCGGCCTGACTTGCTGGCAATGCCCACTGTTGACATGCAAGCCCAGTTGGCTCACGCTAAAAAGCAAACATAAGGCGGTCAGCGATGTGGCTGGTCACCGAGACCGTTTGTAACCAGCGAATGATTTCGGTTTCCCTCAGCAGCAGACGAGACCTTTGTGAAAACCCTGACGCTTCCTTCTACACGGACAGACGCACCCTTGACAACTCACGCTGCACGTCCCGGAGTTTGCCCTTAACAGCACTACTCTGTACGTTCACAATGACTAGCATGAGGGGTTGAACAACCCCGATTCGTAATGGCCAGGCAGCGACTTTCCCGGGCGATTGTGCATTGTACGAGTGACCGATTTTCAGGCAGGCCATAACGGATGTGTCTCGGTTTGCTTTTCCTCCAGGCCTCTACGAATCAACTCGCGACGCCAGTTGACGCCAGTGACACCAGGCCCAAGAGCTCGGCGGGGATACCATGGATCCTTGCGGCCGCATCTTCAGCAGTAGGATCACCCTAGCTTCAAGTGCCATATGTGGAAGCAGAGCGCTGCCCCCCAATCACTTCCAGATGAGCAACAGGTGCAGGTGTTGCACCGCCTAATAAGAAAGCAAGAGCATCTCTCATGGGCAATATCTCAATGAAAGCCCCGCGAGGTGGTGTGTGGCCTAGCAACAGAGCAACGCAGCCTAAAGCAATTTGATGTCCTCATGCAACATTGTACAAATGCCAGGTTGCCGTCATGCCATAGGTAAGGCCGGACGACGATGGCTGGCTCCGATGTCGTAGCCGCCGTTTTGTCACCCCTTCTTCTACTACCTCTTTACCTCTTGTTCTTCTTTTTTCCCCCTCCCCATCTGCCTTTCAATGGTCTTTTCTTTTCCCTCCTCTCTTCTTCCTTATATTTATAGCTGCCTCAAGTGCTACCATCCAATGATTGACTTGCTGTCCCGGAGCATCAAGGCAATAAAAAGTTTGACGGACCAAGCCGCCAGGAGTCAACAAACACGGGTAGCCCCTTGAATCGGCAGAGTTGAAACACTGAAACAACGACGTCCCCGCAGGAGTGGAATTCAATCCGGGGTCCAACATCGGGCATGCATCCTTGAGAGAATAGAAGAGGCCACGAGGCGCAGTTCCAAGTTTCAAGAAATCCCCGCAACACCCGAGAGAAGCACTCCGGACTCCGAACGTGGCAGCCTCTCTCTTGAACAGCGGATCGTAAGGCATATGATGATTGAAGGCTGAGTACTGAGGTCGCACCTGTGAGATGGCGCAAAGCGACGCACGGCAAAGGCTGCAGGCACTTGCTTTACCTAGAGGCTGTGTGATAAGAGGACGAGCGTTTGGGGGTCACAGCACACTCATGACATGAAAGAAAACACTCCACGAAACATTTTAACCTCATGACAGAGAACCACCCCGCCCCGACAACACGGTTGCCTCGGGACCGGCTTGTCTTTGACATTGTTAAGGGGTCGAGGGGCCGCACCCAGTCACGGTGTGACGCTGCGCAAGAGTCCAGTCATCGGACATGCAAACTACTTAGCGACATAAGGGCGGCGGTAACGGCTTGGCGCGCGCGCGCGCGTGCGCGGATGCTTAAAACAAGGCCTTCCCAAGGCGGCGCCTCAAGTTACTATTACTACTTTTGTTCTTGGTTGCGATACTAAGCCGACCGATGTGGGTTTGACAGGGCGCTTTGGGACGGGAGAGCCCCAGGCCAAAAGTGCCGGGCCCGTGGACCGGTTCGTACCAAGCGGGAAGGTCGAACAGCTCATTTGATCAGCCGAGGGAGGGCTACGCACATACCGGCGCGCACGTCAGCTAGATTACCACATTCCGGTCCAGAGTCTCGAGAGACAAGCTTGACGAGATATGGCAGCAGCCATGTTCCAGGAGCTTGGCGTGCCGGGTGCGCCGCAGTTTGTCTTCAACTCGGTGATGGTGTCACATCCACCACCCGCTGCTCTCCTTTGGGACGACAGAGGAAAAGGGGCGAGGTGCGGCCAAACCATTGACTCGGCATGCGACGAGCGAGGATGACATTAGCTTTTTCTTTTCTTTTCTTTTTTCTTTCAAATTGATAACTTGGCTTTTCGTCATCCCTTCTTGGGGACCCGTCTTGTTGATGGCGGCAAAGCAATGATACTTTGTCGATGCAGCGACTAACCTGGGTCGGCTGTTCCAAGAGGTCTATTTTATCATACTGGAAAGCACGCACCATGATCTAGACCCTTCCAACGAATGACCCAGGTCCGACGAGCCATGTACCTTTAGGCTTTCGATGACCCGACAGGAACAGACAGTCACAGAGATTGGCTGCGTTGCATTGCCTTGTACCAAAGCAACCACTTTGCGTACTGCCAGTTCTCCCTCTGGTAGACCGAGCTCTACAAGCATGCAGAGGGGCTTGTATCCAAGCAACCACGAGGCGAACCACACGGCCTTGAATAGCAGTAGTTTTCCTTTTCACGACATTGACCCACTCCTTTTGGAGAGCAAGCACTGTTCTTTTCGGGCCAAGGCGAGGCGATACAGCACGAGGCAGTCAGTCGGCACGCAACATGCGGAAGATGATTTGAGTGTCGCCTCTCGGCGCACCTTACTGAACACTCCCCTGTACATGTCAAAGGACACAAGACAGAAGCCGAGGGAGGAAGCTGCAACCCTTCTTTCGTTTTGGTTTTCGAGTTCAAGCACCGTTGCCGCCCAAGAGGTATATATCGCCGCCCCCTGACCCTGATTCTCCACGCCCCCCGGACAGCAAGCAAGAGTCGAAACGACGCAACACGGCACGGCGCAGAGACAGCAGGACACCAATGCATGCATGCCCTCCCGCCTTGGTAGATCCGGTGTCCTGGCAGTTGGTGGCGACCTCTCCAAGCCAAGCTTCGAGCGAGGCGCCATCAACTCTAGCCTCCAGGCGGTGGCTGCAACGACGACGACGATAACGGCAACGACAACGGCGACGAGCAGTTTGCTCGTTCACACAAGGCGAGGAAACAAACCAAACAGCTGCGGCTGGCTGCTCGTCGTCTTCGGGCACTCTCTTACCCAACGATCCATCCGGCTGCTGCAGAGTTGTGGCCCCGTGCGCCCACCCCTGGCTCAAGCAAGCTTCTTCACGTCGACCCTCCCGAAAAGGTGCTGCGGCTCACTAAGTAGCGTGAGCTCCTCTGTTGCGAATGAAGCGACGGCTTCGGGTTAATATCGCTAGGCTAGGCAATTGTACCATCCGCGGATTCACTTGGAGACGATACAGCAACGCAAACCACCCGCTCGGCAATCAATCGCAGGCGCGGGCTTGTCTCTCAATAGCAGCCGTCCCTTGCCAGTGTCGTTTCTCCTGCACTGATCTCCGGTCAGCGCCAGCCAGATGTACGGGATAACGTGTTCTTAAGAGACAGCATGCAGTATCCGTTTGCTTTCCGAGAGAGACGAGACTGCAAGCTGCCCTCAGGCGCACGCTGGAAACATCTCTCTCTCTCTCTCTCTCTTTCGCTCCCATGGCTCCGTCGAGCTTCCGAGCAGGCAGACCCCCGTCGGACGCTAAAAAGGCGACAGACCCCCCTTCTTCTTCTCCTCCGGCGGACGGGTCTTTCTGCTCTTAACTTGACTCGTCCTAGCGCCTGCCCTGTCCGCCGCCTTTCCCCGCTTGGATTTGCCTGCGCATCGTTCAGCCCAGATTCTCCCAGGCCTAACTAAGCCTTGGACCGCCAACAGTACCCAGTGTGTTGTACTCTCGCACTTTGTTGAGAGAGAGAGAGAGAGAGAGAGAGAGGCTCATCAGTTTCTGCTGTGATAGCGCGCCATACATCACGCATCGACTGGAGTGCCGGCAAAAACGACGATGCCATGGATCGACGGAAATTCGTTTTCTCATATTCGCCCTGCACTCGCCGTCGCACCGCACGAGGTCTCGCGACGGCGACTCTTGCCATTCTCGTCGTCCCAGGACAGGCAGGACCTGCACCAATCTGTTCTCGTGTCTCAAATTGACATGCAGCTAGCTCTGCTTTCGTGCGATCCAGCACGCCACGCCCGTACGAAGCTCTAGCCACGGGTGCGTGTTGCCTGTGCCTGGCCTTGTTCCATCTGGTCTGGCCTACCTGTTTGATTCTGTTGATCCCATCTGTCTCCTCTGTCCCCTCGCTCGGCAGCGGCCCACACTCGCGGCTCCGCGCGTTGCATTTCATCCGCATTCTCGCCTCGGCCAGTGTAATAACACAGCTGGGGCGCGCATTCTCCTGGCCTGAGGATTCTCTGGGGCAGATAGGTGTGGACGCACCGCGGCAGCATCATATACACATTTCTACCTGGACGACTGGGCCTGTGTCTCTCTGTTCGATTTGCTGTAAGATTGCAGGCTGCACAAACGTAACACCCCTGAACAACCCCCCCCCATTCGTCTGTATCCTGTTGAGTGGGCATTTCCAGCCATTCAAGTCGGACAGCCGTCTGCAGCTCATGATGCATCTGCGGGGCGAGAAGTGCATCGCGTATCTGGTAAATCAGCACCAGCAGCACCAGTACCAGATCCCTCAAAGCTTGTTAAGAGGGTTCATTTCGGTTTCGGTACACACGTCTACAAGGTCCTTTCGGCATTCAAGGTCGGTGTACTTTTGACTTGCCTGCTTTGGCCTTACCCTGCCGAGGTAACCCAAAGTACCTCGCCTTGCGGGTTTGGTACAATTGCAACAACATCAACATCTATCTCTCCCTGTCGTGCCTGTGGCCAGCCGTCGGAGGCCAATGGCAAACCACCATCCCATTCCAGAGGAGCAGAGAAAAGAAGGGCACCAGAGGCATCTCGTCGCACCCGTACATCCATTGAATCTCCCGCCGTCTCCATCTTTATTATCTTGAGCTGCGCCTCGTCACGGGCTCCCTCCTCTCTGTTCTCTTCTCTTTCTTTTCCTCCTCCTCTTTCCTCCTCCTCTTTCCTCCTTCGTGCCCAACGTCTCGCCCGCTTTCTCCATCCTCGCATCTTATTTCCTTTTTGCCTATATATCCTATGCCTGTTAGGGCCATCTCGTCGAGTCTGCCGGACCCTACCCTACCCTACCCTACCCTGAGAAGATATTTTGCCTGTGGAAGACCGGACGATAGTAGTTACAAAGCCCAAACATAGACCGCACGCACACGACATAGGACAGCCAAGACGCACACACACACGCGACAGGTTGCGTACGCCCCTCGTCCCGACCTCTTTCGACGTTTCGAACCCTGGGGGCTCTGTACATGCCCCGTGGACGCACCCGACACCTTCTGGTGCGTTGTCCTCCAGTCTCTCTATTGCTCTTCACCGCTGCGAGGCCGCTCGACCGCTCTTCTGAATCTCGAGAGTCTGGCTCCGAGTCGACTAAGCTTGCAGCTGCATCCAAGAGGCATCATCGAGTTTCCGGTTTGCCAGTGGCTCGGTACACCGTATGATTGGACGTCTACATTGTCCGCCTCCACTGCCGATACGATCGGTACCTCTTTGCGCCCCAGCCCTCAGCTGTACATGTGTCAGAGTCTGTCTACCTGTCTGTCTACTGAGCGAGGTATACGTACAAGGTAACCTTTCATCGCCAAGGTATCCTTTGGCCAACTACAGCCTACTGCGCACCTAGCTGCCTACCGCAGGCGCCTTTAGCCCCTCCCCCCTCCTCGGTGTACGAACGCACGCATAAGCCGCCCATACAACAAACCGCAAACGATCATTAGCTTTTGTCAAGCCGTACATCACATCATTTGGAGACGAACGCTGTTCGCTCGCTCGCTCGCTCACCCACGGCGCACAAACCAAAGACACCGTTTCCCATTCCGAAGGTCCATCTGTCATCATTACCACCCGGCTGCCTGCCTATCTGTACCCTCACTTGAGAGACAAACTCAAGAAACGAAAGGAGAAGAGGGGAAGAGGGAGAAACCCGAAGCCGGCCTTTATTTTCAGCACCACGGATCACAGCAGCCAGGGAGGAGGGGTTGTTCATACTCGAAAGAGCGCATATAGGGACAAGATTTCGGTAAGTCGAAGCAGGTCTCTCGTGAATTGGGGGCGCCCTCTCCCCCCCTTGTCTGCCTATTCTGGTCATTCCCATGTTGCTGTTCCCTCGCCTCCCTCGTCCCTCAACACACACACACACACACACACACACACACACACACACACACACACACACACACACACATGCATCGCTTTTTCTACCGTGCACTGTCACGGCCCATGTTTGGTACGCCCCCAAGGCCAAAAAATTAAAAGACAAAAACCAAACCTCAAGGTACGATTCGGATATCGGGAGGAAGGCCTCTCACACACTCTCTCTCTTTCTCTCTCTCTCTCTCTCTCTCCTCCCTCTGCCTGTCGTGTCCGTCAGTACCCTTTTCCACCACCCCTCGTATCAGTCTCTTCCTGTTCCCCCGTCCATACATCGTCCAAAGTGGTCTTGTCCCCTCTTCTCCGGCTCCACGTCCATCGTCCAAGTAAGTCCCAAGGCCTACACCTCCCTACATCCACCCACCCATCCACCCCCATCTTGGCACGTCTGCCCCCCCCGTTCCACTCAGCCATATCCATGCTTGCAGGTTGGGCCAGCAAGCAAGCAAGCCAGCCGTGGGTGGATTGACTGGGTCAAGACTCAGGGCCCAAGACGAAGAAGCTCCATTTTCAGCTCCCCTTCAAACCGCCCCTCCACTTCCTGGTCGCCCCTCCCCACCCCCCCTTCTCTCCCGTCCCCGTCTCCCCCCCCCCCGTGCCGGCGGATGCTTCCAGTTTGCAGCACATCGCAATACAGCACATCACCACCTGAACTCCAAGGGTGTCGCCGTCCATGACGGGGATTGCGCCGTCACAAGCAGGAGGAAGGGAAGAGGAAAATAAGGGAGGGAGAAAAAAAAAACCTACAGAGTTAATTCTTAGCTGCTCGCTTCCCGCCTTGTCCGTTGCCCCAGCTGGCAGCGGGTGCTCCATCATCAATCAACCTAATCAGCCTTACCACGACGCTTGACCTGTCGGGGTGTTTCTTTCTCTACCTTTTTTATTTTTACTTCTCATTTTTGTTGGTTCTCCATCAATCCCTCCTCTCCATACTCCTCTCCCTCTTCGTCATCTCGTACTCCTCATTCCTCATCCCTCTCTTCTCGCTATCAGCTTCCACATACCACACTCACACACACACCGCGCGCTCTCACTGTCTTCGTTCTCGCCTCTCTCTCTCGTCTCCTCCCCTTACCACCACACCCCCCCTCCCACCCCCCTGCCCACCCCCGTCCCTTCGCCCTCGAAGCCCGCTCGCTTCCGTTCCTTTCTACATAATTGAAATCTGCTCGTCCACCCTTATCCCTCCACACTCTATTGTCCCTCTCCGCCTCCTCCTACCTCTCTCCCTCACGACAAAGCACACCCTCAACAACTGACCCTGTTTGGCATTAGATTGTGTGCACCCTAGTCTGCCTGGTTTTGCTGACGTCCACTGTTCTCCCTTCGTTTTTTAGTCCGCGCCATAGAGTATTCCTGGAGAAAGTTCCTGTCGCATTCATAAAAGAAGGAGGGAAAAAAAAAGAGTTTACGCCTACTCGGTATATAATTCGCGAACAGGGAACCCAAAAAAAAAAAAACCCCCCGGAAAAAAAAAAGAAGAAGAGAAAAGCCCCTCCCCCAGCAAATCCAAAACCGTACATTACCGGCCGACACCACACACCCTCCGCGTGTGTCGCTGCCAGCCAACTGCCACACGCTCAACAACCTCTGTGTGTGCTCCCGACGCCAGGTGCTCCGACTCCTGCTTCCATTCATCGCAGCCCGCGATCCCTTCGCCATCCCAATCCTACGAAAACTCTCGATCCTCCCCGCTTCGCCCGCCAAAACACTCGACCCGCCATCCTGCGTTGCGACCGTCGCTGCTGCACAGAAACCGCCCGCCAACATGACGACCACCGTAAGTTGGTTCCCCTTTACTCCACGTGAGGTCCGACGGGGGATGCAAGCCCCCCTGTTTGCGGAGTTGCGAGCGCGCGACCGTGTGTGTCAAAGACTTGCGTCTTGCTAGCGCCGTCATGGCCTTGGCCCGACTCACTCATCCGGCGCTCGGAGCTTCGCCTAGACCTGGTCAACAGCTCAAAAATGCGTGCTTCGCGCCTCGTTTTCCACCCTCTCCATTCCTCTATTGCCATCCACCATCCATGGCTGCCACTTCGCTAACCTGCCACGTTCACCAGGCCCGGCCCGCAGGTCGGTACGGGAGCTTCCCAATGACCAACGGTCAGAACGAGAAGCAAGCCCCGGCCGTCGCCCCCGGCGGCTTCACCGGCTCCAACCTGTACTCGCAGAACATCTGGAACCCCACGTATGGCGGCGCCGCCGCCAAGAGAGACACAAGAGGTATGCCTACAATCCCCACCCCCTCCCCCCTTCCGGACTAGAGCTTTGCGACGGCATCTGACCCAACATCCCTCGGCAGGTCCCGAAGACGCCTTCCCCGGACAACCGTCTGGGTCTAGCGCCCTCAGAGAGAACTCGGAGGCCGAGACCTGGGGCCAGAGCCCGTGGAACCAGGACGCCCAGACCCGGACGGCCTCCGGCAGTGCCTCGCCCAACCGCACACGCGACAGCCTGCACGGCGCCACCTCCTTCTTCGAGAACAACGCCGTCGGCCAGGGACGGGGCCTCATCAACGGCCGGCCAAAGTCCTACCTCGAGGAGGATAAGGAGAACGCCGGCTTCGGCCCCAGCTACGGCAGCCCCTTCGACGGCGCCTACGCCCGGCAGGAGAAGCGCGGCTCCAAGGACAACGCCTACCTCAGCCTCGGCGTTGTCGGCGCTCCCTCCAGAGACAGCAGCATTCCCCCCTCGCGTCAGTCGGACGATTCGCACCACTCGCCCCCAGCATTCCGGGACACCTTTGGTGGCTACGGCCACACGCCGAGCAACTCGATCTCCCGCCCGGCCATCCCCGGCCACTCTTCCTCCTTCCCTACGCAGACGGCCAACAATCGCGCCTTCATGGCCAACGGCAGGCAGATTGACGACGCCGACCTGGCCTCGCAGTTCAAGAAGACACTCACCCTCGACGAGGCCCAGAGCCTCGCTGCCGCCGCCGCCGCTAACGCGCAGAACTTCCAATTCAACCCCGTGTCCCAACCTTGGAGGGCAGACGTCACCACAGGCGACGCCTACGCCGATGCCATGGCCCAGTACCTTCCGCACAAGCGCGGCCCGGTCGCCGTCACCGCCACCTCCTCGTCCAGCCAGTACCGGGTCGTCACCAGCCCAAAGAACTATGCGCCCCAACTTTCCGACCCCTGGGCCCAGAGGCAGCCGTCTCGCGACCTGAGAATGGTCCCGGACAGCGACCGGCGGACGCCCGTCCCGGCTTTCATTCAAGCTCAGGCCCCAGCCTTCTACCCCGGCCCCTACTATAGCCCCAACTTCGCCGGTCAATACCCTCCTCAGATGTTCGACCCCTATGGTAGGCCCTCGCTGCCCCTGCCCGGCTACGGTCTGCACATGGCGCCCTACTCCATCCCCGGCGTCATGCCCGTCCGTCCTGCCAAGGACCAGGATCCCGGCAAGGGCGTCCGGAGCCTGCTCCTGGAGGAATTCAGGTCCAGCTCCAAGTCGAACAAGCGATACGAGCTCAAGGATATCTACGGCCACGTCGTAGAGTTCAGCGGCGACCAGCACGGCTCGAGGTTCATCCAGCAGAAGCTTGAGACGGCCAACAGCGACGAGAAGGATCAGGTCTTTCGCGAGATCGAGCCCAACGCCATCCAGCTGATGAAGGATGTCTTTGGCAATTACGTCATCCAGAAGTTCTTCGAGCACGGCAACCAGGTCCAGAAGAAGGTGCTGGCTTCGCAGATGAAGGGCAAGGTCGTCGACCTGTCGATGCAGATGTACGCCTGCAGGGTCGTGCAAAAGGTGCGTAGCCCTCCCCTCTCGGCCCCCCCCCCCCCCCCCCCCCCCGTTTCCCTCGACCCCGCTGACGTTATATAGGCCCTCGAACACGTCCTCGTCGAGCAGCAGGCAGAGCTCGTCAAGGAGCTGGAGCCCGAGATTCTCAAGGTCGTGAAGGACCAGAACGGCAATCACGTCGTGCAGAAGATCATCGAGCTCGTCCCCCGCCAGTACATTGACTTCGTTATGGACTCGTTCCGCGGTCAGGTCAGCCAGCTGGCGGCGCACATGTACGCCTGCCGCGTCATCCAGCGCATGCTCGAGTACGGCACGGACCAGGACAAGGAGACCATCCTGGCCGAGTTGCACAACTCAACTCAGACCCTCATCACCGACCAGTACGGTAACTATGTCGTGCAGCACATCATCGAGCACGGCAAGTCCGAGGACCGGTCGAGGATCATCCAGCTCGTCATCGCGCAGCTCGTCACCCTGTCCAAGCACAAGTTCGCGTCCAACGTCGTCGAGAAGTGCATCCAGTACGGCTCCGCCGAGGAGCGCAAGGGCATCCGCGAGCAGATCATCTCCCAGAGCGCCGACGGCACTAGCTCGCTCCAGCTGATGATGAAGGATCAGTACGGCAACTACGTTATCCAGAAGCTGCTGAACCAGCTCGACGGACCTGAGCGCGAGGCCTTTGTCGAGGAGATGCGACCCCAGTTCAACACACTGCGCAAGACCAGCACCAGCCGCCAGCTGGCTGCCATCGACAGGCTCATCTATGCGACACAGACGCAGCCCCCGGCCAAGACTGGCGGGTCCCAGGCCGACTCGACGGCTCCGACCCCGGTCCTGACCATGGAGCCCAACAGCCCGCAGAGCAGCAGCCCTCCCAGCACCAGCGCCAGCGCCGTCGGCGAGGTGGCGGAGGACGACAGCAAGGTCGGCGCCCCGGGTGGCGTCAGCCTCAAGGTGGAGGTGGACGAGGCCTGAACAAACAGCACACGGAACCATGGGGATGACGGCGTCTACGGTTGATTCGAGGTACTACGGACATGCATCACGACACCACATACGGATTTGACGATTCCGGCCGGCGGGGGGCTCCCCCCTTTCCCTCATGCCAGACTTGTTTCGAAACGATTGCACCTAATTTCTGTTTACATTTGACTGCTCCGAGAATGCGGCAACACACACACACACACACACACACACACACACGCACACACTCACACACACACACACACACACACACGCACACACTCACACATATACATGGTGGGGTCACCACGGTAGAAAATTGTCTGGACAAACATCATGGGGAAAACATAGTAAGGAACTGGACAAAACGGGACATGATTGGTGTCGTCGCATGCTTTCTGTTTATTTTTCCAGATAATGAGTCTCGAGAGATGGACTGGGTGGGGGGGTCACCACAGAGGGCAATGGCAGAAAAAGAAAAAAACTTGGCGAACTGGTCAATGTGGGATGCGATATTCTCACGGTTTCACTTGGGGCATTCGGGATACGGCGCGTCACAAGGGCTGGGTTGATTTATTGTCTTCTTGTACTCTATTTGGATTCCTTGTGTCTAGCGATACCAGTCTCAGTCTGATGGTAGACCTGTCAATAGACGTCAGTGCATGAAAAGTGTGGCATGCAAGTGAGGTCCCTTGTAGAAATTTGATGCCGTTCATCCCAGGGAGCTTTTGTGTGTCAGTCATCTTCGTCCTCGTCCTCGTCCTCATCAAGGGAGGAAGTCTGGCGTTCCGCCAAGGCCCTTCGGCACATGATCCGGCTCGGAAGGGCATCCGACGGCGTCCTGCTCGGGATCGGGATTATGTAAGACGGCAGGGGTAGGCGCATGACATCACCCGGTCCGGTCGGTCCCTGTGTTTAGCCTCCGACCAGCTCAGGACGCCCGCGGCCCCACGTGTCAGGGCATCGTGGAAATTAACCACTCCTTTCCCTCACCCTCCCCCAAAGTGCTTTTTTCCCTTCCCGCAAACACCAACAACTCATACACACACATACACACGCACACAACCAACGCCGGATGCGTGCAGCGCGACCGGGAACGATGCATTCCGCACGATTAACCTTTCTCTACCCACCCCTGTTCCGGACAATACGCGTCGCCGAGGGCGCCGCCGCGAACGCCTCGAGGTCGTCGTCCCCATCATCAACGACATCATGCCGTAGACGAGCGACGGCCGAGGTTCGGAGACGGGGATACGCTGCGTTCGCCCCGACGACGGGGGCGCGGCAGTCCGGGTTCGCGCCGCGGCACGGCAAGGGCGTCGAGCCCGTGACGAAACAAGACGAGACGACGGTTGGGGCGTCCAAGGGGGATGCCATCAACGGGCTGGACCCGAAGACGGCGAATACGACGACGACGACGACGACGACGACGACGGCGACGAAGACTGCTACAATGGCGACGTGTGCGACGGCGCAGCCTCCTCCCCCGGCGGCGGCGGCCGCGCCGAGTCAGACAGCCGCGCCGGGGGAGGACAACGAGGCGGGCGAAGCCAAGGCGGCGAAGCAGGAGGCGCGGGACCAGGCCAAGAAAAGCGGACCGCTGGAGGCGATCCTGCACATGGGCCCGCCCGAGAAGGCGGCGGCGGCGGCGGCGGGCGCGGGGCAGCGGCCGCACATGGCGCCGCCGCCGTACGTGCACCACTTTGACAGCTACTCGCTCGTCAAGGACCTCGAGCGCGGCGGGTACAGCAAGGAGCAGGCCATCACGCTGATGAAGGCGATCCGGGCGATCCTGGCGCAGAACCTGGACGTCGCGCAGGAGAGCCTCGTGAGCAAGAGCGACGTCGAGAATGTGGGTCCCCCACTCCCCCCCCCCCTCCCTTTATTCTTCTTTTTAACCTGCAACTACAACCGTTGTCGGACGACCTCACGTAAAAAAAAAGATCAGACTGACAGCCGGAACAGGAGACGTACCTCTTCCGAGCGGCATGCTCGGAGCTGAGCACCGAGGTCAAGAACAACCAGAAGCTGGCGGACGAGGAGATGCGGCAGAAGCGGACGCTGCTGCAGCACGAGGTGGACATCCTTGCGCAGAGCCTCAACCAGGAGCTGCTGACGCTCAACGACAACGTCCGCGGCATGTTCAACGACCGCAAGATGGCGGTGCGGGAGGAGCAGAAGGCCGGCGACAGCGTGGTGAGTGGCTGATTAAGACCCTCCCCCCTGCCCCCCCTCTTTTTATTCATACTTTCTTCTGTCCTACGTGACTGACGCCGACGCCCTGCAGATCCAGCAGATCAACTACAAGATCAGCCTGCACCTCAGCAGCGACGCCAAGTCGGAGATCGAGGGCCTGCGGTGGATCCTGATCCGGCGGTCCGTCATCGGGATCCTGTTCATGGCGGTGCTGACGCTGGGGACGCTGCGGTACGGCACGTACGTGAGCCACGCGCGGCAGGCCGAGGCGGAGCGCATCAAGAAGCAGGCCGAGATGCTCAAGATGGCCGACGGCAAGCGGGACCACAGCTCGGCGCCGGACGCGGCGGAGATTTTGGCGGCGAACTGAAAGGGGCCAGGTCCCGGGGCCAGGTCCCAGGGCCGCAACGGCCGCAAGGGGGGAGGGGTGGCAAGCGGGAGGGCGGGCGTCAGAAAAGACCGGGTTTCGGCACGCGTTGTTGGGATGATGATACCCCATAGACAGACCATAGACGGGACGGGGCGGCGGCAAGGATAGACTACGGTACTAAAAGGAAAAAAAGATGGTTCCTTTCTGTCGGAAGGACTATAGATGAGGTTGATGCATCAACAAGACTGTTCTTTAGAGGCATGTAAAGGCATGAATTCTCTAAGTCTAGCTGGCTAAAAGTGGCCAGTTATATAGACCTTCTGGCTGCTGACTCATGCGTGCGAATCCGGCTGAATTGATGTTCCAACACTTTCCTTATATTTTGGGAACGTCGCGGTCATACCCTCCCTTGGGGCTCATGGCCCTGTACCGTGTCTGTGTCTCGAAGAGAAGTGGTTTCGCCCGTAGCCTCTGTTCCAGTCCCACGCGAGCAACAATGCCTGCACACCAGAATAGAATCAGAAAGATACAAGCTACCCGAAAAGGGTCGACGACGGTGACCCTCCAGTCCCATGTGGACAACTGCAGCAACACGAGGAAGACAAGGCCGATGGCGAATAGTGCAACGATGCCTCCCACGCAGAAGCTGTCGCTCATGCCATCCCCCATGTCGCTTGTTATCCGCATACTGTCCGGTAGGCCCAGCGCACTGTGGACTTGTCGCATCCGTCGTACAAAGCTTGGCTTATGTGGCAGAATCAAGTATCTGGAAAGCGCATTCAGCGCGGCGTCGACGATGATCGTACCAATGACGTCGGCCAGAAATTCGCACCCGAACAGGTGAGTGATTGGTTCGTCCATCTCGTTGTAGGTCTGAATCAGAATCGTACCAAGGACGTCGGCCGGAAATTCGCCCCGGAACAGGCGAGCGATTGGTTCGTCCATCTCGTGGTGTGGACGATATGTGAAGTCCAATGGGAGTTTTGCTTCGACGAACAAGGGCTGAAGTTGATGATGATGGAGAGGAGAGAAATGATTGATGATATAGTCGCATATCTCTGACCTGTGCCGGATCTTTATATCTTAATACAGTACAGAATCTCCGATAACGCAGAGCAACAGCCGAATCTAACTTCACTTAAACCACGGCCTGGAGCAAACGACCTTTAGGCACCGGAACATTGGCGGCAACGCTGTTGAATAAGGTCGCGCGGGTTCGCAACAAGGGTGTGACTAACGTGCTTGTAATGATGGCATTATTAAACCTACCACCAAGGTCGCAATTGTTGCAAGCCACACGACAATTCTACCTCCACTAAGGTCGTCAAAAACCTTGCGCCTTGAGTCACAACTACTAACAACGGTACTGGAGATAGCTTCACTTGCTAGCAACCTTGCTGGCTGTGGCTCAGAAGCTAGGCTTAGTCTCTTCATGTGCCTATAGACTTTTGAAGTCGTGCAACGGAGGTGCTGTTCGCTGGCGAATGGGCTGGCAGGTCGGAGTGAAAGTCGTTGCCGACAGAAGCTCTACCTATCTGTTGAATATTCTAGACCCATCAGCAAGCCCTCGGCGATGGCCAGAGGCTTGTTGGATGGCCACTCTAGCAGTCACCACGAGGCGATGCTTCAATGCACAATAATCATAGTTACCAAAGCATTCGAATTATTGATCACATTGCCAAACGTGTAGGTCTTGAGCACTACCGCCAGTGTCAGTGTATAACTATTGGAAAGGTGTAGGGTAGAAAGGACCTCTGCGGTGCGGTGATCCAAGGAGAAACACCAACAACCTACAAGGTAACACAAGATGCTTCCTCGATCAGTCAAGAACTTGCCTCGATCAAAGCATCAAGTCGGCCGATCGGGAGTGACACCCTCACTTGATCGTAAGAACTGAGCATCTGATCGGAAGAAGTCTTGACACGATCGGAGGAGTAAAGCTCCCAATCGTCTTGTGTTATCACGTCCGATCAGCTCACAGAAGAAAGGTTCATGGTCCGATCCGGCCAAAAGGTAGGTCTATGAAAGAAAGGAAGAATTTCGTTGTTGTTCTATCTATGCGATCTGGCTCCCTTATCCATATTGGTTCCTCCAACGATCGGAACGACTGTCTCTCCCGTGTATCTCCCTATCTCCGATCCGCCTAGAATCAATCTCCTGATCGCCCCGCCCTATTCCACTATGTAAAACCCCACATTCATCAGCTTTGCCGCTCATCCATCTCTTCTACCGAGCTTCCCGTCGTCTCTTCCTTCGATCCTCCGCACCGACAAACGACAAATATGGACGAAACGTGTTGGCCAAGGCGAGGTATCGAGTGGACGTGAAGAAAATACGCCGTCGTTGGCCCGTCGTAAGCTGGGGAGCGACCAGGGAAGTCATGAAGATTGGAAATTAGCCAGGATCACCATGAAGTAGTTTGAAGGGGGAATACCGACAAAATCAATCGACGGGCTGTCCAAAACGTTGGCATGGAACAGCCCAAGAACCCCCCGGAACCCGACAAGAGAGGCCCCGAGCAAGCTGGAGGTAGTGTCTTGCAATCAAATCAAGAAGGCGAGACGTTTCAACCGGGGGCAGGTGGTCCCTCTTCAGGGAGGAAGAGGAGGACGACTGACAGGTAGTCCCGCCAATCCCCGGCGATGGGCGATGAAGAAGGTACGCTCCCCCTTTACCGAACATATACGAACAGCCAATGCTTCCAGGCCGCCCCGGCAGTTGCAGAGTTAAGAAGGGAAGGGGTTGAAGTGGGCGTGCAACTGGGTTGTGCAAAGCACATTCCATGTCAGGCATCGCAGCTTCCACCCCAGAAGTCCATCGCCTTCCGTCGGGGGCTCTTTCGAAAACCGCTCCGATGCGATAACTGCGGCGCTCACACAGTGTTCTCGGCGTATAATATTTACTGCCAGTAGGGACGGAATGGAGATCAGTTTGCGAGACACTGCAGCACCAAAACTCTAGGTTTCTTTTGTTTTCTATACAGTTGTATTAGCGTACATGCAGTCTCTACCTCAGCCTCCTGTATATAGGTAAGGTCCGATAATAGTAGGCGGTGGTGGAAGGCGATAGACATCTGGGTTCGAAGCTGCGACACCCCCCCCCCCCCCCCCCCCCCCAAAAAAAAAAAGTAATTATAGACCTCCATCGATGGAATCTGCCAAGTTTCGACAGTACAGACGAGGTGAACCGAATCTGGAACGCCGTTGAAGATCTGCCGGACCCGTACAAAAACAATATCGATCCAACCCTTTGTGGTTGACACACAAGTCTAAACCCTCTTGGATCTTCTGGGATTAGACGACGCAAAGAGGAATGATTGTAAGAGTTAAGGTAAGTCTTATTCCTCGGCCTGAATCCTTCTCCTACTGCCAGAACGGACGTGGTAGGGGGTTCAAATGTTTTCTACTTACTATGCTAGGTAGGGAAACCTCGTACTCTTTTGCAAGCTCCAAGTCTTGCATGTTTTCAGCTTTCGTCGTATCAGTAGATATCCCTCGCTGTTTGTTATGCCACTTTTGTGACCGATGCTGAGCTTGGGTCTCCTGTGGATATGTAAACCAATCCTTGTCCTGCTTTGTATTATAGAACTGTTCGTTCATTATGTCATCTTCCGTAGGAAAGTGCGGCATTATATCGGGCGAAGGTGAAGGGTAGAATCTGGCGTCGTCGAAGAATACCCATGCCCTTTGTTGGTAGATCTTTCTCTGTATAGGTAGGGTACACAGTTGGGGGCGAAGTATCTCGTACATGCCTGGGGCGTTTTGATGATCCTCTTTATTGGCACCAAAGTCAATATAGCCTCGAATAAAGCTGTGAAAGTCGCACCAGTGAAAGCTCACTGGATGGAATTCTCCCCAGTTGCAGTTCGGGTAAGCTGCTGTAAACCATTTCCCGAGGCGGTCGCGACCAAGTTGTCCGGCTGTAGCGGATCGAAGTAAGAGTGCGGCTAGGTCGAAGCCTGCAGCCGCTAACGCTGATGTATCGCAGCGATGGGTCAAGGTTGAGGCGTAGACGTCAGCGTCGACGTATAGGCTATCTGGGTAAAGCAAGCCGGGGGGGTGAGGTGAAGTAGCTCTTGGGACAACTTCAGGTAGCCAGACGTCGCTGCTGCACTGGGCAATTATGGCCCCGTAAAGAGACATGAGATATGTGTGAACGCATCGAATTGCCTCTGTGTCCCATGGCTGAGGTTCTTGATGTAATAATCTCATGTTGCAAAATCCTTCGTTTTGGCTACTTTCCATCCTAGCGAAGAGAGAATGGAGCTGGCACCACAAAAAGGCTCGCAGCAGTCGCTTTCTTTCCGGATTTGTAAGATTGGCTGCGTTGAATTTGGGACAGACTGCCTGACCCTTGAAGAGTAACTGGGTTCCAGATGGAACACAAAGGTACTCCCGAGGCGGAAAAGCGGCAGTGGCCTTAGTAAGATAGTCCTCAATAAAGAACATAAGTCCTCTATAGAGCTTGATGATCATGTCGATGAAGTCCTGATCCTGACTTTGTAGAGGTTGATGTAACGGGTCAGCGAATTGTTTCGTTGCCCAAGAGCGATGATGGGCACGAGCTAAGGCTTCAAAGTGACTTATATCCTCTGAAGGAAATAGAATAATCGCCATAGCGTCCTGAACCATGCTCTTGTCAAAGTCGGAGGCAAGCAACCTCTTAATGATATATCTTTTTGATGCGGTGTATTGCCTCAGCATGACAGGCGAGGCCTGAATTAGCTGGAAAACCGTAGATTGTGAACAGGTTGACAACATGATCTTCACACAAAGCTCCGCTGGCAGCTTTTTGAAGGGATCCATCTTCTCTGTCGATGATGGTGGTGGTGCTTCTGATTGCCGATGAGCTGGGCTGGGAGTGGGGTTCGTTGGTTTGACGGTGTGATAGGGATGGGAAAGCAGCTGGCTTGGTTGTTGGATGATCTGAACTGTTTGCAGGGAGACTGAAGACATGCTTAATGTTATAGATGACTCACGAGGTTTCGGAGAAAGCTATCGATTAAGGTTCTCTTTCGCCTGGGGATAGATGAAGACAAGAAAAGGCTAATGAACGTGAAGGGGATTGATTACCTAGGACACACTGCATACATACCTCACATATGCTGTATTTATTTACCCCTGGGCACACGAGATACGGCAGGATAGTTGGAAGAATCAACGCACCATTCGGACCAGTATGTGAATCCACGGCCTGCGACACAGTTCCATCAAAACGCATTGAACCAGGCGAACGCCACTAATCGAAAAACCCGGCAGATCGCCAGATTTCTTCAACCTTTCCTCCTTCTACATACAAATTAACAGATCTCTGGTTGGCTGGTTGCATCAGCTAGCCAACTCGTCTAACGCAGACAGCTACGTCGCCACAACAATATTCCATACTGGCTATGCAGCCGCAAGTAACCCAACTTGTAAGCCTCTGAAACTAACCAGTATTCAAAAATCCACAACAGCTTTGGCAAATGGCTAAATTATTGCCCCTTGGCATGGATCAACAGCTAGTTGCTGATCCAGCGATTGCTCAATTGGGCGGCAAGATGTGCACTTGGTTAGCCTTTACTAAATGACTGGGAAAAAATATGAAATTGTTGATTGGCAGAATGTTTTCTTTTCCTACCGACTCTCAAGTTTTTCTTTCAGCACCCTAGTGAATGCAGAACCACATATCAAGTGCAGCTTTCAGTTTATCCACGTCAGGGTCGGTAGATTCTTCAGCCACCCAAGCAACAAAGCCGTCACATCGGATAAGAAGAGCAGACACACCCAGTCTAGTCTTGGAGTCTGCATTCAGGTACTCCACGGGTATGTCGCACTGGTGTGAATCGATCGCCGCCTTTGATTTTTCGTCTTTTCCAAAGTCTAGGAGCAACCCTTGCCCCTTTTCTAGTTTCGGATTGAGCCTCGAACCGTCCATCAAGGTGAAGTCCGGGGCACTACGCCCGACGAGAGGATGCTCGTCTGCATCGTCGCTCAGCGAATATCGCTGCGAGAGGCCCCAGACTCTGTCGATAAAATGGTTCGCGCCATCGTCCGTGTCGATCAGATCGCTCGCAAGCGCCCGTAAAGCCCGGCCTGTGGGGGTCGGCTGCATCGTCGCGGCTTGGGCCCGGTTCCAATCAAGGACTGAAGCGCCGATTGGGTGGCGCTCTTTCTCATAGGTCTCGAGCAGTTTGGGATGGAACATTCCATCCTCGCTACGTTTCTCTCCCCGGATCGTAGCAGCCAGCTTCCAACCTAGGTTCATCGCGTCACCTAAGCCGGCGTTCATGCCCTGGGCGCCAAACGGGGGGTGGATGTGCGCAGCGTCGCCGGCAAGCAGAACGCGACCTTGTCGGAACTTTGTTGTCTGTTTTGAGCGGTCTGTCCACGTGGAAACGAGGTGGATTTTAGTGATGTGTACGTCTGTCCTGTTGAGGACACGTTCAAGGACGGCTTGCATGTGTTCTTGTGTGAGCTCCTGTTTCCGTGCCTGGCTAGCGCCACCGTCAAAGTCTAGCATGGCGAACATTCCGAACGCGGTGAATATGTAGAAGCCAGTCTCAGTAGTGTTAAAGCCCATCTTTAACTTTTCTGGGTGATCGAGGTCGCAGTGAAGGCTGTAACCCGTGAGAGTTGGCTCGCTTCCGACGAAGTCGAACCCAGCGGCTTTACGCACTCGGCTTCGACCCCCGTCGCATCCGACGAGCCATCTGGTTCGGAACTGTTTGCCGCATTCCGTTTCGACCGTGACACCACTGTCGTCTTCCTGGACGATGTGGTCGAATCCTTGCCCACGGAGAATCTCGGCACCTAGGCTTTCTGCGCGCTCGGTCAAGATGGCCTCGATCTTATCGATAGTTGTGGGTGCAGGCATAAGTGAAGGTCCCGGGAGGCGATATTTATGCCGGGCAAGGTCGAGCTTTTGTATGTCGAGCGAGATGCCGGCGAAGTGACCGCCAAACTTTTGCCCACCCTTTCCCTTCGGCGGGGAGTGGGGCCGATCGGAGGGGTCGAAAAACTTATCGAGCAGGCCGCGCCGGTGGAATGTTTCGATTGCCGATGTCTGGAGACCACGGAAGCCGAGCGGTATGCTTTTCCAAGCGGACTTTGGGTTTTTGTCGCGCTCGAGAATGAGCACAGCAGTGCCCGCCAGGCCGAGTTCGCAGGCGAGCAGCAGGCCGACAGGGCCGGCTCCTGCTATAACAACGTCGTACAGCTTTGTCATAATGGCTAACTTGGATCTTATGTATAGATTAAGTTGTTGGATATTAAGCACAGACGAACTTCTTATTTTTTGCCAAGACTCATACTTTAATATATACTCCGTCCGATGCTCCGATAGGGATTTTGGGCCACCGGGCTAATAGCGGGGTTTTCGAAATGTCCGGATTCGGATGGATGCCATCGTCACGGAGAAAAATACAGACCGGCGGCCGGGCAATCCTTCTGGGCCTAGCCTACATATATGTGGTATTTATATGCCCCTGGGCACACCAGATACCGTAGGATCGTGTCCAATTGGAGGCCCTCGAGAAGTACCCTAGGGTATGCCCGGAGACCCTTGGGGGGGTTGGAGCTGCTTAGACGTCTCCCCAACTTATCTATGGGAGCGGACGGGATCCCGAGTTTTCCAGTGTGTATGTTCGTATATGGTGGTTCTAGTAGGTAAAATGGTTTTATATTGTGATAGACACAGACAAGTCTTCAACAGCAGCAAAAAACATACAACACCAGGTATTCGCTGGTCGTCACCGACCCAACTACTAATCCGGCCCTCACTGGCTTATCTATGGGAGAGCGGACGGGATCCCGAGTTCTCCAGTGGGTATGGTCGTATGTGATTGGTGATGGTGTTTGATGCAGCTATGATGCCTTTGCTCTGTTCCAGCAGAAAGCGATAAGCTACCGGAATGGTATCATTGTCCTGTGGCTCCTCCTTCTCCTTCTCCTCCTTCTGCTGTTGCTGACACTCCGCGCGTATTACGTCCCCACCCTCCTGCCTCTCTCTAAGGCAAGCAGCCACCATCGGCAGCTAGTCCTCCACTCGGGGGGCGGCCTTCCTGATCTTTCTCCCTCCACAAGTACGGCCATATTCACCCTGCATTTTCAGCATTGGAATCTCGCAATGTACTTGCGGTTTGCCTGCCACAATGAGAACACCTAAGAGTTCTCTTGCTCTCCACCCTTCCCGCGGTCATTATAATGCTCATGTAACGGCAGTGGTAACGAGGGGATGAGGCCAGGAACAAGGACTGTTAATGAATGGCGAGGACGGGTAGAGCGAGGTTTCGACAGAAACGGATGACTTGGTCAATGTTAATACTTTTTCAGGTTAACCTTCCTAACTGAGATGTTGTCAGACGCAGCCTCTTGTCATCATGCAACATGGTGCAGATCATCAAAACATTCCTCCTCATCGTCCTGGTTATGCTTCTTACACGGATCAACGGTAAACACCTTGGTCCATAGTGTTGGCTGCAAGTATGTACAAAGGCATTTTTGCGGCCCAGTCTGGTCCAAAAGACGTCAAGATACTCATCATGTCACCCGAAGATGGCGACTTTCCTGCCCCCACTTTCTGGCGGATGAGCTGCTGTATCTCCCTGACTTCCTGCAATTTCTGCTGCTCGGCCTTCGTTGGAGGCCGTACCGATCGAGCAAGAGAGGGGTCGTCGGTCACTGCGCTCACTTTGTGGCTTGGAGAGCCGCGGGGAGGGTCCAGGAGGGCTTCGATGCGGGCATTCTCATGGTCTTGCTTCATGGTGCTGAGCGAGCCCGGCCCGAAGAGTCTCTGTATGTTCTCCGGACTGTCCTGACCAGTGATGACTAGGCGTCGGAGTGGCTTGGCCGTGCCCTCGGGCGAAGCAGGGTCAAGACGTAGAGCCCAGAGCAAATCCTGGGCATCGAAGGATCGTCGTGCGATCTGGTTGTAATACGTATATGGATCCAGCGTAGGGTTGGCGCCCGAAGCCGAGGCCGGCGATGTGTTAGCCCCCGAGCGATTGGCGAGACAAGCCTTCTTGTGCTGCTTCCAGTGCTGGCGTTGGCAGTCCCGCGAGTGATACCACGCCTTGCCACACGCCGAGCACTTCTTCAGCGGCGTAGCGAAGCTTTCGCGGTTCGATCCACAGCCGTGACATCTGGATCTATCGTCCAGCTCAACAGCGGATGACGAAGAGGTGGTGATGGCTTGAGGGCCCGTGTGTTGTTTGGATGTGGTTTGTGCCATGCCGGTCAGCCTTTCTAGAAGGGTGAGCCAGCACTCCTCGAGAATCGCTTTGGCTTTAGCAGAGCACTCTTTCACCCTACAGAGAGCACCTTCGACACCGAGAAGTCTCAGTTCGCGCTCAATTGCAGGCACCAGCTTCGGATCGTCAATATACCACGACCAGGGAGCAAAGAAGGGCTCGGAAGTATGAGACAGAGCCCCGCTCGAGCTGTTGCCGCTCAGAAAGGCGTCAAGAAGGAGTGGCACCAGAGCTTTTGCTTTGGCAGGCGCGCTAGGTAGTGACAGGATCTGTGCTGGCCCTGCTGAAAGAAGATAGCGACTCGGGGGATGGACCACGACGACGAGATCTCCCTCCGGCTCGATTGGAACGTGGCGGACACCGAAGGCCCAGAGGTTTGGCAAGCCGCTTGGGGTGGTCCGCTCTCTGGAGAGGGCATTGAACGAGCGGACGGTGTTCTCCATTGCTCGAGTCGAGTAGCGTGCCTTTCTCGATGATGTTTTACGTGTCGACCTCGTTGTTTGTGCTCACATGAAGGGCTGTGTGAATGAAGAGGTGAAGGTAGAAAGGAGAGTTAAGGTTATTGCTTGTCCTTATCTATTTGGTAGGTTGCAAACGCGGGGCTCCGGAGAATTCATGACCCGGAAACGGAATCCGGACCCAGGAAAGCATAAGCGAGTAAAGCCGTCGATGGTTCGCAACTGCCCGCGAGGGTATCGTGAGGGAGAGCAGGCCTGCTGATTTAAGTTTGTGTGGGGCGCAAATCTTACCATGGGCCTAGCACGGTCCTTCCTCACATTAGCGTTTGTGCTTATTGATTCAGGACCGGGCAAGAGCAATTGGGGGCATGCTCCTCCCAAGCCTAAATCGTCGAGACTGGTTCGGGGCGGCACCTGCAAGCGAACTCGCCATTAACGGCAAACGGTCACTGCACTGCGCAAGAGTATCAATGGCTTCAAGGAAGACTTGAGCTCCCAAGATGAAACACGGAAGAAAAAGCTTGGTATCGATGAAGACGGTGAGTTCTCTCGAGCGTTGAGACCACGGCACGGCCAATGTGTCTATATACCTACCTAGGAAAGAGCAGACGGGAATACCAGGAGGTCCACAACCTCTTTGAAAAAGTAGTAGGTGACATCATTCCGTACCCGCAGTCTATCCGATTGTTTCCCATTTATCTACCGTAAGTGGCGTGTAACCCTCTATGGTACCCAAGATAGGTGCCACACATGTAATCCAAATAACGTGAGCGGGTTTGGGGAGAGAGTGTAGTAGGTGGGGGGAGGGGCGCTACAAACCCACCCCCGTAGTGATCAGGCGGGTCGGCCCGCTGTCAGATAACGACGGTCCCTGGAGCCAGTTGCCGTTTGTGGCAGCTTGCCGCAAAAAAAAAAAAGAAGAAAGTAGGAAAAAAGGGTTACACTAGGTAGCTCAAGTTCCCTCCGGCAAGCTATTTGGGAAGGGGCCTCGATCTTGTTGAAGTGCTAGGCTATATAGCAGTCATCAAAGACATGAACAAATGGGCGTGCCTCCACTTTTAACATGTGCTTTGACAGATCTCACTTGGGGTTTTTATTTTCTTTTTCTTTTCGTTTTCAACGTTGCAATACCCTCGTCAGTCATCGCCAGTAACCGCGGCAAAATGGTGCAACCTAAATCAGCGAGCATTCAACAATGGGCCGGCCCAGAATCAACCCGAAATGCCAATAAGGATAGATCCATTCCTACTGCAACAGGTATACCGAGTGTTCAGAGACAGGCTGCCGCGAGCGATGCCACCCTCCAGGAGCCAGTGAGTGGTGTCTCATATGGGTCATCTGTCGAGCCCAGGAGCGGCAAGAGAGCGTTTACATCTCTCGTCGAAGATTACAATTCGTATGGACTCAATGGAAAGCGCGCGCGGGTCACGATGCAGAAATTGGACCAATATAAGTGCGATCGCAATAACGACTAGATAGCAGCGGAGTCCTATCCCACCAACAGGACTGGTTGGCTGCGGCAGACGGATATTCGATCAAGAGGGAAGTGTTGAACGCGTCCAAGGAAGATGCTGATGTCAGCTATCTGTTCAGCCGTTCAGCTTATCACACATCGAAAAGTCCAGTCACCTCGACTGTGCAGACGACAAAGACGAGACCCATCAACAGGGATGTCGAGGAGGATCTGGACCCGAACTACCCATCGTCTACCATCGAGAGAATCAGTACAGACCTAGCTTATGTCAACAAGGCCATTGGAATGAGGCTCTCAAGCGAGGAAAGCATGCGTTCGTTCATTGACAGTATAAAAGAGACATCGAACTTGATAAAGGGTCTACGAACAAGCAGCAGACGGAAGCAAAGTTCGCCGAAGGATTTGAAGCCATCAAGAGGCAACTGAACGGGCTTCGAACCAATGACAGCGCTGTGTTCATCGAAAAGATAAACATATGCGAGATGGCCATTGCAAGCGCAAGGTCAGATATCGACAAAAACCTTGCTAGCGTTTCACAGAAGGTGGACCTCACTGTGGTTGGAATCAACTCAATGAAGAATTATGCCATTGAGGTCAAATTGTTAGAGGAAACAGTCAGAGGTCTGTAGGAACATTCGAAATGGGGCTTGAAGGATGGAAAAAGGAAGTCATTGGACTATTACAACGCAAAGAAGGTTGGGATTCATCGCAGCCGATGAGGGACCTAGAGACAAGAATGACTGGGATCGTGGAGAAGAACGCCACCGAGACCGTCAGGGGCCCTCTGGACTAGCTGAAGCTGTCTATGGACAAGAGTGTCAATGCATCGATCTTGATGTTGGATATGCAGAACAAATTCCACCAGAACGAATGTACCACCAAAAACGACGAGATCAAGAAGCTGAGCGCCGAGGTTGGCCGGCTCGCCAATGAGAAGCAGGAACTTAAGAAGAAAGCCTGACCAGAGAAGCCTCCGTCGGGACGTTGCGCTTGGAGCGCGACAGTGCAATGAGCGAAGCAAAAACAACTGCCGAAGGAGCCGAGGCTCTCCGCCGGAAACTGAGTGCTTTGGAGGAGGAACGAAGCAAGTGGAAAGTTGCGGCCATGGAGAGCCACTCTGCTGTCAGAATCAAGCTTGTAGAGGCTCTGGGGAAGATGAATCTGGTCTGCGCGAGGATTTCCAGACTGGAAACGCGTTGATAAAGGCGGCAAAGCTGTCCGATGTCGACGCCACAACACGTGTTGAAACAACCATCAAGGCTTTGATGGAGAAGAACCTACAGGCTGAGAGGGACAGGCACGAAGAGGTGCTAAGAGCCGTCAAAGACAACGCTGCGAAGCAGAAAGAATCGTCGCGAGGGAGACAGCGGTCTTACTCGGCTAGGTGTCGAACCGCGAGGTTTTCGACGAGGCCCTCAAGAGCCCCTGGGCAGGACCAACCACCAGAACCATCCGGAACCTCGCCAAGTTCGCCGTCTCACACGACCATGGAAGCCGAGAGTCGCTGAGTCATTCGGTCGTCTACCGCAACATTGTGCCGTATATCTCTGGGCGCGGTTGCACACGGGCGTTTGAGGCCTTTCCGGACTACTCGCAGCCGGGCAACGAGTACTATCTCTTCGCAGTGCTCGAGAAGGAGGACGGCGAGGCGGTCGGCGCGATCCGCTCGAGGAACTGACCCGATCACAAAGACCGGGATGATTGCTTGGTGACGAGGTGCAAGGTTTCTGCTGGCGGCCCGGGCAAGACGTTTACCGTCTTAAACCCCGAAACGAGCTAAGAGACTTGCGAGGTTTTGGAATGGGAGTCTTGTGGGCGGTATTGGTAGAAAACCAATCATACAAACTCATTTGAGCCGAGTAATGTCCGTACGTGAACGCCTGCTAGATTGGTGTGTTCCTCATCTCGTCAGCCTGTAGGCAGTGAGGACGTGAAGGGAGAAATCGGGCTAGCTGGAGCAAAGCTCGCACAAGCAGACATGTGTAGGGCTGCCATTTAGCAGTTACGAGCCAACCTGTACAGCAGTCAGTGGGGGACTATGACGTTGGCTGAGCGCGCAAAAGGGCTCGCCGCTGCTCCTTCAGGTGTGTAGAGTAATTCGAAGGCAACCCTCCTTGGAATAGAGCAAAACGACATGGCAACGTACAACAGTTTGGAGGAGCGGAGGAACATCTGTTTTACACTCCTGAAAACAAGGTTGTCTCAACAGAAGTTGAGGATGCCAGGTGTAGGGGCGGAGCGCTTCATTTGAATGAGACCTCCAGTATCCGAGGTACTGCCCAACGAGGCATCCATCTTTGTGCAACCTGCCCGAAGCCCCCTCTCCTCATGGTAAAAGCCTAGGGTAGTCGGGTGGTGGCTTACCCAGCGAAACGAGGCTGAGTGGCCCAGGCTTGGGGTGGACGAGGGTCGGGTCAATGGTGCTCGGGGTGAAGCCTGGGTTCCTGGCGAACCACGGCGTGGTGGTGCTCGGGGTGAAGCCTGGGTTCCTGGCGAACCATCCACGCCGTGGTTAAGTGACAAACACCTCCTAGGCCTGGACTTCGGCGAGCCACTCGATCCGCTGCAATGCCAGCAATACATGTCACCTGCATGAGGCACATATATGTACACATTAAGCTTGTGGGAAGAGTGCCTAAAGGCTGGACGGGTGAAATGGTCCTGCTGATTGGTTGACACGCAGCGAGTACTGGCCTGGATGGCGGCGGATGACGCTCGGCAAACAGTCCCGGGCACTGCGGCTGTTGAAACGCAACAGTTGCGCCACTTAGAAAACCAAGATGGTGGCTATTTCGTGGCGTTTGGTGGCACTTCGGTCAGATCACCTAGAGAGAATCGTGTTGAGAGGCAGTAAAGCATTGTCTTTCCAATCGAGTAACAATGATGTAAACGAGATAGTGCAGACCAGATAACATGCGGAGTTTTAGAATAAACCAAAATAAAAAAAGGTGTCCCGGGGACGTCGGACGGCTTGCCTTCGTTTCGGGGCAACGAAGCGGATGCAGACGTTCTTCTGCTTTTGCCTCATTGTGATTTCAACGGGAATCCCAGTTTGCCGTGGCTTGATGAGGTCATGCCGGGTGAATCGAGTCCTGGTGGACCACAGACAGACTTGGTTTGAAATATTGGGGACGCTGTCCCTGAAAGCTTTTTAGGAATATAGTTCGCGTTGGTTCGCCTGCGACTCTGCGCAGTGGGTTAGGCAGCGAGGCAAGCAAGATACGTATCTTGGGGATAAGACACCCTGTCTCACTTTGTCTCGGACAACCCACCCATTAACCCATCCACCTACTTGCCCACTTGCTAGCCTACTTACTGTTACGATTAACTCCGCCAACCTACCAACCTACCTACCACCAGACCCCTGTTTCTGCCAGCAGACTATACCCCTCACGGCAGGCCGCGATACTCGCTGCCGTTAGCTTGCAAAGTGGAGGTGGTCAATTTATCCAGTATTTACGGAAGATATGTATCTAGGTATCTTGGGGACTTGCATAGTACGTATCTTGCAAGCCTGCTGGAACTGGGTGGTTCGCCGTCCTTCCCAGCTATCTTAAAGGGCAATGAATCTCTTCGAATTTCAGGACGGTATCATCAGATATTACGCCAACCTTCTTCTTAAAGCAATTGTTCTGGTTCCCTTCAGGCATACGATCTCTTCTGCGACCAATCCCACGTATTCGCTCTACTTATTGCACCAAGTCTGAGACCTATCTAGAATTTTATTTCTTGCTGTTCTGGTCATCGGCGCCGCGTCTCGAAGCAGCTTGTGCTCTACGACAAGGGGGAATGACCATTATGGACAAACTCTCAAAGATGACTCCTGGCGCTAAAGAAGTGCTCTCATGCCCATATCCCGGCTGCACATCCAAGCCCTTTGCGACGAAGGCAAACCTCAAGCGACACAATAAGGCCAAACATGGCTTGATGTATCTAACGCCTTGTGGCAAGCTGTTGCGCACCCATGCTTCCAATAACCAACGCCATCTAAAGACATGTCACATGTGCAAGTGCATATGTCAGGCACAGGCGCCCTGCCCTGGAGCTCCGAGTGCACGGGTGCTGCCACCTGTCCTGCCCGACCTTAACCCGGAGCCCCAGTATGACGGTTCCTGGCACTGGGGAGCCGCTGGAGACGGCACATTGTTCAACACCGACTATGGACAGTACCAACTGTGAGCTCATCCCTGAAGTGCCACAACCGGAACTTGCTAATAATCAGAAAGTTCATTCAATGACATTGCATCCGGGGAAACAGTACCATAGCAGTGGTCCGACTGCAGCACGGTACGTCCCAAATTTCCCCACTGCCAAGTGCCGAATCTGATGCGCCACAGGGCCACCCCAGTAACGGAGGCTCCTACCGGGATCGCTCACCCGGGCTGCCTGAAGAGTCCGAATCCGCTTCCCCGACCACGAACCTACCACAACAACCTTAGTGAGCCTGTCAAAAGCCGCAGGTGTTGGAGGCACTGTCGGCACCCTGCAGGCACAGCGGGCGGCCGGCAAATGACCATGCGGCTGAGAAATTTCAGGCAACCAGGTGGAACAGGGGCTGCGTAGGTATATAATCCCCGCATTTGCCCTTATTTCCCGTCAGCGTTCTGTTTCCTTGCAGTGAACAGATGATAGGCTCCCCACTGACGAACGACTGCGCTTTAGGCCATCAACCAAGCACAAACCAGCCGTCCGGTCCCTGACGGCTCCAATGGCCTAAACAATTTGCAGCGCAAACACGGCGCACCGCTACTTACACCAAACTCGAAAACAGGACACCGCCGGGATGTCTTCACAGAGCAGAGTCGATGCGCAACGCGGGTCGGGATGGAAGCGGCAGAACCCCATTTTTGAGGATACCGTTGCAGGCGTGTCGTCCGAACATGGCGTTTTAAGCTTCGATCCGAGGTCGAATTAGGCTCAAGCCAAATGGCCCCGTCATGTACCCCCGTCGCACGACACCCGTCGTCCGGAGTAGCACGGGTATCACCAATGGCGGTCGATCCGTCACACTGTTCGGGCGACTGGTCAGAAGATGTTCTACAATCATGCATGCCAGCGACTGGGTGGTTGTCTGACGCCGGACACCGCACATCCATTGCGACTGGAGGCGATCGATCGAGAGCAACTTATAAGACTATTACGGAAGGGATGGGGGATTTCCTTGCAAAGGACGTCTTTTTCGGCAGGAGGGGCCAAAAAGCAAGCTTCGGGACCCGACGGAATTGTGGAGAACAATACAATGGACGATGGGCGGTGGGGCCACGGAGTCCACGCCCCGGTCGTTAAATCGCCGACGTTCTCGCAAAACGAACAAAAACCGCTTGGGTCCAATTCTCACGAACCGGCAAGCCTTGCAAAATGGGTGGTGTCGCATCCGCACACCTGGGCGAGCCTCAGCTTTGACCTGCACCAAGCTCCGATGATAACTGCGAACTTGTCCAAGAGTTCTATTGATTTGCATGGGCTCGAGCTACACAGCAAGCTTTCTGGATCATCCGCGTGTTCGGGTTGCATCTCATTAGCCCAAAGTTTGCCAGCTCAGATATTTAGAGAAAAGTATACGTATGGGATCTAGAACGGTGGGAGGGCGGTGGAGAGGGGGGTGGCGTTAAAAAGGAAATCCCAGAACAGAATCTTCCGCCAATAATCCAACAGATGTTTTTCTATAGTAGAAGTATACAAAATTTATTCACGGCAGTACGTCATTATGCTTTAGATAAATATATCAGAATGGGCTCCCACATATATCTTCATCAAAATGTCGCCTAGGGAACCGTCAGGTCGCCTGCCATGTGCGTCAGAGAGCCAAGCAAGACAGGGCAGAAAGACCAGACAGGGCAGAAAGGTCAGACAAGTCAGAGTGTACTCCAGTGGCTGTGTTGGCGACAGCAGCCAAATGAGGAGGAGACAGGGATCAGGAGAGATAGGAGAGACGGGAGGGACAGGAGGGACAGGAGGGACGGGAGGGACAGGAGGGACAGGAGGGACAGGAGGGACAGGAGGGACAGGAGGGACATAAGGGACATGAGGGACATGAGGGACATGAGGGACATGAGGGACAGGAGGGACATGAGGGACATGAGGGACAGGAGGGACATGAGGGACATGAGGGACAGGAGGGACAGGAGGGACAGGAGGGACAGGAGGGACGCGAGGGACAGGAGGGACAGGAGGGACGTGAGGGACGTGAGGGAAGTGGGGGAAGTGAGGGGAAGGAGGGGAAGGAGGGACATAGGACACATAGGAGACATAGGACACATAGGAGAGGACTCTACAGCAACAATAGATCTAATAACAGCTTATTAATATAGAGAATAAAAGTGCAGCTATGCTTAGAGAAGGTACAGCTGATTAAAGGGTAGGAACATAAGGAGAAATTAAAATAAAATAGGCACAGCTCTATAGAGATCCTAAAGGTTAGTGCAGTAAAACACCTAGTCTACTTCAAAAGAATAAGAGCATTTATTTATCTTCTGTAGTGAATATCACCAAGAAACAAATACTAATACTAGTAGCTGATCTTTAAAAGTAAGCAAGCACTTCACACTCAATTCTACCTACCTAGGTACGCTACCTGTAAGTCAAACGCCAACGTTGTGTATCGCCGTTACTAAAAAAAACACCACTGGTAACCAACCTTCAGCATCACTGTTATTAGCCTGTGAGGGGGGAAAAAACATCATTGTTACTAACTTGGTGGGGGGGGAGACATCCCTGTCACTGACCTTTGGCATCCCCGCGGAGGTATAGTGTAGAGAGCGCGGTCCCAAAGAGCTACCGTAGCATCGCTGCGCTGCGGCGGCGGCATCCCTGCACTGCGGGAGCGGCATCCGTATCCCTAACCCTGGCAGATGCATTCAGTCCAATCCGATTCGCTCCGGACCAACTTGCTCAAGTCCGACTCGCTCCAGTCCGACTCGCTCCAACAGAAGCACAGCCAGGAACGGGCTAAGAAGCATGCCATGCTTGCCTAAAGCTCTAGCTCGGAAGAGAGAAAGCAGGGGTCTTCGAAAGCCCGGCGGGTTACAGAGACGCCGACCCTGAGGAATGGTCGACAGGCAGTCTGCAATCCGACACCCCCGTTGTGGACCTGGGACGAGATTTGTCGTCCGAAAAGATCAAGGTTCATGCACAACATTATCTTCCTCTTTTCCTCAATCTTCCATATTTCTCAACTATATATTCAACTGACCTTCACTTTCCAAGACAAACTACGTCTAATGGGCTCCATGGACCGGTTTCTGGACTGCCGTACCTCATAAACAAGCTTTCACTTTTCCTGCACTCTCAACCCTCACCAACCTAGGCAAAGTTCTTTTCGCTATGGAACAAGAATGTTTCAAGCCGAGTCTACAATGTCCGATGCCGGGTTGCAAGTCGGCTCCGTTCGCGTCGGCCCCGAACCTTGCAAGACATCAGACTGCAAAGCACGGAGCACCGGTTACCATGCTATGTGGGAAAAAACTGCAGAACGTACCGTATAACTACAAACGACATCTGTTTGATAGTTGTGGCATTTGCATGGACATACTTCGAATGCTTGGGGGCCGAGACCTCCGCGCCGACTTCAAGGCCACAAGCCTTGACACCCTTCACCACATGCACCGGGAGATGTTGCACCAAGACTACCTCCCTGGTGCTCAAAAACCACGTCCAACTTGGACCGGAGTCAGACTCAAAGACGAACACGAGGACTACAAGACAGTCAGCGACTCGACTACTTCGGCTAGCCAGGCTCCCGACGACAGTAGCAGCTCCGAGATGTTCGCCAACCGGCCCTGCATATGCCCGGAACTCAACTCATCGCCCAAGTCCGAAGACATCAAGGGATTCAAACACCAGTCCTTTGTGGAACTCAACCACTCAACTCTCGGGTATGCCATCGGAGGCAACGTGAGCACGGATTGGCAGCAACACGTTGAAATGCCAACTCATTTCGACGATGCATTTGAGGTGTATCCGCAAGGTCAGACATATTCCGGACAAATGGAAGTGGACTACAACTGGGGAGTGATGTCCTTGGGCTAGGTGCACCTTCCTGTGAGGCAAGCAAGGTCACCGGCTGACAGCGGTACAGGCCCCAATATATGGACCAGCCAATGGAATAGGTGATGTAGTGTGCAATAGCGATTGGGCGATGAAATCATCGGCGGGTGTGCATGCATTCTATATGCAGCATCGATGGGCAGGTCCGATCCTGGTGTGAATATATGTAGCGAGTCCATCAACACCGATTTGGGTTTGAAAATAGTGGCGAACTGAGCCTCCGAATGAGGTGTAATTAAGCTTGATGTTGCCGAAACTTACCTTGACCTCCAGCCCCGCATGCTTGTTTGGTGGACTGTGTCGTGATTTAATGATGCACACTGTAACCCCCATCTGGTGGAAGGTTCGGATGGCTCGTTGACAGCTGATTGGGCATGAACAAGACAATATCCACTGCTGGCCGTCAACGCTGACAGCGCCCCGAGTTCCGATTCACCCCCGGCCGACGACCCATCGCGACCTCGTGCGATTGTGCGGGGTTAGACTAGGTAATCTTGATATGTTCTGGCGGCGGACGGCGGACGATGGATGGAGTCTCTGCACGATGGCAGGGGAGCTGGGACATGTCGCTAGTGCACTTTTTGGTGCTAGTGTGAATGCACTGTTGGTGCACCAGGTTTTTTTTTTTTTTTTTTTTTTTTAGTAGAGTTTTTAGATCCCATTCGCTCACACTCCCGTCGTCCCGTGGCCACGGTTCCGTCTCGCTGCCCTGCATCTTTGCGGGCGTTTCTTCGCCCGTTTGCTAGCCTAAGTCGGCGCCTAACCGCCCATTATCCACTCATCCCAGCTGTAGTGTCGTGAGGACGGCCGCTCTCCATGCACGTGCTTGCGGACGCAACCTAAAAAAATAAAATAAAATAAAAAAGTCCTGCTGATGGATGCCTGACGGGGAGCCAATATAATTGATATTTAGCCATCCGCAATCAGTGGCATCACCGCCAGCCCCGTGTAAGAGTCCGGGCCAGAGGCCGTTGCACAATGAAAGATTGAGGAGCATCAAAGGAATGTCGATGTGATTTTTAAAGAATTTCGATATAAATTTGGGGATTTGCTGCGTCCGTCCTGCTTTCTCGACCATCCTTTCTCAATGTGCCATACTATCATCTTCACTGCGCATTGGTAATCAGGGCCCGCAGCTGATCTTCATACTCTTGATACCAAGAATGCCACGAGCCGCGGACGACTTAGACTACCTCCCCCTTTAGCACCATGTCCGCAGACGAAGCTTCCGCCGCCCCCGCCGCCACAAAATCCCAGAAGTGCCCTGAACAACGCTGCACGGCGGCTCTCACCACCAAGTCCAACTTGAACAGACACATGCGCAAGCATGGCCGCAAGGTCCGAATGCCGTGCGGGAAAGAACTGAAAGATCATCCTACCAACAACACGCGGCACCAGAAGAGTTGCGACAAGTGCCAGAGCGTACACGCCGCTGGGGTGAGAGGCAGCGTTGTTGCCGGAGCCGGCACCAATACCCACCCGCATCCGGTCGGCAACCCCCCGGATGACTCAGCTATTCCCACCCAGCATATCCTGCACCACGCTCCAGAATCCCATACCGCGCCCGAATATATTATAAGTGCAAACCCTGAGCTTCAATACCTTTTTGTTATTGATCCCACGCCTCAAGTTTATGAGCCGAGCCAGGCCTACTGGCCGACTGACCCCGGTGCTTGGGCCGGAGATGGGTATGCATGCTCCCACAGCAATTCGGCCATCGCTGACACAATATGGTTCTCAAAGTGATGAAGTACCGGACTTGGACAACTCTCTTTTGCAGTTCGGCTTTTCAGATTCTGTTGGAGGTACGTATACAGGTCAGAATGAAGAGGGGCGACATGGGGTGTATGCATTGTAAGAGAGTAGACGTGGGGGTGCAGTGTGAGGGAGGGCGTTGGTTTAACCCACGTTTGGCCGTTGGTCGGGACATCAATGCGTCAGGCACTCGAGCCGGAACCTTCATCTTCAATACAACGATTGACGCATAGTACCACATCCAGAAATGCAATCCTGCACCGTGCTGACGTGCGTCGCAGCTTGCCCACGGCTGGGAAAGCCCTGAGAGCTTGCGCTAGGCCGAAGTGACAACATCCTCCTACCTACCTACCTAAGTAGGTGGAACATGGACCCACCCAGGTACGTACTGATCAGCTTCCGGCCGGTGCCCCACCGCGGGCCGCACTTAGACTCGGCGGCCGAAGCCCTAGTCCGCCGCACGCGGAACCGCTAGTGGGGCTTAATCGGCATATCGGGGGCCCACACCACGGCACGTCCATCGCGGCGTTCTACGAAAATCATCTCCAGGTATTTCTAAATGCATGCAAGAAATAATATGAGATGGGAACGGATACGCACAAGATGTGCAGATTCTTAATAAGAATAGGTAGACGTGACTTTTCTTTTCTTGCTGGTGGTAATCCGGTTTCAGCCTGTCGTTGTTTCCTACCCCTATTCATTTCTGTATAGAGCGCGGATTCCGCTGTTGGTTGCAACACAAGAGCCGCCGCAGCACTACGACGACTCGGTTAACATCAGCTTCGGCGTCCTCCACCATCAACCCCTTAGGGACCCTGCGGCATCGGAGGAGCAGTCGCAGGCCCCAGCTTTCAACGACGATCAATTGCTCGACGCCTTTTTTCTTGAGTAGGATCAATGGCTGCGGGTTGCGCAGAGACTCGCAGCATTATGAACGTGCTAAAAAAATTCCAAGTCCAACAGACGTACCTGGATTCGGTAGCTCCACAGGTGTTCAGTGGCCCGGTTATGGGGTGAGTTCCACTGTACAAGCGGGCGTAGCCGTCGCCTAACGTGTACTGTACCCCAGGTCCCCCCAACAACTACGCTTAGTCACGCACGGTGGCCACTCGTCATTCAGATTGCCAAGCCAGACGATGGGACGAACCGTACACGTGTGGCGACATGACAATGGTAGATTCGGGATGAAGGAGGGGCAGATGGGGAGAACCACGTGCAACTTAGAGCGACTTAGTACATGTAAGACAGCAAGCGCCTCTGGCCGGCGTGTTCCTAGTCTGCATAACAGCAAGATCCCAGGAAGGCTCTGCAGCTCAAAAACAAAAACACCATAGATCACCAATTTTACCATTTTGAAGGGGGTTCTGCATAGCAGCCAGATGAACCAGCTCACCTACATGTCTGCGCACAGTGAGCAATCATGTACCTAGGTACTTTAAGCGACATATGGCCCCCACCTAGCCTGTACTGAACAAAGGCACACCCATTTGAGTATTGTTCAAGTACCTACCAGGACACCCGAAGTAGCTGCAAGCCCATCTTCCAGTAAATCCAAGCATAGTGCGTCCAAGCTGACGATTACACCGGACAATTTCCAATCCAGTACACATTTTTACATTGCAGTCTTGGCTCCTGCACAAATACTTTTTGATTTGTCCGGTGGAGGCATCGCCAGGCTGATATGAAAAACAGTTTCGGGAATAGGGTGAAGGATACGCGAATCGCTGTGCTTTTGGAGTCATGGACCCCAGCCATTAAGGCAATTGCCGCGGCGGTGCCACGAAAGGCGTCGAAGAATCTGGCTCAAAATCGGGTTGGGATGAACCACGGCCATGGTTTCGACCCGTACCGCTTCCAGAGGCTGCATGGCAATGCGGGGTTGTCCCAGAGCGGAGCTCTCCAGGGGACCTCGCCGTCAGGTTCCGAGGCTAGGGACCCGCCGTAACAACGAGAAAGTTAGTGGGGTAGCCCGGTAGCCCGGGGCCCGCATAGTGGTTGAGACCGCACCGGAGCGGACCCGGCGTGTTCGTATGCCGAGCTACGAGCTGTAAAGTGTATCGTGGAACGATTGGTAGTCAACCTCCGCTTTTTTTTTTTTTGTATATATTTTTAAGTACATATTTTTTATCTAAGGGGGAGATACGCTGCACACTGAGAGCTGCTGTGCGATGGCCGTCTCCAGCGATTGACCGACTCATTGTCGGACCGCGCCCGTCGGCTGTCGCGCGCATGCGCCAACAGTGTTTGAACGCAATCGAGCGTGTGGAAACAATGCTTTGGTTGCACTGGCAATCCTTTCCGGACTCACGCCTCGAATTTGTGCTTTATTCCTGGCATGTCCTACGTGACGCCACGTACGCTTCTAGACCGCGACGAGGAGGCAGATGCCAATGCCTTTTCTGCTCATCCCGTGGGGTTGCTCATAATGAGATGAGCAAACCTAGCAGTATGTGACAGGTAGTCGGTAAGCCTCCCTTAAGCCTGCCCCGATGCGCTTCAAAGACATGTGTGGGCAGACGTTTGCTTTGAGGCCCCCTGCCAGTGTTACCTGTCGAATCTCGTCGTCTGCAGGGTCGCTCTTGTCTCCCGCACAAGTTTCATCCCTTGCTCAATGCCCAAATCGGTTCTTCTATTTAAGATTATGCCTCATCATTTTTCATTCAATTGTGGTGGTTTCTTCTCCCGCAGTCTTGCATGTACAAAGCAGGTTCCCGAACCCCCCTTGACAGGAGGCAACGTGTGATATCTCCGTCTTTGCTCCCAGCACTGAGGCAAAGGGCGATTAACTATGTTTCTTAGAGGAGGCTCACTGTATTCATCTATGACAAGTGTTCTAGTTCTAGCCAGGAAGCAATCTCTTCGCCGACTACCTTGCTGCGAGTTAAACCCCAGGTGCATTGGCCCATGGCTCAAAAGTACGCTGCCAAGAACTGTTGACGTCGAAACCTGTAGCCTGCACGCAGCACCCAGTGTTTCTATGACGGTGCACACGCCAACTCGAAGAATGAATAGAGAATCCTACCATGCGTGGCGTGCAGGAAGCCTCGAGACGCCTGTGGGACGCTGCCGCTTTTGGAGAGTGAACGCCCGACTTAGCAATGCGACGAACCGTCCTTGGCCTCTTAAAGGAACGCCACCACCAGAGACGGCTCGGGCCGGACCGTTTTTCATGTCAAGCCAGTTCGAGCATTCACCTTTGTGTTGCCTTCGATGTGACTGATCACTGTTTCACGCTTGCCATTTATCGACAAGGATCCAGGGTCAAAGAATAGCGGTTAGTTACCGAGTTATGCATACTGTTCATAACCTGACGGCCTGCTAGAAGGAGACAGTGCGATCAAGTTTTGGCATCTGGTTTCCCTTGGCCAACGTCCACTGGGTCCTAGCGAGGGCCTGACAGGACCACGATGGGTCGCATTATAGAACACGCATGCTTGGGACAAAAAGACCGGTTGACATGAAGAGTTGATCGCACGGACGCCACATAAGCCCGAAATTTGTGCCTGACATCAGTAATGCACGCAGAAACTGGAAGAGGGGGGAGGTTCAATTAGAGTGGACGATCTACGGCACCCAAACTGCCACAAGTATTGTGTCTCAAGGATAATGGGGATCATCAAGATTGGTGCATTTCGCACGTAAGCAAGGGGTCGGGAACCGCCAGGTAGACGAAGACGGATCGGGGGGTAGAAGGATAACATTCAGTTAATGCATACTGGGTCTAGGGCTTATCGCAGTACGAAGACCACCCCAAAGTCAACGGCGTTGAAGATGTCATCTTGATTGCAGAAGGGCAGGGGCCTTTTGCGGGCCGAGGCTGACTATTGTAGGGCCTGGTCCATTGATGTGGCCTGCCATGTCCCTTCTGCCTTCGAAAGATATGTGCCGAGCGGCTCATATGATCAGCGTCAAGGGACGTCCAAGCTTATTTGGTGACGGTGTTGGTGCTCTCATTACACAATCAGACGTGACCTTGTAATTGTGCTTTGTTCCAGTTCATAGCCTTGGGCAAACGGGAGGGTAGAGGCCTAAGGCTCTGCGGGCTGACGCCATGCGTCATATGCGATGACCAAAGGACAGTACCTTCGCCTGCCATGGCAGTCGCAGTGTCAGGTAGCAGTACGAGGTACGACCGCGGTGAGACATAGGTTCTGGCAAGGTGCAGGGAATACGGGCCTCCAAGGATGTTTAGGAGGGCCTTCGAACGACAATGTCAGGAGGTAACTGCTGAGTACCGAGTAGGGGAATGTCAGACATCAGGTTCTCGTCGGGGAGCAAATATAAAGGTGGGTTGGGGAAGAGTCGACGAGGGATCGGCATGGAATGATGAATGAGTAGGAGGGTATCCGTAATGGAAGGGGAATAGGAAAAAGAAAGCATAGGAAATTGAATGAAGAAAAAAGTGGTTCCTACACGCCGAAGCAATCTCACCATGCAGCCCTAGTTTCTTCTTCTTAATCTTGTGTTATTCCCTTTGGGGAGTAGGTAAGTAAATCGAGCAGGGCCCCCCGGTATCCGCTTTCTCGGTTTCATAACTCGCCCGGTTGTGCCCCAAGAGCAGCATGTGCATGTCCAATGAGCAATACAGACAATTGTGCAAAGGATTCTTCCCCGCAGCCAGAGGAACAGATCTCGACCTCTCGAGCTGACTGTAGGGGTTGTCGATCCTCACCCCAATGGGTGGCATTGCAAGGCGGAACTACCCTAGTCAAGAAGTCACCGGCTAGTAGGTCCCGGCTCCCCGTTGCTGGTCGTGCCACACCATCGGGAACAGAAACGCCTGTCAAAGTCTTGTCGTCAGCAACCGTCCTTGTAAGGTGCATGGGTAGTAAGGCAAAATAGACAGGGTGTTGAAGAGCATGCTTTGGCCTGGTCATAACGAGCACCTCAGTCGGGTTACGAGGACCAAAGTGCCCTGAACGCTGACCGAAAACTCCCTTTCTAATTAGGCTACGGCGCGCACGACGCACTTTTTCTGTGTGCTGTGCTAAATCCATCGCCGGTCAGCAGGGGTTGGAGATTGGAGGATGGCCGGGGTGCCATATCGACGACTCGGAATCACGAGGAACCTGCATCTCAAACTTGTTACTTGGCAAACCGTGCCAGGCTCCGAAAAGACGGTCAACTCGTACCATTTTCCCTCCATTCGGTCGGCCGCGACTGGGGACGTACACTGTAGGGGTCTCAACGCCGTGCCAGCACCTAACACTCGCGTGGCTCGGAAGAACCGAGAGGGTGTGGTCAGGCAGATCATTGGCTCCGCGGGAGTACTTGCCAACGCATGGCTATCTATGAACGGACTTATAGTATCAGATTAAGATTGACTAATGAGTAGAGCTGTTTGGAGTAGATCTAATCGCGTCGCTCCCACACAGGATGACATATAAAGGCTGCCCTCCCACTCATCTAGATCCCCATCTAGCAGCTGACCATCAACGCTCAACACTCGTTCTCATTCTGCCCCCTATAACACAACAACCATCCTCATATTTAACTTGCAAAGAACCACCAACTGTTCTCACCACTACGATGTCGGCGCCAACCCCAAGTCTCAAGCGATGTCCGAGAAGCCACTGCAAATCCCGGCTCGATTCGGACGCTACTGTTCGCAGCCACATCATCGATGCCCACGGAAAAGACCCAGAGCGTATGGTGTGCGGGGGCTACACCATCAAAAGCTACTACTATAGACAAAAACACGCAAAAGAATGCCGCCAGTGCAGGTCCGGTGCCCCAGCGGCCGAGACCGTCGTCCCTTCCATCGAAAGCGACGCCGACTCCGACGACGCCAGCATCACCGGGGCCGACCCGCGAGACGGCGAGGCTGAGCAGGCCTTTCGAAACCGCAAAGTGGTTTTCAACGGCCCCAACTACGGCGTCATCTACGTGACGGTCGAAGTGTGCTCTCGGTCGCCTAGCTGCACCAGCGACCCGAACTAGCATCTCCTCCGAGACGGCCCCCCCAAAGGGCGAAATCACGAGCGGCGTATTCATACAAGACAATGCGGCTGCGATAGGGAATAGGTTATCTTTGAGCGAGCGTGAGAAGGTTTAGCGTATAGAAAAATCATGGGACTTTGACGAAGGACGGGTATGACGAGGGCTTGGCGCGCGATGGACGCGGTGTACCAATATGACATTCTCAGCTCTTATCATCACTTTACTTTTATACCATCTTTCAATAACCGTAGCCAAGTTGTGGGGATGTTTTCCCCAAAGGTCTGCGGGGGGTTCCCGGACGCTCACCTAAGTGCTTTCGTGTCAGGTTTGGCTCCCTGGGATGGGACACACCATTTGGTCTTTTCTGTGATAGCAGTACATCAGACGATTCCAGGTCGCCGCTGAGAGAGAGGTAAACAGGCCGGGAGTAGCCTCCAGCCAGCACCCTGTCGAGATGGGGATGCGTAATGGTGGCCGTTGCGACGTAAGGAAAGGGGTCGGCAGGAAAAGGGGGGGGCATTATCATTGTGGCCTGCTCAAGACAGATGACAGATGAAAAGTTTGAAAGAAAAAAGAAAAAAACAAACAACGAGGTCAAACTTTGTTTACGATTTGTGAGCTTGGATACCCGACAACGGCTGTCAGTTAACCTCACCCCTGAGCTGAGGCACGCATGCCCGCTCGCCTATTTTGCCTTGCCTTGCCTCTGAACTTATGGGATCAAGTATATAGACACTAGTCCTGTAATGGCCTCGCAAGGGCAACAAGTGATAATCAACGCTGTAAAGTTACACCCAGTCCGAGAACTGTGCCGACATCTGTCCTGGGTCATGGTTTGCTGCCTTTGTCCGACGGGGAACGTACAGCCGCAACTAGGTATCTGCCTACAGAATACAATAGACAACCAGACATGCGCACACAGACCGTCTGTTGCGCGACTTGGAGGTTTCCCGAAGGCACACATAGGTCGGCTTCTGCCTGGAATGATCATCAATGCAACGAACCGATTTCTTGACTGGGGCGGCGGTGTGGCTAGGAACGGGGCTGCCCTATCATCACCAGTCTGCTCCCGGCCGAGCGAACCATCGTTTGGGTCGCCCGTTCTGTACCTTGAGTCGGCCAGGTGGGCTGTGATCTGGCAGCCAGGGACAAAGTCTGCCTCGGGGGCTGACAGCGTGCACGCTTGCGCTTGTCTGGTCTGCAACGTCCGCTGCTGCGTGCCCTGGCTCGAGGGCAGCCAAGACCATGCATATCTACGGGTTTACAGGAGTGATACCACTGTATAGCCCTTTGAGAGGCACCAATCCACCTCATTTGATCGCGACTGACATGATTCCTGTCGCAGCAGTGAGTCACCTAGAGGGGTTGAAGCATCATCACCACGGCGACTTGTCAAGCTTCCGTTATCAATCTTTTCTTTCTTTTCGAAAGTCAATCGCTTACGGACCGACCCACAAATGGGCCGCCAACCAAAGTGTAAAAATGAACAAAGCGGATTTGGGAGGCTTGGCGACGCTGCCGGCGGCAAAGGCACCATCAGGACGTGGCCAGCTCCCAATGCTCGTGTCACAATCTGTCACTGAAGAGAGTCGGCCGTTTCATCTATAGTCCCTGAATAGAGAAGCTCGCAGAAGCGGCCCTCCTCCGATGACCGCGGTGCGCCGGCTGGGAGGGTCTTTGGCTTCGTTGGTTGGAACAAGGTTGCATCATCCAGACCAGCACACGAGCTGCGCAGTTTCAAGCCCCACTCCGCCCGCCAGTCTGCCTTGCACTAGCTGCACTACAACACGGCGTCGCCGTCTCGTTTCTCGAAGGTTCCGCTGGGTGTCTGCCTTGTGCCGCCTATGTCGAGGCCTCGTCATAAGGGGGGAAAAGGTCTTTTCGCTGGGAAACTAGCACCGGCTCCTCGGACCTTGCTTCTTTTCTCGCACCGCCCGGGCGCAGATGTGACGGTCGAAGCGTCGCCCTGGCATGAAATTTATCGTTTACATCGATGAGATATCTCTTTCTCAGGGGGTTGTAAGGGAGTTGCAGAAACTCGGACGAATGATGACGATGCGTCTAGATGGATCTCAAGACGCACCGTCAGGGGGCGCTTGACACGCTTGGCTTCGTTCTCGAGGTTCTCTTATGGTAATTACCTCCCTAAGTAAAGCGGATGGGCTGTTTACATGTCGGGCAGACGAGACGAGACGAGACGATACGGCAGCTCCTGGATACTCGACAGAAGAAAACGTCAGAGGAAACAACTTGACTTCTCGAAGCCGGGGCTTAGGCAGAGGCCGCTTGCGAGACACACGGAAAACCAGTGAGCAGCCCCGCGATATAGGAAATCCTGATCAATTCGAGACCTTTGACCTTATTGTTTGCTGACGTGCGGTGTGACAGTTTCCATTCCGGTGCTTCTCTAGACAGATGTCGGTGCGTGTTCACGACGCCAGCAGCACTTCCGTTCGATGTCTTTGGCCCAGCACTGCCACTGCCGAAGGGCAAGCGCACAGTCTTCTTCTTGGTCGTGAGGGGTTTCAACGCCAACCAGCGCGAAGATTCGGTCCCCTTGGCACAGGTGTCCGGAGCTTTGGCCGATATAGCGGGCCACTCGGTCTTGGACGGACGTGCTCACGCCGTCGTCCATCAGCGGTCCGCGTCGGCCATCAGGATCCGTTCTCGGCCGTCGGTTACGAAGACTTGTGGAAGATGTACTTAATCCCCTACGGGCCGTAGGATACTCGGTTTCTGCAAGTTAAACGGAAACGGGCAACCATGGTGCTGCCTCTGCCGTCTTGGACCGGGTCTATGCGGTGGTATGCGCCGCCCATGACCCCATTCTTGCCCCCTGCGACCAGATACAATAGCTGGCACGGCGAAGTAACGGTTCGAAAGAAGCTGCGTATGATTATATTGATGCCTCCAGGCCCCTGGCTCATGCAGTATGCTTTCCTTTCTATCAACATGGCCGTTGCGACTCCAAGAGCCCTAGCACGACAGGGCATGTCCTCGCTCGTTCTTTCAAAAGGAGGCGAAAGCCACAAACTCGTCGACTTTTTGCGCCCAGCAAGCCGGGCAGAAAGCATGAGACGGACGCACCATCTCTCCGAGGCTGTTTCGTTTCGGTCGTGAGACGCGATGAAGGACGGAGGCCACGACAGGCCGCTTTTCCCCTGTGAGGTGCCCAGCTGCGGCTCCAGGCCCTTCTCGACGAAGTCCGACCGCGACCGACACGTGTTCCAAAAGCATTTCCCGCCGACCGTCATGCCCTGCGGAGCGAAGCGCGCGACGCACGAGTCGAACAACAAGCGCCGCATTAGAAAGTGTGTGTAATGTCAGGGCGAGATGCAGAGACATGGCGGAGCCGAATCGCTTCCGTCTTGATTTTGGGTCCCATCGGGCCCTCCCCGCCCACGAAGGTTGCGTAAGCAGTACTCAGTACCAGAACCCCGATTGCGGCGCTGGACCCGAGCAAGTCTACTCTCCGCTTGTCCGAGAGACCCCCGGTGACATACCCGTCAACTGGACGCAGATGCCGTTCTTCGACGAGGCCTTCTGGGCACAGCAGGGAGACAGGTGAGCCTCACTCCTCGCTATCGTTGAGCGGCTTTCCGTAATAACCGCTGACCACAGCCTGAACGACATCGTCGACGAGTACAAGGATGAATATCAAGAACAGTGCGAATTATTCACAGAGTTTAGGCTCAGAAGTACTTGGCATAGGGCATCACAACAAAGCCTCAATCTGCTTGCAGTCACTTTCTCGTGCACATAATGGCTTTGTTCACATCGTGTTGTGTCATGTCTCGACGAACTCTTCTCCAAATACCCGCCCATTCCGTCGGAATGCAGTCCGTCCCAGATCCGGCTGAAGTTCGACAGTCGCAAAGAGACGTTAAACGGTCATACTTGCACGTGATTCGTGCGGCAGACTTTCTATTCTGGGAACTCATCTGCGCCTACTAGGAACGCTGTGTGACCTGCAGACATCTGCAATGCTTATTACGGGTAGCAAGGAGGGAGGTGACACCACTACCCCTAGGCGGGGGCTGTGCGAACTGCCGAACAAGACTGCCGAGGAACACGCTATGGCCAGTTGCGTAAGGTCGGTCTCAAAGCCTGCCGCGGTCTTGAAGACACAAAAGCAAAACTAGTATAACCCAGGACGTAAGCAAGTAGTCCATTTAAGCATTTAAGTTTATCGTCCCCCAGCTGTCAAGATCTGTAGTCAACACGTAGCACCGATCGTGGAGTAAGGACGGGCATGGCGGGGTCAGTGAGCGAACACTTCCACCCAGCGCATCCACCCGACCCAGTCTTGCGAGGATAGGCGAGCAAGTCGACCAAGTGTTACCAGTTGTGTGACAACTGAAAACCAATCTGGTTCGTTCTTGATTCGCTCTTGGTCTCTGGTGGATCGAGTCCGGTCCGAAAGCCGGGGAGGCGAACGGACCGAGTGAATGATGTCAAATCCTCGCAAATGCACCGAAATGCTCCATCTGACCTTCACTCTGTTGGTGCATCTTTGGCCGGTTGAATTGTAGATTCATGGGAAGCGCTTAACCAAGCAGCACTGGTAGTGTATTTAGAGCCGGCCAGCCCGAAAAACCTCGCCTGATTGCCGAATAATGTCCCGTCGGATAGGCGAACTTAGAAGCTTGCCTTCTGAAGCGGAGCCAGACTTGGCAAGACAAGTCAACTGGAGAGCCTCGGGGTTTTTGGTAAATGTTGACAGAAAGGAGGGCCGGCATCCGAGAGCTTGTCCAGCCGAAGGTTCAGATCAAGGTCTGCGAAGTTGTCGTGGGCGGCGGAGCAAATGAAGAGAGCATGCTGCAGACACACGATGTCGACAGCCACCAGGAGCGGTAGCTCTCATGGGATCGAAGGAGTGGGATGCGAAGAAGACGGCGAAAGCCGTACGAAGGCCTGACGGGAGGGTGGCCAAGTTCGATGGCTCTGGACGCGCGAAGCCATTGTTCTCTTTGCCATCTGATGCTCGGGCACAGAGCCTTGTGCATGGATTTGAGTTCTCGGCGCGAAATCAGGTCGAAGCAGTCCAAGAGTGACGATGGCCTACTAATTAGCGATGAGGAAGAAGTCAGTGCTATTGAGAAGACAAGGGCGGCAGCTAGGAAAACAGCCAGCCGGTTGCCGACTGATTATTGATCGGTGGTATGTGATTGCCGAGTCCAAGCGTTACCAGGAGGAGGAAGAAGAAGAAGAAGAAGAAGAAGAATGGTTTTCAGTTGTCACACAACTGGTAACACTTGGTCGACTAACTCGCCTATCCTCGCAAGGCGGTTATGGCCAAAGGTCTGGTCAATTGGATCAAGAAAAACATGGCAAATGACCGCATTCGCCAGAAACTGAGTCTCAAGGCCCTTCCGGACCTTCTTAACACCAAGCAGCCGGTCACAAAGATGATCCGCACTATCAACGCCAACAATTCAATTGTCTACTACGTCAAGAACGAGACGCTTTACGAGCAAATGTTCGACAAAACCAAGGAGAACGGCACCTAGGCCACGGCCACTATTCGCCTCGGAACATCGTTGATGTACGTCAAATCGTACAGTTGGGACCGACTTGGAATGTTAACCGACCATTTGCGCGACGACATTTACAAGCGCACCGATGACTGGCTCATGGAACTGGATATGAGCCCGGCCGATATGGCCAATGTCCACGCCATGGACACGATTCAGCTCCCTGAGAGCACCGAGATTGAGTAAAATCGTACCATTCCCTCGATTCACGACAGACATGCGACAACGAAACAATAGGAGTAGTGGTATTTCACCGGCGCCGAAGCTCCCACCTATTCTACACCTCCTATGTCTTTTCACAATGTCAAACTAGAGTCAAGCTCAACCATTAACTGGCAATCGTTCGTTCTTTCATTATTCGTCGGGCTTGGGCAGGCGGGACACCTGGGTGCGCAGTTCCCATGTGGGAGGACTGAGCAGAGAACACAATCACCATGACGTAGGACCCGAGTAATGGGCAGCAGCTGACACCACCACAAGCAACTGCCTCCTTGTGCAAGAGGTAGGACTGCGAGTGTATGACGTATGAAGTGTCGTCGGACGTCTGTCGTCAGATCTTCCCATCTGCATCGCCCATCGTCGTAAGATTCTTTTGCCCAAGATGGCCGATTCCCTCCCAGTCCTGTCTCTGTCTGCTGCCCCCCGCGCCCGCATCCCCGCCAAGCGCCGCCGCGATGACGACGACGACGACGTAGAGCTCGACGAGGCCGGTGCCCCCATCTCTGCCCAGAAGCCGCCGCCGCAGTCGCCCTCGCCGCCCCCATCACCACCACCACCACCACCCCGCGTCGCCGCCGCCATCATGTTGGAGAAGGAGACAGACGCCTAGATGGCAGCTCTCCCACCCACGATGATTGGGCCTCTGGCCGGCTCGGGCGCAGAGCTCAAGATGCCTCTCCGTTCAGGAGACGGGCGGGTCCTGACCTGGGACAAGATGTGCACCGAGGTAAGACTCAGCACACATCCCAACCCAGGCAAAACCCATCATCTTGAGAGACGGGACACGCAATTCTGATGCTCCTGTAGTTCATACAGAAGATCATCCTTGCCGTCCCTGCCTCGCCGCCCGTGTCCACCAACGACTGTTGGTTCTTCCCCGGCGCCGCCTCCAACAACACCGGATACCCAGTGAAGAAGTTGGCTGCTCGGGGCGAGGGGAACAAGTGAGGAGTCCACCGGATCCTTTTTTTCCTTAAAGAATCCCGACAAGCTGGCACAGGCCCGTGGTGCTCTCGAGGTCAGCCATCTCTGCGGGTGTGTGGGTGTGTGGACGTACACGTGTATGAGGTAGCTTGCATAGGTATTGGGGGCCAAAAGAAAAAAGATAGCGCCCTGGCTCATCTCCGTGTCGTTGAGGCAACCCGGTCGTTCGCGTCACATCCGCACGACCAAGTACGGACGACGTGCACATCGATATGGCCCCAACCCTGGAGCTCTCGGCGGCGCCCTTCTACTGGCCTGACGAGTACGATGAGGTGGGAGGCAGTGAAGGGGGAGGAAAAGGCCAGCGGTCATCTCTCAGACGCGCTAAGAGAGGGAGGGCGGTTTAGGACCCAAAAAGAAGTGGGTCTTGGATATCCTGAGAAACAAGACTAGACTTGTGAGCGAGACTTGCCAAACTCCAGAGGCCTCAATCCTTGGTAATCGAGGTACGCCGGGTATCAGAATACCTGCCGCCTCACTTGCAAGAGACGCCCGCGCAAGGAAAAGAGGTTGCGTTGATGCATGGGGACAATCTCGCTTAGGCTATGACGCTGCTGCCGAGAGATGCTGCGATATCGCGCCCTTTGCCATATGATTCGTCCCGAGTCCGAACGCTGAGTCCGAACGCTGCGATTTGCATGTCTCGAGCTTCCTCTTCTCCTACCGGGAGACAAAAGCACACCCGCAACCTTGGAAATCCGCGAATGAGTTCCTGCGGCCGTCGCGGGGAGAGGACCAGGCAATCAAGCCGACGACCCCAGCGTCGGGGCGCGCCGCAGACGGGTCTTGCGCCAGACTCGGTCAGGCTCGGTGAGCCGTATTCTCCATGACCCTCCCCGCTGTTGCGCGTACAAAGGATTGTCCGCGGGCTGCCCACGCTGGCATCTAGATCGTCAGCCTTATGGCCTCGGAAGATGATGATTATATGTGGATGTCATCTTCGTATGATCACTCTTCGGCCGCTAGGAAGCCAGCCGCCGTATTCCGATTCGCTGCGTTGAACAGAGGTCCCGCAGAATGGAAATAGGACCATAACATGCAGGTTGCTGTACATCAATGTACCTACCTCATTTATGTCAGTCGTGCTCTTTGGGAGGGGGACCGTGGCAACCTTTTTTTTTTCATTTCACTGTCGGTAACAATGTCTTTTTTACGAGGTAGGAGCTGGTAGGTAATAGCGGCGTACAGCGTACATCTACGACGCTAGTCTGCTCGCCGTGTCTCGAAGTGGATAGCAGATGCAGAAAGAAGACTAGCCTCACTGAAGGTGTGGTGACTCAGCTCGATCAAGGTTGGATACTCTGCCCGGGCGGCTCTTGAAGAGCACATTCTTCCACTGGCCGGCCACCGACCTCTGGTTCATTTTTCGGCCCAACGAAGGTGGGCTCACCGTACAAGCTACCCCGCCATCGATACCTCAAACTTCCCTTCTAGTCGTCTTTGTAGCCACCATTCCTTTGCAAGCTCTCTACGTGAGGCTCCGCCAACGGGCATTATTAGCTCCTGCCGCGGTGCGGAGTAGTTCCTTGGCCGTCTGCACCCAAGTCTTGGGTGCCGCTAACGAAGAAATTGGAGCTCGCTCCAGGAGCCAATTGGATATTGGCATTATCACCACACGCATGAGAGAAAGGGGTTTCCCACGAACATTCAAAGGAGCGAGACGCAGAGCAAGGCACCGACAGTTCGCCCCACGAGGCCGACTTTACGAAGCCCGTACCTCAATTGGCTTAGCGAAAAGATAAACGAATGGGCAGTGAGTAACCTTTGGCCTGGGGGGGGCCTGTAGAGTTGGTGGTTCGGGATCCAAACCTCTTGTATCGAGAACACGCAGGCAGGCAACGGGCATGGATCTCGGAACCTGTAGCCGCAGGGATTGGTTAGTAACAGTGCCCGAAAGACACTAGGAAGGCGAACCAGACGAGCCGCCTGTCAATCATACGCACGGCCATCAATCCATGCATTCGTCCCGGTTGTTAGCCATCTTTCCCAGCCCACAAGTCTCCCCAACCGCGTAAGATGGTAGGCAAGTATACGTTGATCGTCGATGAGGTGAGTCAAACTACGTCGCAGGCGAACCGCCTACAAGGGTCAATCTACTCATCCTGCGACCGTCAAAACGAGAGGAGGCTTGCACCCTCCGTGAGCGCAGCCGTCCTAGCAATATTTGACGGTAACCTTGTCGAATTTTTAGCCCCTAAAGAAGCCACAAGGAGGACGGCCGGCGCATTTCAAACCAGAACCGAACCGAAGAGAGTAGCTAGCGGTGAATGCAACTTCGCATTATGGGCGGCGCGCGTGCGAGCAATGGATCGGCCGATTGGGCCAGACCTGACTCCGGCAACCAGGGCCACCCAGAAAAAAACGACTTGCGAAAGTAAAAGGTGTGTCGGTGGCCCATTCTGGCGATCAGCGCTCTTGAGGATGTACCTGTCGCGCGCAGATGTGCGTATGCGTTTGATGGAAATACGTATGGCGTGTGGTTGGAGGTACGGTCCACGCAGAAATACAGTAATCTCTGGGTGGTGAGCAGTGTCTCTCTACTCTTGGTCACGTGGCCTGCTGACCTAAGAACCCAGCACTGGGGTGTTACTCTGCCGACCGGACGAACCCATCGATTCTCGTCCATGGCAAGCAACGACGTTTGTTTCGAAGCCGCCGCCGGTGATACAAAAGTTTGTGGACTGGATTAAGGTGGTCATTTGTTTCGTTTTTATTTCGTGACCTTTTCTTGTCGTCAGCCCCCCTTCCTCCTTTCCATTCCATCCAGAACGCCAAACGCCGCCATGTTTTAGTGGACGCTTCGGGCCTTTTCCAACGGTTCGCCGGGCGCTTCCGTCCAGATCTCGTCTCGGCTAGGCGTTTGGGCTGGGACGACAGCTAACGTTCACGATTAGCTTGAGCTGCGCAAGGATGCTGACCGATACGAGCTTATCGAGATAAGCGCGCACGAATCTGCATCTGTCTCAGCAGCACACGATTGCAAAGACGCCACTCAGAGAGCCCGTCGGTTCTGAATCCGGCAACGAGGGGCAGTCTGGCCCAACGTTACACAACCCAGAGATCCTGCCGTGCGGGTTCATCCAGCCGCGTGAGGGCGCCACTGGAGTTCCGGGTGTTGCGGTCTCTCTCGCTGACCGGTCGTTATCGTGTGGACAGTGAGCCGCGACGTTGGCCTTTTCCCGCTCCACGTGGCCAACATTTTGGAGTACTACAGTTCTAGCTACTAGTGTAATAAAAGCGAGCAACCTTCGAGCAGGCCGGCAAGCACCTCATATGATTCTCAAAAGAAACATGCGTTAGGAGGAACGGGGGTGCCAGAACGGGCAGGGCTAACACAGGCTGCGTTGCGCACTGCAAAAATGGGTGCATAAGAAATCGAAACGAGGCGGGCGGTACGAGCAGTCGCCCGTCAAGGAATTTACGGACATGATGACCCGAGTACGAGATTGCGTGGCTTAAGGCGCTGAAGGAAATTTCGAGCTTCCCCCCCCGGGACAGTCGACTTAAGCTGCTAGGGCCTTGTGTTTGTGTGGCTTTCAATTTCATCTCACCTTACCTGATCTGCATTGCTACAACGGCTGATGAGAGATCCGAGGGCTAATGCAGGTGGATGTAGATTGCTTTGGCAGACAGTTAGTCCCTACTTTGACATCTGTATATTATTGCAGAAATCGTACGTTTTGCTCTTTCACAGCGTTCTGGCAGGGGAGAGGGCGGCCGAAGATGTGAGAAGGCACCGGATGTCTCACACTCCTTTCCACGTCATTTCGGAAGGCCACACACGCTTCCGAGGAGGGGTGACATCCCTCGAGCCTGAGTGAGCGGGTTGATGATGAGGGTCTCATCTAGACTGCCTACGCTTGGTGGATGGCAAGATGACACCTTCATACAAACGATGGAGTATACCTATCACAGGGGAACTAGGCTTGCAAATTGAAATAGCTGACACCCCCGGACGCCAAGAATCATGCACGGTCCAAGTCCTTACATATATACGTCTTTCGCACTATTGTTTAGAAAACCTGGGCCCATCTCACGGAGGTCGGGATCCAACCCACCACAAGAGCGTACGGGCGCACGAGGAATGGTGTCATGTTCAACCCCGCGGCAAGGGGGGTGCGAACCCAGTCGCCTGCTGTTCGCAGCCTGTTGCTGCGAGGGGAGAGGGAGAGAGCGATCGCAGCGCGCTTGAACGGCCTACAGGATCCTGGAGGACCGACGGGATATTGAATCTGAGGCGGAACAGCGGGCGGGTCTGGGAATACAGCTGGCCTGGAATCCGGCCCTGAGCAGGTGTTATGGGCGTCCAGGTCCAGCAAGCGGTGTACGCAAGTTTGTACTAGGTACCTTTGGGGGGGTGACTGTGCTGTCCCAGAGGAATCAACTTGCACGCGACAACTTGCTGCAGGCTACGCTGTCCGCCTGGCTGGCATGCAGAGGCTCGATACAATGAGTATAAAGAGCCTGGTTCTGGCCACCAGATGTTGAGATTCTCCCCATCAGTCACCAGTGTCTCTACCCTCTGCCCTCAAAGACACCTACCTCTTGCACACAAACCACTCTTTCCCACCCAAGAAGACGACAAACGACCCCATAGGATGTCCCCATCGGACCAGCCCAAGGAGAACCAATGCTCCCTTTGCGACTACAAACCCAGGGTACCTGGCATTAGCTTAAAGCGTCACGTATCCAGCGTGCACGGGAAGCCAATGCCTTGTGGGGACTACGTTCCTGAGGGCAAAGGCGACGACGGGCAGGACCGCGTCAAAGAGCATCTTGACAGCTGCCCCAGACGTGCGCGGGGCTCCAAGAGTCCTTCGGGCGACGATACCGACCGCAGCTCCACTGGCACCCCTGAGCTGGACGCCAGCGCCAAAGGGCGCCTGGACGACTCCAGCAGAAGTCCGCCGGACTCCAAGAGCTCTTCGAGCGACGATTCCGACCGTAGCTCGGCTGGCACCCCTAAGACGAGCGCCCGCGTCGGCAGCGACGAGACATTCACTCAACCCGCCATCAGCATCAGAGGCATGAAGGTTACGGCCCGCAGGGCCGTGTTCCAAAACCTGGTCGTCTCCCAGACAAACAACCACACGGTCTAGGCCCGGTCTCGCCGCCGGTTCTTTGGAACACGGCCGCCCGGCCGACAGACGATATACTGGTCCATGCAACGGAGGAGTTGTCAGGTTCAGGAGGAAACGACACGGGGAAATAGGAGCAAAAGCGGAACGTCGGATATGGAATCATTTACAAAACATTCAAAAAAAAGGGGGGGAAGGCAACGGAAAAGGGGGGGCTCGGGACGCGATGGACAACGATAGATTACGGGCTGCACTCGTTTATTTACTTTTTTTTCGTTAGATCTGGAGGCTTTTTATATAGACAACACTAGATAGAATAGAATTAAAACACACCACGGCGTTTTGCTCAACGGTCCTTGGACATCCGCCATGCCGTCAACACACAGTGATCCCCGCCGTTGCGAGCTCAAGTGGACGCCTCTGGAATTGAAGTAGACGGAGAGCACCGCCCGTGGATATGGCGTGCTGGCGCGGGGTATCTTGGACGTTCTACGAAGCGCGAGCCCGTCTTGAAGTAGATCCCAGCGGTTACCAAAGCTGTGAGGGATGTTCCCTCGAGAGCCGGCGAAACCTTCCGACGCCGTCACGTAGGGCGACACAACGTCCATGTCGCAGGACAAAACTACAGACCGTGCGCACGAGAATCGAGTAACGAGGGCCGTTGTAGCTGCGGGAGCGGCCGCCGTCATCTAGCTTGCTTCCTCCCGCGAGAGCCTAGGGGCCACGGAAGCGCTACGTCTTGTCAGGAGGGCCGTTCGCATACAAGCATATGAGGCTTGCAGATGGGCCACGCTACTTGGATTTGCGTCAAGGAGGGAGAGGTCTGTGGCGGTCACATGATATCAGGGGCTTCAAGAGTAGGGCAGCGATGCAAAAACACAGCCGTCATATTCTCGAGCCATTGCAAAAGTCTTCTCGGGTGCCCTGGGCAGTCGTGGACGAGCCACTCCCTGTGCCTGAGCCGAACAGCAAGCCAGCACGGGCTCAATTGCAGTGCTGGAACAACTTAACCGGAGTGTGCTCAAGATTCACCATAAGTGACAAGGCCCTTGGATGCCTCTCGTTGCCTCGTCTAGGCGTCGGGCGTCGGAAAGCCGTCCGTCCGCTCTGACGTGGCAACGGTATGGTCTTCTCTACGGCGGGCCCACCGATGGGCTGCGCAGGAGATTGTCGCTGCGATCATTTGCGTTATTCTTGGAAGAGGTTTTCGCCGTGTTCGATATGCGTCAAGGGGGCCAACCGGTGAGAATCAGGGGTAGTCTGCTCCTGAGGACGCGGATGGGTGTCGCCATACGTTTCTTTCACCGAAGGCGCCAATGGGAGCGTGGGAAGCTTCCGAGGAGGCGATTGGGTCTGTTGATTTCTTTTTGATACACTGGGCTTCGCGATGGTCCTGGAAGAGGTGTGGCCGGCTACTCCTCGCATACATGAAGGATAGCGAGCGCGGGCGCAGTCCTAAGTGCCTGTCCGGCATCCAGAAGCGGAAAGCCTGTCGTCGAAACGCCGATGATAACCATGAGCCCATTCGGCACGGTATAAAACGCCACACCGGAGCCAAATCTATAGGTCACCACCCTCTAATTTGTGGTTAGGCAAGGCTGTCGGAGCAGAATGGTCTTGCAAGGGGGCCTGCCAACGAAGCAACAGACCCCTTGGCGATGCAAAGGTACCTGTGTGAATGTTCAGTAGGCTCTACTATTACGAGATGAACAACGATACACCATTGAATCACATTATCATTGCGCCCTTGGGCCAGTTCGAAAGTGGGAGATGTGAATGGAGGTCCGTCCATACAACAGCCGACGGGGAGAGCGGGGCAAAATGCTGATGAGTATATCCCTCCCCTCCGACTCTAAAAGCCCTGGTCTGGGACCTGGAGAAAAAGACGCATTCCAAGTGTGTTTGGACGAAGGGGAAAGAAGAAAAGAAAAAAAAGTGTAAAAACGCTAGCTGCCGTCGGAAATAACCATGGCTGGAAGCGCGTCGGGATGCGGACACGCAGTGGACTCAACTTGTGAACCATCCAAGCGCTGTCATCGCCGCAGGTTTAGGTTTTTTTTTGTCATTCTTCCTGGCTGCGTTGCGTTCGTTACGTCTTCTGCTTCCAACAGACCGGCGGCACTGGCGGGTCTGGTTGGTTGGTGGGCAATTACTCTGGCTGAGGTCGCATTCCGTGAACCAACAGGTTTAGCTTCGCTTCCAACGCGGACGCTGGCTCATCGTCTGCCTTCTGCAAGGAGGCCTATGTTACCGCTGGAAGATAACGGAATCCTCTAATTATAGCATGTTCCGGTTGCCTTACTGCCTTGACTCCAGATTGCGAATTTCCCAAAGATTGTGTTCTGCAGCGTGAGTCTGGCGACCCATTTGCTTCGCCGCAGTGCCAGCCCATAGCAAAGGCCAGGCAGATCGGCAGATAAGGGGGAAATAGGCGCGCGACGCGACGGCAAATCTCACACGAGGAAAAACTCTTCTCTCCCGTGGCCTTGCCGGCGGCACAACTCGCGCGAGGCCATCCTTCTCGGTTGCAAAACACCGTCGACGCCCTCCAGCACTCACTCGTCTGAGCTTTGGCTCTCTCTCTCATGGCAGCATGTCTCTCCAGAAATCGCTCTCAGCTTGTGGAAGAAAATCAGTCTGATACATTCTGCTGTTAGCTTTCCGCGCACCTGAGCCTTACTTCACTGTGAAGGGCAGAAGTAAGGGGTTATCCGAGCCTTGAAGTTCCCTTCTGGATGCGTCCTATCCGCCGTATCGTGAACTGTGACTGACATATAAGAATCTCTAGAACATCTCGTCCGTCATCTTGTCATCTCTCCCCGACTCCCACATTCTGCTCGAACGATCGTGTACGATACACTGCCTCCAACTAGACGATACATAGAAGCAATTAGGGTTATGGAAGCTCCGAACGATCTTTGATTCAGATATCTTTAGAAATATCTCCCCAGGTCAGACTCAGATGGTTCTAGACACCGGTCGCCACATCAGGTGAATTTCATCGTCGAACATGTCGTCGTATTTCCAGCAGGTCGTCTCTCGTGAAGATCCAAGTTCCATCAAACGTCTTTCAACTTCCACGTGGCTCTTGTAGAAAGGGTTTGGAAAATCGAAAATTCCGGTCCTATCAGAGATAAACCGAGAAAAAAAGACGCCATCGCCCGAGATTCCGACTGACAGTATATCGACAACACGGAAAAGAGACTCACTCTCCATATCGTGTTCATATTTATCGTCTTCGTCTTCGTTACTATCGTTGCCTTACCTCATGAGATTTTGGGAATGCGTTCGGAGACCTCTGGCGGCGTCACAGACGAGTTGGCGGCAGAGGACGGAATGGCAGATCGACTTTCAGTGCCGCTGGGACGAAGAGCGTTATCTCTGTCAAGAGTTCTACTAGGCCCAGGTCAGTCTCCTGGAACAGAGTCAGACTTGATGCTACCATACCTAAGACGATGACCCTCGGGACACTTTGCTCCCATCGCCAGTGACACCGACGACTTCAGTGGCTGGACTGGCATCTCGGCGGCAGGGATCGCGCTGTGCTGCTGCTGCTTCTGTTGGAGCAGCCTCGAATTGCCAGTCATACGTTAGTATCCCGCGAATGACTGAGGTGTAGTGTCTGTTCTGAATGATAAGAAGAAAACGCGTGGTGTACTGAACGTACTGGAGGTGAGAGGCAAATCGAAGGTAAGAGAGAGAAAGGGGCAAGTGCAAAGGCACCCTCTGGAAAACATCACACTCATTTTACGTGCTTGCTATTCATTCTGAAGAAAGAACATGTCTGAATGCCCCCTTCCCCCTTATCCTCTACTTGTTCCCTCATGTTTCTCGTAGCTATATAGGTACGTTACTTGGCGATATCGGCGGCGAACTTCTTCTCCTCATCCCAGGACAATTGAAGAGGCGAGTCCGCCCTAGCCCACTCTTCGATTTTGTCTTCCCAAGCACGACGACAGGCCATACGCATGTCGACCGGAGTCAGGCTCTCGAGATTGACGTGAACCTGGTCGCACCAGCCACGCAGCATTCTGCAACGCTCATCGGCGGGCAGCAGCTTCTCCTTCTCCAACCACGCCGACACGCGGAAGACGGCGTGCTCCTCCTGGTTACGATAGGGTCCGAGGGCAAGTTGCGCATCGCACTCGGCGACCAGAGACTTGTCAAGGCTAAGCTGCTTCATTCGCTCGCTGGGTCCGATGTTACCATGAGCGATCGAGAATCTCTAGTTCTTGAAAGCCTGGCTGATGGGAACTCTTTTCTTGGTCATGAATGCCTCTCGAGCCCACTGGAATGCGGTGCTGTAGACCGCGGCAAGGAGTATTCTGTTCCAGGGGCTATCGACGGTATCCTCTTGGTAGCCGAAGACAAGGCCTTTGACGACTGTTCCCTTGAGATTCTCGGCAGAAACAATGGCCATTCTTATGCCAGGTGGGAGCTGCTGGAGATATTCAGACACATCCCCATACATTGGTACTCCGACATCGACATTATTGGGCACGGCGAACTCGAACGGCCGATTGTTGGCGCAAGGTTGCCCTGGAAAGACGTCGTCCCAAATGGCCTGTCGGAGTTCGGTCGAGGTCATGCTAGGACAAGTCCGCTTCATCTGCGGCTCTTCCTTCATTAAGACAAGCCCATTCTCCAGACGCTCACGAGATGACAGATTGGCGAGCATGGCCTGGGTTTCCTTGAACCTCGGAAACCATACAACCCTATCGCCGGGACCCTTGGGCTTTAATGACGGGACGCTTCGCCAGGGGAAAAACTCTCTTTTTCCTGACTTGACTGTCGAAAAGTCAACAACGATCTACTTTTACCACGGCTATCCGACTTACCAAGCTCCATAGCTCTGAACCAAGCTGTAAAGTCCACAGTATAGTTGAACCAGTATTCGGAAATGTCACCTGTTCCGTTGACGACCTGGTGTTTTCGGTCGATGCGGGCCTGATCAAGAATCTTCGGGAACACGGTTTCGTCGCCAAGAAGTTTGGAGAATTTGGCCGCGATGAACTCGGCGCGCTCGTCGGTATTCGGGAACTGTTGTTTGAGGATGTCTAGTTTGGCATTCTCGGATGGTTCCGTGGGGGAATCCGAAGCATTTCGCTTCCCATTCGTTGACATCTCGAGGATGGGATTGCAACGCGAACGCGATTTCGGGTTGAAGGGGAGATTCCTGGTGGAATTTGAGACAATTTTGCAATGAGGGGGCTTTCACAGGTAAGGCCGAGTAAAGAGCCAGTGCTCTTTTCTGATACGTGTTGAGGAAGGAACGGGAAGGCACAAGTAAGACCTATCTCTTTCCATTTTGAATTCAATCATCGCTCCTTCTCGAATCAGACCTGTGATACACGCGCAAAACACATCCTTCATTGCGTTGCCGTCTCATTTACGCGTCTTTCTTCTCAGCTCCCGTGTTGCACTACCACGTTGAAGTACAAAAGACCAAGACATCCCGTGCCACAAGAGCCCTACACTCATTCATACTAGTCTGCAAAGAGTGGTGATAGTTTTTGGGGCTGCCGAAATGCTATGGAGTATCAAAAGGTGTGGCGACTCCTGCAATGCTCTTTCACCACGTGTACCACACAATAAGCTTCTCGGCCACGCCTAAAAGTTCACATCAGTCTTCTGATCGCATCCAAGTTCATATGACGACGCATGGAATTGTTTGAATCAGTCTCTGGACGATGACTGTAGGGAATTCTTCTCCGTGTCTCTAGTGAGACCCAGGTCTGGGCAGACAGAACATGTTGCAATGAGGACCATCATAAAGCAAAGCACGCTCCTCTAGTCCATGTCATTGCTGTTCAACTCCGAGACTATCTCACCACACAAGAAACCAATCAGGGCTACCCTTGAGCTGACCAACACAAGCTTCCGTGAGAGTTTGGCCCCTTTTGGCCCCGGGCTGGGCAGTTTGACTTGGCATGATGTCCGTCAAGCAACTACCAAGCTCTCTTACATAAACTGACTCGAACGGTTCGCGGGTCAAGCCGGGCCTGGACCACGCTTTTGCACTTCTTCACGCTTGCTCGCGACTTGATGCGGTTACGGATGACCCAAGGTCAGCTACCGGTGACATTTAGGCGGCTCGGATAATGAATATCAAGATGGCGCGTGGTCACACAAGCATATCTAGCAACACACGACTGGGAAAAGTCCAACACTCTGCTTCAAGGTGCCTCGCTCGTTTATTGATTGTGGGACGGTATTTGAAACGCGGTCAAAACAATTTTATTCGCTCATGGGTAAAAAATTCTGGCCGCTGGAAAGCAAAAACATTGAAATCCGCGGCCCCTGGTGCCTTGACGCTGCCGAATTCGAACCAAAACCTAGACCGATGATGAGACGGCGTCCGCAGAGGAAAAAATTGGACGGTACTTACGCCTACGAAAACACAGTGTGTGCATGAGTGTGTCTACAGCCTCTAAATCTAGCCCGAGCCACACACACAGCCTTCGCGGAGTGCTGGGGCGGTGTTGGGGAAGGGGAAGCACTGTCGGCCCTGAGCCTCGCAGTTCTCGCTCTCGACGCCGCAGGCGGTGTCGGTGCAGGGACCGGTGAAAGCAGCCTGTGCGACGGAGGCGGCGACGAGGCCGAGGAACGTGACGAGAATGCTGCGCATGGTTGCTGATGTAGTGGATAAGAAGAAGGTAGGTAGGTGGGTTTGAGCAAGGTTTTCTGATCGGATGAGTGCGTAGCTGGATACCTGGGGGATTGATGATGGGATAGTGGAGAGAGACGGGATTTTAGACTGTGCGTTCGTCTCCAATATATACTTCTTCCACGACAGGATGAAGACATGCCTTCGGACCTCGCGCCGCCCTTCCCCCCTTTCCCCCCCATCTGTCGTTCTCCATCCATGATCCATGGCTCGCGGAGAGTGTCATGCCTATTTTGGAGGAATGGCAAGTGAGGCTTGGCCACGGACGTCAGTCAACTAGTGGTCCGGGACACTTGGCTAACCTTGGCGGTTTTGGGTATTATCGGGTTTATCGGGTTGGGAGAGGGGACGGGAGCGACGACGAGAGCATCATTTGCGGTAGCCAAGGCCAAGGCCAAGCGTGTAATGGGGATCTGCCACTGCTTCGCTATAATGAGCGGCAAAAGCAAATGGGCAAAAAAAGCTTGTGGTTTTTGCTGTCTCGCGCTGGTCTTGGCGTCGAACGTTTCAACGCTCTCGTTTTAACTCTCTTGGCCCGTTGCTGGTTGATGGCTGCGGGAGGTTGTCCGCGTCTCGGAGTTTTTATTTAGACAGACGAGAAAGGAGTCCCGCTGGAGGCAGCCTCTTGCCCCATGATAGAGGATGGACTGGTGATGGGTGCGTTGTCTTGTCATGTGGCTCGTCCCCCACGCGCGAACGGATGGTGCGGTTGTCAAAATAGTAACAGGGGCCAGATCCTTGCCATGCTGCTGTGTGAGTCGTTGGTGACCCCCCCGCACATGTATTTCTGTACACTACCACGACTCAGCGATCGCTCTAGGAGACAATGCGACCAATTGCTCATCATGAAACTGCCAGACGAGATTGGAATGAAACGGGCCTTGGGGACCGCAGTCCGTCGTGGGCGAATGGGAAGAAATCTGCGCCGGCACCCTCGTCGATCCCGCCCTCAATTTGGGCTTGGCACTGGTAAAGGCACCGGCATAGCGAGAATAAAACCAATGCTGACAGTTCCACTTTCAATGCCTTTGCGATGTCAAATCCCTTTTTGACGGCGGCGATGATGGTCGGCAAGTGAGGTTGTCGTGTTTTTCAGCAACGAACAAACGGTACAGGTGATTGGTCATTTTGGGGACGCTTCCATAGCCGAAAAGCAGCCACGAATCGTCAGTGTGAACCTTCCTTTTTCAACCGAGATCAGTCTCGTCCAAGTATCACGTGCATTGTCATGTGTGGCTTTACATGTGACCACCCATCCAATCCTTTCTTTCGGAGGCGGCACAGCACAGTCGGGAGTTCCTAGCCGTTGATCCTCCCAATTGCTTACACAAACTTTGCTGCTCCAGCGATGATGGCGACTATGTCTATCCAAACCAGCAGCCACGATGCCAAGGCGCATGGCGTCTCCGGGTGCTCGCTTTCCAGCTCTAATCACTTGACTTCCGTGATCTCATCGACTTCGAGAAACCCCGTGTCAAACTGGTCGTCTCTCACCCAGAGACTAAGAAAATTTGTCCATCTCAGACCCAACAATTGTGAGTCCGGCCTAGCCAGCGTAAGCACCTGCTTACCGGCAACCCTCATTCACTATCAGGCCCAAGAGGCTATGGAAAATATGGTTATCTCGTACGCGGCATGCAATGAACCTATTGGTCCGGATTGTTGCTGTGCCGCACACGGTCTATCTATATCATAAACAAAGAAGGGGTTTCCATCGTGTCTCCGCCCAGAACGCCAGCCTGCGATCTACCCACCCGACCCCGTCTTGGCTTCACGCAGTTGTGCCCCCTTTGCGCGACACGTGCTGGTTGCTGCAACGGCAAATCGGGGCGGCTTCTGTAGCACCCGTCATCGTTGTCATCGTTTGCACGGCAGCCTCCTCGGTCAACGCCAAGCTCCCCGGCAAGCGCCAAACAGTCTGGCTGGATTCGATCCAACAACGAGTGGGACTTACATCGAAAGCCATCTCAAACATGAAGGCTCTCAAGATCTCGACCATGTCCGGCCCGATAAAAACATAATCCAGACCTTGCGACTAAAGGAGATCAGCGTGGGTGGCAAGTGGCGCTAACTGCTCCTCGCCGCCGTCACGATTGCCTTCTCACCCGCTCAACTTGGCCCCGTCATGGCGTTCGCCGTCACCTCTCAGACCCTCTGCGACTCTCCGGAAAGAACGCCGATGCCGTAGACTGAAGCCGAGATAATGCTGCCATTGCGGTGAAGCAAGTCTCCTTCGGCTGAGTGGAGGGAAAGGCCGTCCTGGAGGTCGGTGATATCACCATCCCAGCCCACGCACTTTCCCTCATTGTGGGCCCTGTGGCTTCTGGCAAGTCGACCCCGTTAAGGGTCTCCTTGGAGAAACGCCAGTCACCTCCGGCGACGTTATATTGGGGGTTGAAACATCGCAGGATTGGGTATTACGACCAGTCTCCGTTCCGATACAACAACGCGGTCAAAGCCAACATCATTGATCAATCTGAGTTTGGTCCTGAACGGTACAGCCAAGTCGTCGATTCGACCATGCTCTCCAAATGTTTCGACAGGCTGCCCAAAGGTGATCGCACCAAGATTGGGAGCAACGGTCTGACTCTGAGCGGCGGTCAGAGACCGCGGATTGCCCTTGCACGAGCACTGTACTTGGAGGCCGACCTTTTGATACTGGATGATATTCTCAGCGGCCTTGATGCGACCACTGAAGATTACGTCTTCCGCAGAGTGTTTGGCAATGATGGCATCATCCGCCAGAGGGGAGTCACGGCCGTATTATGCACACACTCGGTTCGGCATTTGCCGATGGCCGACCACATCATTGCTCTCGGCGACGAGTGTGGTGTCGTAGAACAAGCCTCGTTTGCAGACCTTTGAATCAATGGCCAGTACATACAGAGCTTGAGGATCCAGGATGCAGAGGGGAGCCCCAAGTCGAAATTGATGCCGATACTCATCCTGCCATGGACCCTTTGGCACAAACGGTGACTGAGGTCTCGAGGAGTCCAACAAGGCACGCCAACTAGGCGATGTCGCCGTCTACTAACACTACTTTGGTAGCGTTGCGCCTTGGGTCATTGTGGCCTTCTTCTTCTGGTGCTGCGCCTACGGCTTTGCATTCAACTTCCCTATTGTGTGGCTGAAGTACTGGTCTGAGGACGCTGTAGCTTCGAACCCGAAACACTCTGGGTCTTTCTATCTGGGGATGTAAGCCTTGCTTCAAATTGCGTGTCTCGGATCCCTGACAATTTGTCTTGGTTTTGCACACTGTCCCTATGAGAAAACTACTAATTTGCAGATGATGTGGCAACCACTATGATACAGAACACAATGAGACCCCGTAAGAAAGCTCTTACTGGCATGTTTTCAACGTCTCCTATGCCACCAATGTCCCTTACATGTCGCCCGGGACCATTTTATCCATGGAGACAAGAGGTCTCGACTGTCTTGGCTACCTCGATCCCATGAAGTTTATCTTACTAGGTCTTCGAGCCAGGCGCCGAGAAACAAAATTCCATACTTTGCACTCGTTCACCTGAGTCCGTTTCAGGTCCCTGACCGACGCAGCCGGGTGCTCACACAAATTGGGGCGCAAGTCGTGCCTATCTCGAAGCAATACTCGAATCTAGAAAATGGAGGCGGCCGTCGGATATCCATCGCTAGTTCGAATAGCCAGGATCGTCGCGACGAGCCTCTCCCTGCAGAGACTGCCGCAGTCTAACACAGTCTACGATCTCGATTCCCTCAAGCCCGGTGCCAACTTGTATTTGAACCGGAATCGGCTCAGTGGCTTGTGTAGCAGACGATCTGTCACGAAGCCTTCGCGCAAATATGGTCACGGCAGTCAACGTTAGACTCGACGATATGCTAACAGATACCTCTTTCAATACGAACCTCAAGAGGCTGCAGTGTATAGGCAAATTATTTTCTTCTCAGCAGCTTGCGGCTCTCCGCAGTCATGTATCCTGAAGAAATCAACGAGCGCTGCAGAACGAAACCCTGAACGCAGACTCCAGAGACTCTGGGCTAGGTTCTTATAGATTGATGACACCTCCTCCGTCGATGTTGATGTCGATTTCTTCGGTCAGGGCAACGACTTAAGCAGCGTCACGAGGGTCGTTGGTGGAGCCTGCACGTCTGGCATTGCGCTTTCCATTGCGGACGTGTTCAAGAACCCTACTATTGCTGGCCTTGGGTCTCTACCGTACATTCGATTACCGTGGCGCGGCCGGCTCGGTTCGGGCCCGTTGTGGAACTCATCGTCGGGCGTATCTTACATCAAAATCTCGGTGTTGCTGGCGAAGGCATCGAGGATATCCTGCCCATTGCTGTTTTCCAGCAGGAGGTCCTTGATTGTGCTGTTCGTATTCCAGGCAGGCACTCAACTAACTCTTCCTCGACTTGGGGAACAAAGTGGACGCTGACGCGCTCCAGCGAGGTTTCCGACTGCTTGTACGCCATCTCCCCATCCTCTGAGTCTTGTTCACCCCCCTGGATGGCATATGATGGCAGCTCGCTCTCGTCCAGCCCAGCCCTGGTTTCGACGTCGTCAACGTCAACCGCGGCACCGACGAGACCTCACAAGATCAGTCCGCCGAGTCGACAAAGTGACCTCTAAAACCTGGCGATTCACTCATATTGTCCATCCTCACCTACCACCGCTCTGGCGCTCACCGCCCCGTAATCCGCCTTTCCCACGCACAGTACGACGGAGCCTGCTTTTCGTCCATCATTACGTCTCTGGTCTATGCTTACCAGAACCGCACACTGACCCCGTTTGTTGACTTTTCCTTCTACCTTGTCCATATCTACATGAGAGAGTCTCAAAGCATTGCATATTGGCGCAACCCCCTCCACGGCTTGAGTCTCTCCGCTCTGAAGCATCACTAAACGGAAAACCATCATAGATCGAAGCCAGCCATGTGATGAGCACATCTTGGCTCCCGGCCGGACTGACACTAGCATCCCCTCCCTACTTCTTGGGTCGCAGTACTCGCTCTCCTGACAAAACACCAAGAAGTGGTCTTTGGCCAAGGCCCCAACGCCGATGTCCAAGAAGTCCGCGACATCATAGGACCGTGCTTCAACACCGTCCCCCCTCCCCCGTGACCAAGCGGGACCGCAACCACTGTGGAAACTTTCCTCCGGGGAATGCACGATCAACACGTCGTCATAGGTGAAGCAGATTCCCTCAGCCTCACGGACATCATCAACCGGCATGCCTGGGCTCCAGCGTTGAGCATTCCAGCCTTGATACCCGTCCTACGTTGACCTTTGACTGAGGGAAGATGGCCTTGAGACTACTGGCTCGAACCGGGTGCCGTGCCGGAGCGGCTAGCCATCGCATCCGCCCCTGAGGGAGAGGGGATGCTGAGGGTTAGGGTCACAGGCAACAGTCACGTTGTCTCGCCGGGATGACCGAAGTCAACATGGAGAGGTTGGTAGAGGTCATGGAGAGCATGGCGGAACATCCTCTCGAGTCACCTCAGAGGCGTCGGGCTCAGCGGCGGGGAAAGTTTCATTTGAGGTTCGAGTTCCATTGCAACGTCTCTAAGTGACAGCAACCCATTGTTCACCCCCGATCTCGTTTGTACTAGTCGAACACAACAACGTCAGGGCGGTGCTCGGATAGATGGTCTGACTTGGACGCTGTATGTCAAACAGCGCTACTCAGTAGACACAATTCACACTTGTTTGCTTATCTCTGGTCCATACTACCTTCCTAAGCCACCCGGACTTTGAGCGCGACAGTAAGGGCTCGCGGCGTTGAGAGACGGCCTAGCCGCGATACGAAGTCGTCGGATTGTACCGCAGCTTATTCGCCAATCCACAGCTCGAAGAAGTCATGGCTTATCAACGTTACCGCCCCCAAAAAGGGTTCCCTCGGCTTGCTACGTTAGTCAACCATTCGACGAGTATGAACATCGCAATGTAACTACTCCCAATGCACTGGTTTAGCAATTAGATTAGAGTTCAGTCGCCAGTCTATTAGAGTAAACACCTGCGAGTCATGGCAAACATGCGCGAATAGCAGCAACGGGGTTTCCGTCGGCAACCCCCCAAGAAACATTTCACAAACATCTTCCCTATAGTCAGGCCCTCCAGGACGTCCCCTCCTCCTTCGTTGACCAGATTTTCGGGCCCCCCGAGTCCTCGGGAAACCGAGAAACTGGGAAACGACAATCCTCCCTCCATCCATGACCGACAATCACGGCGGCGACGTCATGTTTGGCTACGACGGGCGTCAGATATCACAGACCTCACAAACCCATCACGGACGGGACGGGCGACTGTCGTCAACGTTCCAGCATCCTGAGTCAGTAGGGGGCCGGCACGGAGCCGAGGCGAGTGAGGGCGACCGAAAAGGCGGATTGGGAACGTAAAAAAAAGAGGGATCCCAAGGGCTTGATCTCGATGAATTGAGCGATCCCGTGTCAGCCTTCCTAGAGCGGAAGACGAGCAGCCTTCCGGATACGTCATGGCGCAGCTCGGAAGCCAGGCTCCTCTCCTCCCGTGGCAGGATGCGACGGGACAGGGAGATCTTGCTTGCTCGCCGCCTGCACACACACGCACACAGAGACACACAGACGCACACAGTCTCTCTCGGGGCACACGTGTAGTGTGCCGGCCAGCCAAGGGGAGCGCTCCTTTTGGAAATGGTCTACGACTACGCGGGGAAGCGGCTTTGGGGTAGGTTTTTTTTTTTTTTTTTTTTTTTCCCTCTTTATCTCTTTCGGGCACGCTCTCCCGTCTCACGCACACGCCGCCGCATCCCTTCATTCCTCCCGCGCCGGCGATCGCGAAAATCCCCCTTGACTTGACCGCGGAACAGACGGTGGGAGGAAGGGGATCGGTCACATGGCACGAACGAACAAGATGTTTGGATGGGTGAGACGGGCTGGGCACGAAGATCGCTCGGCGACGCGCAGGCAAGCAAGGCAGGCAGGTTAATCAGGTTCAAGGGTGAAAAAGGGGGGGGGGGAGTTGCTTGCTTGTTGCACGGATCGACGGGCGAACGACTACTGAGACTCACGGCCGCCGCTTATCAAACTTTAAGGCATACGATGGGCGTTGCGTCGTAGCCGTCGTGGTTGCTGTTGGCTCTTCCTTGGTTGTGTATCGCATCCTCAGATGAGCAACGTTTCCTGTGCCTCAATCTATCCGGAGAACCTTCCCCCGGGGGGCAACGGATGGGGTTTCCGGCACACTAGCGTGTACTTTGAGCCTGTAATGCCCGTTCCCCCTTTTTTTGCGATAACGCTTTCGACGCCTTATGGACTGCAACAAACCCCCCCCTCCCCCCGGGGGAGGATGAGGTGTCTATCACAGAAAAAAGAAAGGAAACGTTGGTGTGACGGCCCTCAGCTGGACGATTCGCTATCAAAAATACGATAATCGGGCGCGGAACAACGACGTTTAGTATGTGTTCGTATGATATGTCACTAGGCGGTGAGCATGGCCGACGAGGGAATGGCCGACAGCGACGTCACATGCTGAACGCCTTGCATACAGCCAACGGCGGTCGTCAGCAAAGCAGGCGCTTGCCAGCCGCGACGCGCTTTGCCAGACCCGGCATCGGCGCGCTCTTGCCCAGCTCGCCGGATTAGACGCCTGAGGCAGTATTGCGTCGTTGACAGGGGCCGGGCGACCAATCAGCTCCCGACGATAACGACGCAGTCGAGGCGGCCAATGAGAGGCGAAGACCCTGCATCAATTGATTAAGGACAGGGATGATGAAGCGTGGCATGCAGCATGGGTTCCTGATGCGGATAAGCGCGTCCGTGCTTCCCTTTCGAAGAAGAAATAGTGGGGAGGGGGTGTACGTCGAATCACCTTCGGGCTGCTCCTTCCCCAATGCGGGCAGTGCGTTTCCCAGGGTCGGCGGACAGACAGACAGACAGACAGACAGACAGAAGACAGGCCAGGTTAGCGATGCCTCCTCCTCTTCCAGAAAGACGGATCGCTAGCATGCCTCTCTGGTTTGCGGAGTCCTTTTGCCAAGCACCACAAAAAAACAAAATACAAAAAACGAAAGAAAAGAAAGGCCTCACATTTTCCATGTCAATAGGTAACATCTTCGCTCGGTTGTTCAGTCCGGGGCAGCGAGGATCACTACCGATGTGACCTTGCCCCCCCTCCCTTTGGCCCCAATCCAAAACTCACCGACAATCGCGCATCAAATCTGCACACCACCATGCTCCCATCTCCGTTCCGCCCCCTCGGAACGACACAGGGCGGCGGCGACGGTCCTGTCCCCCCTCCTCCTCCAAGGGAAACCGGGTGGTTTCAGCGATAACAGAATCAGGTGGGAGGGGGGCAGACTCTCGAGACCATGTCGCGGATCGAGCACCCGCTTGGCTGGCCCCCTTGCTTTTTTTTCCCTCTTGGCCCATCATGTCGAGAGATGAGGCTCGTTGGGCGACATGCCGTGTGTCTCAATTTGGCCAATCCGGGGAAGACCAGGTGCGCCTGCACGCGAGCACGCAAGAGATATCAACCCGCTTGTGCCTTGTAAATACCAACGTAGTAGTAGGGATGGCTGCGGCGAAACAGTCGTCGCGGCCTGGAAACCCGCCCCCCCCGGTACCATGGCCGCCGAGCTTGCTTGACCGCCAAACACGCCGTTGCGCGGTGGCAAAGGTGGTTGGCAGGCAGGCAGTGACAGCCTCCTCTAAACAGGGCAGCGACTGTCACGGGGGGTTCCCTTCGCGATTACCTACTGCCACGCCCAAGACCGCTCTGTTTCTTATCTACGTAGCACTCAAAAGAACTCGGCAATCTCCGCCGTTGTCCAAGAATGGCAATGATGGTGATATAATTAACGGAAAGGAAAAGAAGAAGAAAAGACAAAAAAAACACCTACCAAAGCTTGCTGGCGGTTGCCTGCCTGTCGAGAGCGAAAAGAGTAAACTGTGGGAATGAACCGATCAGACGCCCAATCGTCTTACAGGGATGCTGTTAACAATGGAAATGTCCATGTCCTTTCCTTGCTCGGAAACTCGGTTGTTGGATGTGGTGCCATGTGCGTCGACCACTAACAGTCTACCACGGAGAGGGAGAGCCACATGCTGGTCTTTGTTGGCCTACCCGTTCTGGTTGTGTGTCTAGTGTAGACGTTCTCATCGTGGCCGCCCACCAGGGCTCCGTCAGCCATGTAACCTCGGCGCGCCTCTCCTTTGCCTGTTTCGCCGCTGCTTTCGCCGTCCGAGCCGCTTCTTGCCTCTCGACGGGCCCCCCCGGAGGAGGGGGGGGAAGGGCATTGAGCCTCGGCCGGACGTGGTTGTCGAGAAAAGGGTCGAATACCGAAGCCAACTAGACGGCGATAGGATGGGAGCAAGCGGAGCCCGGCCAGATTCCCGGGGATTCTTCACGGGCTCGATATATGCGCTAGCTGCGTTACAGTGCTAGCGTTCGGCGACAGCGAGAGCGAACAGACTATCGTCGCAAGGCTGTGGCGAAGAATAATAAAAAAAGGGGGACGGCAGTTCGCGCTGACGTTTATCAATGCCGTGCAGCGTTCTTGCATGTTCGGCTTTTCGTTGGGGGTCCCCCGCCACATCTGCCTCGTCCGCAGGGAGCAGCCGCACGGGCGAGGCAGCCATCGGCCGGGTGTCTCGAAGGAGGAGCACCTCTTCTCTCTCTCTCTCTCTCTCTCTCTCTCTCTCTCTCTCTCTCTCCCTCTTCCACTCTCTGGAGTGCCAAAGTGCCGCCGAGGCTCCTGGGCCAAAGGCGCTGCCGTTACGGACGGGCCCTCCGAGCAACCTATTTGCAAACGCCAAGCCCCAACCGGCCCTCGCCCTCCGTCTCCAGGCTTCTGGATGTGTTCTGGAGCGGTGGGCCCGTGGGAGAGTAGAAGTGGGCAAGTTCCCACACACTGGCGGCGGTTCTATTGCGTGAAGCCCTCTCGATCTTCTTGCCTGATGCCCCAATACCCCCGTCTATTGCTTCAACGTCTGCATTTCTTCGCGGCTTTGCTCCGCGTCGCCTCCGACCCCTCCTCCCTGGCTCCCTCCATAATACCTGTCTATCGGGTCCCCCGACAGCCGCAGAACATGAGCCGCGGTGGGGCGGGGGTGGTGGGGGGCGCCGCGGCGTTGACCTCTCGCGACTATCGTCCAGTTGCCAAGTCTGAGAAGAAGAAGATCTCTCATCTGAGGGTCAGGCTTGGCTTTTGCTATTCCAGGAATGGATAGGCATGGACCGAAATTCACTGAACGCCGGGGAGCGTCGTACGACCTGCGTCATCTCCAATGGTTCAACTGACTCGGGAGAGTTGGAGATTCCTTCTCCACGGGCCCTTGCTACCGCTGCTACCGCTGCTACGCTGCTGCTGCTGCTGCTGCTGGCTGCTGGCTGCTGGCTGCTACCACTGTACTTCACACATACAATCTCGGAGTCTTTGCGAGCATCGACTCGAAAAGGGGGTTGAGCCAATCATGAAGAGTCTCGTCCCTCTCTCGCTCGGCCGACGGCCTAGATCGGCCCCAATTGGCCACTGACAGTCCGAGCGATGATCGACTTTGACGTATTGATATGGGGCTGAACGGTGGTGGCTCTGGAGAAGCACGAAGCGCGCCGCTGATGACAGACAGCCAGCCAGCCCGCCGACAAGCAAACGCCCACAGGAGCTAGGAGCAAGTCATCACGGCGCTTGTCGACAACCGGTTTCGGTATGTGGGTAAAAGGGGGTATGCGGCATGTCGCTCAGTAGGTAGCAGTATTGATTTTCTTTTCTTTTTCTTTCTTGTTTCCGACCGGCTGCCGCGCACAACTGGGGAAGGAGTTTGATTGGCGGCCGCGAGGTGGGCGACTTGTAGCAACGCCGAGAAAAAAGGAAAAAAAGAAAAGAAAAGAAAAAAACACCCTTAGACATTGCCATGTGGTTCTGCCGCAGCCGCCGGTCCTGCTGTGGCACTTCGTACATGCAACGCTGTGCCACCCACTCAGCCGCACAGGGCTCCGTCCTTGTTGACAACTTACACAGTACTCTACGGGCGACTCTTGCAACGATTATCGACATTGCGTTTACGATAGACGACGACGACGACGACTTCTCGTCTCGCAGCCTGGTAACAAATTTGAGGATCACCAACACGGAGCTGGGCGGCGCCAGGAGGGGGGGGGGGGGGGGGGGGGCTGGAGGACGAGGCCACTCACTGTTCAGACGGTGGCCATTGCCAACCAGGCGAGCAACAAGCAACAAGCCTCGACTGGGGAGGCTGGACATCGTGGAGCGAAACACAGGCGAGTCAAGGCGATTGGAAATAAACCGTGTTCGTCTGGTCCGGTTGGGCCCAGCGTCCAAGAGTGGACAAAATCCCCCCACAATGTGGAGAGAACGGGACCGCCTTGGATAATCTGTACGAATCTCAATCGAGAGACAGAAGCCCCCGCCTAGACGCCCTCCCCCTCCCCCTCTTCAATGCAGAAGCAATGGAGAAGATGAGCGGTGGGCCCTTTTTGCAGGACAGGAGCCTTCTTGTCCTCTCCCGTGGTCCAGCAGTTAGCTGTCCATTTCGCACAGTCGGGAGTATTGTGCGAGTTGGCATGCGTTGCGCTGGTCTGGTCTGGTCTGGCGGTCAGGCATTCCCGATGAGGGTGAACCAATACCAAACGTCATCTTTGCTGCGTCTGGCCTCGACGCGGTTTGGTCGAGAGACGAGCTCTCGATGTGTCCTATAACATGTAGTGTACACTGCACCACAGACGCAAGAGAGAGAGAGAGAGAGAGGCACGGCACGGCATTGGCATTTGCTGGGGTCAGACCTGATGGAACTACCTACATGCAGCAAGCCCGGCCTGTCTATCATCACCAAGAGGGGCACTCAGACCAGGCGTTCCGACGTCGCACAGGACGATTGGATCCCGCCTATCGCGGTGTGCAGGCGCATAAGGTATCCTGCAGCATGTATGGATACGTGCGCACACAAACGCAAGAACACTGACACGCCCCAGCACCACCCGCCGCGTTGTGAGTTGAGCCGTCACGAGGCCGGCCCTAGACAACAATGTCTATTACAGCCACGGTGCCGCCGAAATGACAAAGGATGGACGACGAACGACACATGCGAATTACAAACAAGAGCAAACAGGAGAAGTTGTCCCGGCAGAAATTCAAGACGCTACGCCTGGAACAGGCAGTGCAGCATTTCTCCTACGTACAAACAACCAAGGGCTCGGCGGCGTTTTCCATGTCACCATGTCGAGGCCGTTCCCACCCACCCCTGCCGGGACCCGTCCTGTGGAAGAAGTGGAGGACGAATCCCCGAATCCCGATATGTCTCGACGAGGGCGGGCGGGCCTGGTCAGTGCGCGCCGCCTGGCCTGCGTGCGATACGAGCGGCAGCCAGCAAAAAACAACAACAAGCAGAGTCCAGATCGGTCGCTTTCCGATGTACCTACCTGTTTTTTTGGGGCTGGCGGTGACGACGCAGCTGAGGAGGGGAGGGGGGGGGGGAGAGAAAAGCCGTAGTGTATCTGTCGTCGGCTTGCGGAAACAACCATCGCGATGGAAGATGAAGACGACGATCTTTCTCTCAGCGGCCTAGCGGCTAGCAGTGCACATACATACGCAATAGAAAACGGCCGCCATTAGGTTTGGAAAACTAGTGTGGCCGTCGTCATTCCATCGCCCGGGCCACATCTACTGCAAATGCCAAAAATGAGACCGAGAGCCAAGGCGATATTGCGGTCCTTCTCCGGAGTGCCAAATAGACAGACTGGAGACTGTGAGATCGTGCGAAAAGATAAATAATAAAATAAAAATAATGACGAGGCGGGAGGTAGAGACAGAAACAGAGAAAGAGGCGCGTGTGAAGTGGGTTCTGGAGGGGTCTTTCTGTCGCAAAGCGTTAACCCCGACAGCTTCATCTCGTCCGCTGCAAATTTTTGTGGACATAGGCGTGCAGCGTGACATGGTCATCGTTGCTTTTTTCTGTGGCTTTATTTTTTTCTTTTCCCCTCTCTCGCCTCTGCGTATCCTCTTCTGCCTTCGTCCTCGCCCTACGAGGAACCGCCTTGGATACGTATGTCAGTGTCCATCGCTCTCATTTGGACCCTTGGGACCCGCTGTTATCAGGTAGAAGTCGGTCCCCCCCCCCGAGCCAAAGGGGACGACCATGATGACCTGGCCTCGCCCGTCCCGGACACTTCAGGTAGTCCTTAGGGGAAGGCACAGAATACATGTCGTACCTGGGAGGTGCAGACGAGCCATCCCCATGTCGGTCCAGGAGGATGTCTAGCGGCGGCTCAACAACGGCATGAAGAAGGAGGATATGACACTTTTGCGAAAGGGTAGCGGGACACGCGAGCAAGCGGCCCCGTTGCGTCAGAGAAGGAGGTTCCCAGCGATCTTCATTCCACGCCGCGGAACTAGCGCGCATGAGCAGCATGGGGACCCGACCACCGCCTTACGTAGTTTATTCATTTCAGGGTACTTTTTCGAGAGCAGCGCCGGTCCTTGCTCTTAACTGGGTTTGGTGAACGGGCGAGACGAGACAACGGGCCCGGAACGTGAGCGAGAGGAGACGATGCGGGAGGAGATGGAGATTGGAGGAGGAGACTTTGAAGGCGTTGAGCCACTGTGGAAACGGCTCTTGTCTCTCCTCCCACTTACTACCGTATGTAGACCGTGGGACCACCAGGCAAACTTGCCGTGTAGTAGTAATGGCCATGCTTTGAACAGCGCAGTGGTGGCAGTTGCAACGACGGAACGGGAGATGAGTGGAAGGGTGCGCTTGGGGGGATTAGGCCTGGTGTAGCCGGGGGTTCCTGATTTTGGCAAGGGTTCGGCCCCTCGACGACCAACCACGAGGGTGGACAGAAGGCCGCTTGGCCAGCCAGCGAATGAGGACGAAGAGAATGCCAGAATGGCTAAACCGCATCCAGGCCTGGAGGTGCTGCTGGCTGCTGGAGGGCTCGGGGAGGTGGAGATCATCGGGGCGGAATCCTGGACTGGGTGGGTGGCTGCTGGGACGGAATGGAGGTGGGAGTGGACGGACGGGGATTCCTTGCAGAGTGAAAGGGCGGTCGCCGTCGCCTCCAGCATCACCGTGGTCGCCGCCTCACTCTCTTGTCGCAGCAACCGCGCAGCTCTTCCTCTGCATGGGCTTCTTCCCCTCCATGTCCTCGTCGTTGTCCTCTCTTCCTAAGGGTGACCAGGAGCCGAAGCCCAGGTGCCTACCTCGCTGTAGCCCGCAAGATTAGCGGTGGCCTTGGGAGGGGTTGGGCTTCCACTCAGCATGACGTTGGGTTGATTCAAGGGAGAGAGCTGGAACTGTTGATCCAGTCAACTTTTGGTTTGATGCTCCGGACGTGGACTGAGGACGTACGTGCGTGAGTCGGAGCGGCCATGATGATGATGGTGAAGGTTGAGGATAGACGGGAGAGAACTGAGAGCGTGTCATGTCTAACTAACGCTTCAAAGTCCAATCTATTCGAACAGGTAGGTACCTAGGTGACAGTACTTTTACACCACTGAGAGCAAAGTAAAGTGAGTAAGGTGCTTGGGAAAGCACACTCCCCCTTCCCGCCTTCTTAGATTGCCTATTCTCTCTATTTGGGGGTAGAGAGGTAGGTAGGTACCTTCCTGCCCTGCTCTCTGCCAATTGCCGCAGCATGAATCTAATAGGGAACCCGCTTACGCTGCGCAGCTCGTACCCCCCTCCCCCCTCCCCCCTCCCCCCGTCCACTGAATCGCCCACTTCCTCCTATCTTCACCCCCTCGTAGAGACCAAAATCTCACGCCCCGAATCTCGTCCCATCCATTTAGACCCCAAGCATCCGCCCGAGTACTTCACCAATCCGCTCCCCTCCAGTGCACGCACGCATCTCTATCTTGCTGCGATTGCTTCCCTCACCACAGCAGCATCACGCTCAAATATCATATTCATCTGTCCAGTCCTGGGTAAGATCTAGCATCATATTCACCACCTGCACCAACACGAACCAACATCTCCCTCCACGTCGACTCCGATACCCTCGCTTCGACTGCCACGGTCTGCAGCCTGGATTGGCCCGAAGCATCACCCATCACACGACACCATCTTACCAAGCAAACCCTCCCTTTACCGTTTAATTACACCAACCCGTCGCAAGCACACCATCCGCTTCTTCTTCTCGCCACTCTCCCATCAAATCGCATCCTACCACGCGCCTTTTCTTATTTCAAGCGCCATCTATCCTCGACGCGCCTTATTCTCATCCTCGGCATCACTTAAACACGACTACCAAGTGTCCTCACCACAAGTCCAACAACACAATGGCAACGGACCTCATAATGCCTACGCTCGTCGAGCAGCGCGGCCCCTTCTTCTCACAGGACCGCCCTCACTTCTCCCATGCCCGATCCCACTCCTTCCAGACGGTGCCCCAACCCCAGCCCTTTCGCAACCGCACCTCGCCTCTGAGCACGCCTCACGATGGGTCTCCTACCTCGCCCAAGTCGTGCCTGAACGAGTCGGTGCGCCCTGTCTACGTCCCCGCCGTCCTCCGCCCCAACAAGCACCACTCCAAGAAGCCCCGCGCGACCAAGGCCGAGGACTCGGACGGGGGAGATCTTCTCTGCCTGCGCCGCACCAACAGCAGCTTCATCAGTCTGCCGGGCCTCAGCGTCCTCGGTCAGAAGCTGTCGCGCCGCTCCACCGGCGACAGCGGCAAGATCATTGACCTCGAGCTGGATGCCGACCTCTTCCCCCAGGTCACCGGTGAACCTACCCGCAAGCACTGGAAGGTATGTTGGATGCGCCCGTTCCCCATCGTCCTCCGCAAGGAAAGTTAACAAGTAAATCGCAGCCCGACACCGAGTCAGTCATATGCGACGACCCGACCTGCAAGCGCAGGTTCACCCCTCTGAACCGCAGACACCACTGTCGCCGCTGTGGCAACATCTTTTGCCACTCGCACTCCAACGAGGTCATCCCTCTCGACGAGGACTGCAACTACAACCCCCGGGGCACTCTCGCTCGCGCCTGCTTTCACTGCTTCACCGAATTTAAGGTATGGAAGAGCCGTAACGGCAGCCGCAGCGGTAGCGAACAGAGCTCCGACTCCTCCGACACCCCATCGAGCCCTATCGTCGCGAGCCCCGTTGTTCCTATGATGCCGGGTATGCTGCCGCCGACCAAGGGCCCCGAGGTGGCTGCCAGCGTCCCCCGCGACTGGAACTGGAGCACATTCTAGAAGATGTAGAAAGTCCAGGAGCGGGAGAGACCGACAGAAGGGTTTCGGAACTCCCTCAAACAAGGGGAAAAAAGGACAAAAGAAAAACAAGAACGCCCATGGGGCGCAATACCCAGCGGATCACGATTCACGGCCTTAATGAAGAGCGAACGAACAATAGAATCATAGACACACAAACACACAAACACTCGTTGTACGGCGGCGGAAGGCCGGCCCTCACCGGCCAACCGTCCCAGCGATACTGGACGCGACACACAGAACCGCCCGGATCATAGACAACAACACACCGATACCCTCGCTAATGGACTGCACGTTACGCAGCCCCATCACCTCGATCCGCACATAGAACGCCCTACCGGGATCAATATCTGACCCGATCTGGCATGGACACCTGTTTTGTTTGCATTTGAAGCGTGGCGTTGGACTGGAACACTCGAGATCAGGATATGGCTTGTCCCCCCTTATCTCACCGAGCAAGGGTTTACGGGAAAGATGACAATTTTTTGATTTTAATCTTTAACACTCCCCAACATTTTTGCGGAGGGGTTTTTTTTTTTCGGCGGCATCACCCCCTCTGAAGGTTTATACCCCAGATGTGACGACTGGATGGTTTGTTTCGCCCTCGGAACCACTCAGGGTCTCCCATGGGTCACCTTGATGGGGGAAGAGGGCGAGGTGCGGACCAGGCCGGCCGAACACCTTCATGGATTGGCGTTTGTGTAATTTAGAGTTGCTGTCACAGCATTGGTTGGCCGACGTTAGAATCGGCAGGATAAGAGAGGGGACAAGGGAAACAGCCCCGGACGGGTCCGCAATGCAGCTTTGTTTGCGTACGCGGCCTGATCCAAAGCTCTTACTTACCCCTCCGCTTGACTCAGATACCAAAGCAAGAAAAGAAGCACCATTGATCAAAACCAAGAAGCGAACTCTAAGTCCCGAACTTTGGCTTATCCGTGACTGTCGTCAGAACCCCGACTACTGCATTGGGACAGGCGGTTGAAGACGAAGCCCGCCTACCGGCCACCGATGGCGCCATTTTTTAAGGAGGGGGGCGGTGTTCTTTACGTCGCGACGGCCTCACGATGATGTTTCAAGGGTCTCTCATCTTGCATTAGGACCGCGAGAGTCTCGATGTTGGCTTTTCGCGACGGCCGTTGGACTGCTCCCGCCCTCTTCTTATCCGGGGAACGAGATCCCGCCGCCGGAGATGGACCACACAAGTCGTACTTCAGCCATGGTGTCACGTCGGGGGTGGGGGCGGGGGGGTTGTTCCCAATCTCGCCGGCCAACAACATCTTCAACTTGCCTCCCTTCCCTTCCCCGATCTCCTGCGTGTCTCATTTGAAGATCCCCTCATGGCTTTGGTGGTTCCAGACCGCCCTCGAGGTGAGCCACCGGTACTCTTCCTCCAGGCGGGCGGATCTTCATGTGAAAGAACAAGGACGACGAGCCACGTCCCCACGCCCGTGGATGTTCCACCGCAGGAACCAACTTGCGCGCGTCTGGGTGCGTAGGTGAGGCTCTACAGCGAATTGGGAGGAGGGGGGGTGTCATCGTCGTGGAGGTGGTGGTGGTGGTGGTGGTAGTGGTGGTTGTCATGTCCGCTGGACCTGCCGCCTATGCCGAAGGTACCCTAGCGTCGCGCCGTCCGTGTGCGCGCGCGCGTCTCGTGTGTCTTTAAAGTAGGTATGTGCGTGTGTCTTCTTGCCTTTTCCCCATCATTCCATTTGGGGAGGGGCCATTTGGGGAGGGGGTTCGACAAACCACCCCCCCCCCCCCCCCCCCCTTCCCCTCCTTCTATCAAACTCGCCGCGCTCTGCGTCGGGTGCTTCCCGCACTTCCCGCCTCTGGGATGTGCTACGGCGGACAGGCTTCTGGCGGCCCTGGGTAGAGGTGGATAGATGGGGGTGACAGTCATCCGGCTGCATCGTTGCCCCGTCCGCTGCGGTCAGCATGGCGGCGCATTCTGTCCCACGCCGGGGTTCTCCAGAATCAGAATCGGGGGTGGGGAGGTGAGTGAGTCTCTCTGGTCGGTTGTTGGTCGCGACCGAGGGTGGCCGTCGAGCTTAGGTGAGCCGACGCGACGGCGAAAGGTGAGCGGGTGGTTCTGCGGGCCAGCTTTAGCTCGCGGATAGTAAGCGATCGCGAGGGCGTTGGTGTTGTGTCGTCATGCGTGTGTGCGTGTGAGAGGGGGGGTGTATGTGAATCATGGCCGTCAGCTTCGCGGCTGATTCGTCGCTGCTGCTTCTGCTCCGCCCTTTTTCCCTCCTTTTCCCCCTCCCCGAGTAAATCCAGTGAGACTCTGGGTCAGCATCGTGGGCGAGCGTGGTCCTCTGGGCTTTGCCGTGGCGGAAACATCTGGGTATCACAGTCCCTTCTTGATGGGGTAGGGTCTTGTCGGTAGGGAGGACTGGGGCTTAGGCCGCGCACATTCCTCCCCGCGTGCCCCTGCGCCCCCCCATTCACGTGGGAAAGCTGGCTCGCAAATAGTCACCCTGGAGGGGCATATGGTGAGAGTCGGAAGGTAAGGGAGAGCGAAAAGTCTGGATGCCTGGGCCCGAGGGGCGGGGCACGTCGCGCACGACGACGGACGACGAGCGCGGTCGTCGATGAGGCGCGGCGAGATCCAGCACGTGCAACCTTGCGCACTCCGCGCATCCACAATCTTCAACAGGTGTCTGACGCCGTCTAGGGCGCCATGTACGGCGTATGTGCATGCACGTCGATGCAGCGCGGGGCCACGTCCAAGCAACGGCAACGGGGGGGGCTCATCCACCGCCAATCCGCCTGGCCTAGTCTAGAGGAGTCAGTGTCTTGTTGCTATATCATGCGCACCGCGCCCGACGACGTCCAGAGAGGGGCCAGCTGGCATCGACGCAGGCTTTCCACCGTCCGTCGCGCGCCCACCCTCGAAGCCGCAACCCCCTTTGTGATGCGCCCAGGACACACGCATGTCCTGCAGGCTCCGATTGTGGCTTTCGCCCCCCCCCCCCGGATATCATAGAGTCAGAGCCGCCAAGGACGCCGCCGCCGGTGGCGTGGACATATCGCGTCCCCTTTGTCCTTCGAGGCCAGAAAGCACGACGCAAACACACCACGCCGCCTATCAAAGTGGTCCAGTAGCCGCGTGACGTGGCGTCTCGGGACTCTATAAGAGTGACTCACTGTCAACACGAGACGGACTAAGAAAAAAAAAAAGAAAAAAAAAGAAAAAAAAAGAAAGAAAAAAGAAGAAGGAAAAAAAAGCAAAAGCTTGAACTGGTTAGAGAAACAAACGCGCTAGTCGACAAGTGCGGCGAGATGTCTGTCTGTCGGAGTACGCTCCGGAATCGCCACTCCTTGTCCCCCCAACAACCGGAAAGATGGTTGATTGCGGAGACGACGGTCCGGAGCGGAGTCCGGAACCAGAATCTCGGGCCCGTACCCCATAATTCCCGCGCTACTCCGTCACGGCGCCCGGGAGGCGTATCACTCGGCATGGCCTGCTGCCCGATGTTGCGCCGGAGAGTTGCAAACAGCCAGCGGGAACCTCCCCACCCACGGATATCACATTTCAGTATCGCCGCGGGCCATGATGTGACGAGAAACCTCGATTTGATGACTATTCATATATTTATGCCAGCTCATGCTCGGCTTGCCTAGTTACCCTCTGCGCGCAATGCAACAGAATAGACAGTTGCGATAAAATAACTAGCGAGCGCCCCGGGTGATGCGAATGCTTACCCCAATGTTTTCCCAGTTCAGAACGCCGTTGAAACAAAGCCATGCCGCCGCCTCTCCGAGAACGCCCCCTCTCGGGCCTTCTCTTCCGTTTGTATCCCATTTTCCATAACCCGCAAATCCCTCGCCCAGGCATCGATCCCCGAGGCGTCTAATACTTGGCCTTGCCGTTAGCAACGCGCTTGGGGCTGCCCTCGACGTTGTACGAAGCGGAGCCGTTGTAGATCTCGCGGTTGACCTCGCGAGCGGCATCCCAACCGGCCTTCTCGGCCAAAGTGACGTTGCTATCACGGCGGACCTTGCCCTTGCCCTTGGAGGACTCGGCGTTGCTGCGGCGGATGTAGCTGCGGATGAAGAACATGACGAACAGGTAGGTGAGGGGCGCAAGGTAAAGGACGTTGAGCCAGATGGCAAAGGTCTCGCCGCTGGTGGTGACGCAGGGCTGCGTGACGTACACCGTCTCAGAGACGAAACCGTCCTGGGGCACCGCGGCGGCGACGGAGGCGGAGGCGGTGGCAGCCTCCTCAGCGACCTTGGAGGAAGCGCCAAAGACCATGTTCTTGAGCGTCTCAAAAGCACCAGCCGCAGCATTGGCAGCTGTCTCGGCGGCAGCGTTGGCGGCGGTATGAGTGACTGCCTCGCCGCCCTTGTTGCGGGTGTAGACGGTCACGGGGACCGTGTAGGAGACAAAGGAGTGCGCCATGGCGTAGGTGGCTCCGACGAGGAATTGGGTGATCTGGAGGGTGGTGAGAGTTCGCTTGATGGCCATAGGGACGCGGACGTTGAAGGCGGTGATGGTGTAGTAGGTGTACTGGGCAACTGTTAGCATCTTGTTTCCCGAGGTCAGGGTGAGCGCGACGGCTTACCATCATGGCGTGGATGAAGGAGTTGACCAGGACGAACATCCAGATCGGGGCAGACATGTAGCGCATACCAGCCCACATGCACATCATGGCGCCGGCGTGGTGGTAGGTCTGGAGGGTGGAGCTGAGCTTGCCCTTGGCGAGGATGATGAAGGTGTCGAGGACCTCGTAGAACTTGCTCAGGTAGAAGATCCAGCCGTAAAAGGCGAGACCCTCGTTCCAGATTCTACCGGTGGCGGTGCGGCTCGGGCGTCCGTCGAAGCCGAGGGCGGAGTTGCCAGCCAAGCTGGACCAGTAGCCGAGGGTCTCGTTGTAGACGGTGGCGGCGCCGAAGCCGCCGTTGCCGTTGAGCTGACAGAAGCTGTCGGCGGTGGCGGCCAGGCCGTTGGGGCCGAAGGGGCTCACGACGCTCCTCCGCATGCCGCCCAGCATGCCCCAGAAGGTCCAGGCCGAGTAGACGGCAAGGAAGACATTGTGCAGTACGACAAAGGCGAAGAAAGGCTTCGTCTTGCTGATGCCCCAGGGCCTGTTCTTGGTCGACTTGTTGTACTTGTTCAACAACTTGACAGTGACGGCGTAGAGGGCGGCGATGGTGATGGGCACGCGAGGGTCGAGGGCGGCGGTGAAGATGTGGTCGGGGATCTCGACGGGGGGCGCAGCGGCGATGGAACCGGGCAGAGGCGGGGGGATGGCCATGTGGGCGCCGTCGGGCGGGAAGGTGAAGAGGGAGGCGGGCGGAAGCTCGCTGAGCACGGTGACGCCGGCCATGGTGGTGGTGGGGAATTGACCAATTGACTTGGGCGTTGCTTCGAAAAAGGGCAGTGTGCGGCCCGCAGGTTGCTTGGCCGTTGGGGAATTTTTTTTTACCCCTTCCTGAGTCGTGAGTGTGCTGCAGTAATAGCAAATGACACCAGGGAAGCTCCTCCGTGTGTGGGAGAAGGGTATCCGGCACGCGACAGCTTTAGCGGTCGACACAGAAGTGTGTATGTCTAGTGTCGTAGACTTACTTCGGCTCGACCGTCACAGGACTGATACGTGCGAGGTAGACGGAAGAGATCGGGAGACGAAAGACTGCAGGAGGATGAAAAAAGTTGGCGTAGGAGAAGCGAAGCGAGCTTCGAGGTAATGGTCCTTTCTACCAAGTAGTTGTCGAGGAAGAGGAGAGGAGAGGAAAAGGGATTAAAGAAGAAGGACACAAAAGAAGCTCCCAGGTCAACGCGAGGGGATCCTCGAGGTCTTAATATGGGGAAGGGAAGGGTTGAATTTCTGGATGGGAAAAGGACAAGCAAGAGTGGATAATGCTGCTGCTGAGGGTAGACCCCCTACGAACCTACCTTAGGTAGTAGCATGACCATGTACCCATCCAAAGTACTGTATACTATAGGTATTCCTCCCCTTCGGCCTTATCCTCTCCACCCTGGCACACACGAAAAAGCATACGTACAGTGTACCTTGTAGTTATTTGTGGTCCAGTCTGGTTGATGTGGGATTTGGCGGGGAGAGTGTCATGGGAGAAGTTTGTCTTTGCTCGGGCTTTAGTCATAAATAATGCTGAGGCCAAGGCGCAACGCAACGGATGAGAAGGAAGCGAGGCGAGGCGAGACGAGACCAATGGAGGGGAAGCAAGAGAGACAGCAACAAGGCACATCAAGAGGCAAGGCAATGCCTACCTACCTAGGCAGGTTGAGCAACGGGACAACGGGTAGCCGTATGCCCTGATTGATGGAGGACAGTGAGTAACAGGTCTCAACGGGAGGTTAAAGTCCATGTGTTCAGCTACCTTAACTGTTTGCTTGTCCCATCTTTCTGTCTTTTTGTTTTCCCCTTCTGCACTAGCTTCTCAATGCTATGCAAGGTAGGTAGGTAGGTAGTAGATGGGTAAAACACGTACATCCCATGTACCTCGAAACTTCCATAGTACAAGTGTGGAAAATCATGGACGGAAGCAGGAGCTCTGCTCCTTCCTCACCTCTTGATTGTTTGTTTGTCATCGTAACCGCCACAGCGAGCTTCCCCCCCACTCCCCAAGAATCAAACACAATACGTAAAGGCGAGGAAAGACCAGGGGGGGGCATGCGCACCTCGCCTTCCTAAAAGCGCAAGCGTCTACGAGGCAATTGCCCGTCTTGCCCGCCACGCCTGCCACGCCCGCCACGCCCGCCACGCCCGTCTGGTCGGGTACCTGCGGGAAGGTCCTGCTCAATGTGAATTGCGACCCACTGAGACACCCACCCACCCGTTCGATGCGACTGGTCTCGCCAAGTAACGCGACCAAGGTACATCGTCATTCCGTGCTTCCCTCGCCAGCGCCCGGCTATCTGGAGAGGAAAAAAAGATCGGGGCTGATGGATCGAGGAACCGCTATAGGAATACTTGCTAGGTACTTCCTCCTTGAACATTGTTGAGAGACACATGAAGAACCACTCGAAGCTTGACACCGGACGAAAGGAGCTGCCTACAGACCATTGACGGTCCATGCTAAGGCAGTGAATGCCACTACGACTGGGATGGGTGGGCTCCACGGTCAACCCGTTGGACACTCGACCGGAAAGCAATCAATTCTGGTATATTTTTTTATATTTTTTATTTTGAATTGACTCTCAGGTGTGTTTTTGTTTCTTTCCTTCCCCGTTGTGCCTCGGCTTCTCGATAACACCCTTGCAGTCTGCTTTAAGCCTGCACTACCTACCCTGGCATGCCAGCCCAGGGTGGGAACCGCAGAATGGAGGGGCCCAAGCAGCGCGCCAAATAAAGTGTGACAACCCGCGGAGGGCGGGATGGGGGCAGAGAACCAACAGATTCGGCTTTGGCGAGGTACGACTGACGAGACAATAGGTATCCGACAAGGCCGCGATGCATCTCTGCGTCAGTTACAGACGGGCCCGGAGCAAAACTGGCGCTGGCCAATGAGTGGCATAACCATCATGTTGAATCGACTGTCTTTGCGCGGCTGTTGCCCATCAGCTGCAGTCCGTGATCGACGGGGAAAAGGGACGGTTTGAAACGGTTGAAAAGTTGCGACATGGATGCATGCGCCTCTGGACGTTTGCCCAGCCCAATATCCCAGACACGTCTTTCCGACAACGGCAAAGGCGCCGCCGCATTGGGAGCTTTGGACACCGGCTCTCAACTCTATTTTGGGGATCTCATTTGTCGACCTCAGCCAGGCATACCGTACTAGCACTCACTGGCTTGGGCACAGTCAGTGCTCTCCGGTCACGCTGCTTGCTGCATTATGCGACAGCTTGGAGAGATGGCGATGAAATCAACGTCGATAACGGCTCTGACGAACTGCCATCGGAGGCTCCGGGCCGTGCCAGCGCCTCACTCGCAAGCAAGCCAGGTGAGGCGAGGTCGGCGCAATGCAGCTCAATAATTGGAGAAGCGCCGCGGCGCTGGCCAAGACCGTGACACCCGTCGTCGTCGTCGTCGTCGTCGTCCTTCTGGAAGCCAAGGCTACGATCCTTGCCCCTGGTTCAGGGTCGTCATGTAGTGGGGGGATGCATCGAGTAGCGGTACCTCACAGGAGATACTGTTAATACTGTTCCAGGGTGTCAGCTACTAATGTGCATCAAGTATCCTCGAGTACACACCAGGAACTGTCAAGTGTCCACTGGCCGTGGGCCCCCGCTAAGCGGTCTTCGTTCTTTTTGTTGGGGGAGCGCTAGGCCCGATTCCACCGACCCTTTTGCCCCCGCATCGAAGGTTTTTTTTTTTTTTTCCTTCAAGAGAGTGAGTGCGAGATGGGCCCTCTTATCTACCGGTATACAGCAATCATTCTGAAGGCAGAAGCCGGCAACTCGATAAGCATGTGAGCGACAAGGGGGACGCGGACTTCAGCCCTCGCGCGGCTTCAATGTGTCTCTATAAGCGGTGCGCGATCAGGGTCTCGTCATCCGTTTTTCATTCGATACGTCTCGGCCGACGTTAATACGACAGCCTGACCGCGAACAGATGGAGATGACGATCCTGCTGGCGAGACTCTCTCCATGCTCTGTCTATTGCCAATGGGCCATTCAGAGAAGCTCAACATGTCACGCTCTCAACCAACTCTAGTCGGGAAAGACGTGATGTAATGCATTGTTACACAACGCTCGTCACGTACCTGCAACGAATTCGACTTGCGAACCCCATACCCCGATTCCGTAGCCCGAGGAAATAGAACAACCAGCAAGGAGTTTGCATGCTGGCCGGATTACGTGCCTGTTCGCTGTCGGCCAACAATTCTTCGCAGATCGACTCTCACGTGCATTTTTTCCATCGTTGTCGTTTTTCTTTCCCCAACAAATTCGGCTTCAAAGGCAAACCCGCGGCCCCAACTTCCTCTTTGAACCCTCTTGGCCGCCAGACCGCCCATCGCAAGATGACACCCAGCCTGCCAGGCCCCCCCTGGCGCGGAATGGACAGACCCGCCGATGGACCCTGAACAAGTATCCACGTCTGGCTTAGCCAGAGTCGTGGCTGCAGCTCTGAGGAGAAGCCAATCTGGCATTTGGCCACCTGCGGCCACCTCGTCCACGTCGCCTCGCCTGTGTGCTCCTGGCCTGCCCTGCCTGCTTGCCCGCTGACCCTCACCGAGATGGCGGGGCTACTTGATGGCAACTCCATGCACTCGCTACGTAGTATGTACCGGCTGTCAATTCGGAGTTCCAAGGGGCTGGCAGTCCCAGGCTCTCCCTAAACCAGGCCCGGGACTGGGCGGGCGGGCGCATGGGCTCCCACTCTATTTTGGCTGCTTGCCACGGCGCCGGTAGTTCGGAAAAGTGGCTCGGAAGGCTGCCTGCTCCGCAAGTTAACAACTGATCCGGAGACCGGTGAGATACCGTGCCGTCGTCTGGCGCGGACCGAGGCGGCGGCTGGCCATAATATGGTTGGAAGACGAACTCGGACCTGGGACGCCGCACGGCCTAGCGGGGAGCCCTTCCTTCATCTGGCTTGCGTTCCACGGGGCGTGGCGTCATGACAAGGCCACTTAGTCGTTCGAGTAGGCTTAAAGCAGACGAGTCGATGGTCACGGCGGACCGAGACTACAACTGCCGTCTTCCCCGTTTGGCCGGCTTCATGCGAACCGAGGTTCACTTCTCCCCGCCACCGAGTCGACGAAATGCGTCGTCATCAACCTGCCCCCGCAATCAAGAAATTCCACACAGGCCACAGGAATGTACGAAGTTCAGAGTCGTGCGCCCTGGTATCTTCCTAGCGGCCAGTGATGCCTCATACTCATCACTTTGCAAGTCGGCCCTGCAATATGGCTGACGGACAATCGCCAATGCTTGAAAGACCAGATGTCTCCCCAGATATATGTGGTGTCGATTAGGTGGCAGCGCAGTCGCTGTACGCGTGTGTCCCGATTGCGATTCGTGGCCGCGTCGCGTGTCTCATCGATTTCATCTCAGCTTCTCTTTTATGCAGTGGACTGACCACCCACCTAGACACCCGACCGAGCTTTGGAGGAGTGGCCTTTGTTGGCTGGGAATTTACCGGGTTCCGTCAACATCGTACCACCCATTGCCAAAACCCGTGTTCCCCGCATGATCTGCTAGATAAGCTCGGGTTTTGTCCATACACACCAATTAAGCCACACGGTGCCCAGGTAGATCAAGGTCGCATGCGCCCAAATGCCGTGCCAAAATCCTGCATCCCGCCAACACGAAGCTGCATATTTGGGGTTCGATACTTTTATTGCCGGACTCCGGTCGAAACGGTTCACAGCTCCGGTTCCCTACCGGATGTCGTAACCACCAGAGGTAACGCAGATTGTGTCGATCCCGTAGCTTATCCGCCGCAAGCTGGTCGGACGACGAAGTCTTTGTTCAGTTTCTAAAGCACACCGGATCGGGGATAATAGGGGACATGCCTGAGGAAGTAGAGCGATGATACCTATTATCATGCTTCCTCGCACGGACCCCGCATCCACGACAAACACGGCCCCCCTGCAGCAGCACCACTACTACCATGTAAGCGGCAAGGGGCAAGCCAACGTCAACTGTTTTCCCTTTTGCAACATACTCAGTCAAACATCAGTCGAGCATGAGCTTCCGAGGCACTTTTGCTCACCCGTATCAACTGGCATAATACCTTGCCCCGAGCTCCCCCTCATCCGACCCGCGCATAACTTTGTTGCTTTCTCACGCTTGTTGACAGCCAACTCGACATTGTCCATTCGTGTGCCACCGTCTCCAGCTTCGTTCATTTCATCGCATCGACACTCATAATCTGCTTCGACATGGCTACTCTGTCGAAAACCATCCCCGGCACCGACGTCCAGCTCCAGCTGCCGGTGTTGCCAGTTAACAACTTATGGAACGAGACACAATGGGCCGTTCTAATGTCCCTGCTCGAGGCCGTCCTACCGTCCATCTCACTGCCGGCGACTCTTTCAGACCCCACAAACCAGATTTGTGTGTCCGGGGCTGATTACGCGGCAGCGCTCCAGCTCGTCCGGAACACGATGAAGAATCCGCCCTCGGAGGAAAAGTTCCTAGAGTACCTCGCACACAGCCCCGCAAAGGAACCTAAATTCGTCGACAGCATAAAGAGGACAATGGCCTCACTACCCGCAGGCTCCCAGCGCCAGCTGGCTGGTGCCATGAGCACGCTGGCGTGAGTTGTCCTTCTTCTACCCGCGACACTAACGGCCCGGCATGGCTGACCTGGTCTGACAGCACTCGCACTGGCACGTTGTTCATGACTGGCTATTGGACCCCGGTCCACCTGCAACCTTTGGAGGTCCGCGAGAAGATCCTCCAAGCGTGGCAGACGTCGCGGATGCCCACGATACGGCTCCTGACCAAGACGATATGTCTGCTGGCCCAGAAGAGCGCCGTGCAGACTAGCCCTCTGTTCAGTGAGTTGACTGGCTACACTGACATGCCCGAATCCCAGAAGCATGGCGAGGGGTTCGACTTCAACTTTATGCAGTTCGAAGCATCCGACGCCCCGGCCGTTCTGGAGACCGACATCGTCATCGTCGGGTCTGGTTGCGGAGGTGCGGTGGCTGCCAAGGTGTTGGCCGAGCAAGGCCACAAAGTCCTCATCGTCGACAAGTCGTACCACTACCCTCCGTCACAGCTACCCATGGCCCAGGACACCGGATGCCAGTTTCTGTACGAAAACGGCGGCGTCGTCACCAGCGATGACGGCTCTCTCAATATCCTTGCCGGCAGCTGCTGGGGCGGCGGCGGGACTGTTAACTGGAGCGTCAGCCTCCAAACGCAGGGCTTCGTGCGCCAGGAGTGGTCCGAGCAGCGCGGGTTGTCCTTCTTCACGTCGCCACAGTTCCAGAACTGTCTGGACAGGGTGTGCGACTTCATGGGTGTGACCACCGACGGCGTGCGCCACAACCATCGTAACAAGGTGTTGCTGGATGGGGCCCGGAAGCTCGGATGGCACGCCGTGACGGCTCCGCAGAACACGGGCGGCGCGGACCACTATTGCGGACAGTGCCATCTCGGTTGTGGATCGACGGGGAAGCAGGGCACCACTGTGAGTTGGCTGCCGGCGGCAGCGGCGTCTGGGGCCAAGTTTATCGAAGGGTTCGAGGTCGAGAAGGTGAATTTCGACGAGTCGAGCGGCTCCAAGCGCGCGACGGGCGTCGTCGGAAAGTGGGTGTCGAGGGGCGCCGATGGAAGCACCAGCGCGCCCTTGGATCAACGGATCACACGGGAGGTCATTATCAAGGCGAAGAAGGTTATCGTGGCTGCGGGATCGGTTTCGAGTCCTTTGGTGCTGCTGAGGAGCGGTCTAACTGTAAGTTGCGACATTGCCCCGAGTCGCGTTCAGCTACTGACGTGTGAGCAGAATCGCCATATCGGACATAACCTCCACGTCCATCCCTGCAACATGGTAGGCGGCTTCTGGAAGGAGGACTGCAAGCCTTGGGAGGGTAGGTATCCAATTTCGAGTTGATGTATGTGCTATCACTAACGTCACGCAACAGGCGGTATCATCACCAGCTACTGCTCCTCATTCGAGGACCTCGACAAGGCCGGTCACGGCGTCAAGCTGGAGCCAACGTGCATGATTGTGCGACCCCTCCCTCCCTTCGCTCACTCCGACCCCGAATTGCTAACACCACGCAGCCCTACGCAGTCCTCTCAACTATGCCATGGTATTCGGGTCTCCAGGCCAAGCTGTCGGAGCTCCGTTTCCGCCACCTCGGCAGCTTCATCTCCCTCACCCGCGACCGCGACACGGGCCGCGTCTACCCTGACCCGGTCACGGGCCGCCCGCGGATCGACTATGTCATCTCGGACTTTGACCGCGCCAACACCCTCGAAGGTGTCATCGCGTTGTGCAAGATCTGTCACGTCGAGGGCGCCATTGAGATCCACGCTGGCATCCCCGGGCTCGAGCCGTTCATCCGGGAAGAAGACTCGGCTGGGCTGCTTGAGAAGATCGCATCAGCCACCTCGAGCTCACCGGGCTCGGAACATGGAGACGACACCATCCACCAGGGGGCCAACGACCCCCGCTTCGTCGCGTGGCTGGACAAGGTGCGCAAGGTTGGCAACGCGCCGCCCGTAGGCATCTTCACGTCGGCACACCAGATGGGCACGTGCAGGATGGCGCTGAACGAGGACGAGGGCGTTGTTGGGCCCAAGGGGCACGTGTGGGGCACGGAGGGACTTTTCGTGGCGGACGCCAGTGTCTTCCCAAGCGCCAGCGGTGTGAATCCGATGGTTACGAATATGGCGATCGCGGATTGGATTGCGATGAACGTGGACAAGGAGGTCAAGGCCGAGTCTGGGTAGAAAGAGGTGAGACGTCGGGAAGGGCGGTGGACTGGTGGATACAAAAGCGCAAGGGACGTCGGAGGACGGCAGAGGTTGTAAGAACTGATTGCAAGCATAGTCGTAACCATACCCAGATCATAGCAATCCGACGTCTTGAAGTACATGGAAGCGATGCCACGCCTTTGCAAACCATAATTCCTACTTTCAGCAATGCTGTCACGACCCCTCGAGGCCGTCCTACGGTCGTTATAGCTATGGGTTGGGGGTGCAAGAGTTGTTGCGGAGATGCTTGCCATTCCTGTATATCTAGTTCGGGTTGGCTGGCTTTACCCCTTTGTCCGACTATTCTCTCGTACATTATCGTGGAGAGCCACCGACGAGGCTGAGGGCAGTTTTGATCGTCTCATTACCCCCCTTCTCGACGCTGTTGATCCTCGAGGGACCCTTGACCCCCACGCAAGCCATCATCGCAGCATTCGGATCACCTCGTCAGGGCCGATAGTCATCGATCGACGGCCCGCGGCCCGAAGCCTTTTTTTTTTTTTTTTTTTTTTTCTAGTTTTGGAGACCCACGGCTTCTCGTAGCCCGTCGTTTCACGGCATCTCCCACCGGCCGCTCTTGCCCCCGTCCTTCAGCACGACGCGCAGGCCGCCGACGACCATGCCCTTGTCGACGGCCTTGCACATGTCGTAGACGGTCAGCGCGGCGGCGGCGGCGGCGGTCATGGCCTCCATCTCGACGCCGGTCTTGCCCTCGCACTCGACCGTCGCCTCGACGTTGAGCACCGTCTCGCCGTCGGCGGCGCTCGCCGGCTCGACCTCGACGCCGACGTGCGACAGCAGGATCGGGTGGCACAGCGGGATCAGGTCGGGCGTGCGCTTGGCGGCCATGATGCCCGCGACCCGCGCCGTGCCGAGGACGTCGCCCTTCTTCATCTGCGAGGCGCGGACGAGCCGGAGGGCGAGCGGGGAGGAGAAGGTCACGGTGCACGCGGCCTTGGCGACGCGGGACGTGGCCGTCTTGGAGGCGATGGAGACCATGCGCGCCGAGCCCGTCGTCGGGGCGACGTGGGTGAGGGCCGGAAGGCCACCAGGAGGGTGGCCCCCGTCCTTCTCCTCGCCGTCGCCGTCGCCGTCGTCGTCGGGGGTGGCCCGCCGATGACGCGGGGTCGAGGAGAAGAGCCGGACGGGGTGTCGGAAGGCCGTCGGCGTCAGGGGCGAGAGGTGGGCGGAGACGCCTGCGACGCCCGAGGGACGCCGCCGTAGTAGGGGGTCCGGGAGGTTGATGGGCGGGTTCAGAGGCAGCTGTTGCGACATTCGAGGGACACGAGGCGGGCGGGACGGCTGAAACGGCTGAGAGTCTAAGTAGACTAAGTGTTCAGTCTTCCATCATTTACATGTATTCATATCGTGAGGAACAATATCCCCCCCCTGACCCCTCCTGTCCCACCCGGCCCAAAACATTGCCGACCGACCACCCTTGGTATTTTCCCAACGCCATCCGAATGCGAGAAGGACAACAATAAAAAGAAGATGAAGAAGGACAGCGAATACCCCCGAGGCTTTGAGTCGCGGGGGCGAAAAGAAAAAAAAAGGGGGGGGGGAGGGGGACCGTTTACCCACCTATCAAGATCATGGGCCTATTCTTCATGTGCTCCAGTTCCCCAATGCCCGCGTGCTTCTCTTTCTTGCGCTTGACGGCCATGCCGATGACTTGGAGCAGCTCGGCGTCGTCGAGGGCGGCGCCGAGGGGCTTGGCCGAGTCGGCCAGCCCCCGGCGGCGGTCCATCTCGATCTGCTTCATGGCCTCGAGGGCGGCGTCGTCGATGGGGTCGCCGTTGTTGGACTTGCGCAGGATGTCGCGGAGCGACACCTCGGTGTTGCCGAACAGGCACACCTTGAGGTTGCCGTCGCTCGTGACGCGCAGGCGGTTGCAGGTGCCGCAGAAGTTGTGCGTCATGCTCGTGATGAAGCCGATGCGGCCGGCGAAGCCGGGCACGTGCCACGTCTTGCTCGTGTCGTTCTTGTGGTCGCGGACCTTGGCCAGGGTCGGGTGCTTGGCGCGGATGACGTCGAGCATCTCGGCGTAGCCCAGCATCTTGCCCTTGTTCCACCTGTTGCCGTCGAAGGGCATGTACTCGATGAAGCGGACCTCGACGTCCTCGTCGCGCGTCATGTCGACAAAGGGCAGGATCTCGGCGTCGTTGCGGCCGCGCATGACGACGCAGTTGATCTTGAACTTGACGCCGGCGCCGCGGCGGTTGAGCTCCAGGATGCGGTCGATGCTCTTCTTGACGGCGTCGAAGCCGTTGCGCCGCGTCATGACCTGGAACATGTGCGGGTCCAGGGTGTCGAGGCTCAGGTTGACGCCCGTGAGGCCGGCCTCGACCATGCTGTCGAGCTTGCGGTGGAGGGAGAGCCCGTTGGTCGTCAGGCACAGCTCCCGCAGGCCGCGGGGCCGGAGGGCGCCGATCTGCTGCATGAGCGGCACGATGTCGCGGCGCACCGTCGGCTCGCCGCCGGTCAGGCGGATCTTGTTGACGCCCTGCGACACGAAGACGGAGGACAGGAGCACGATCTCGGGCGTCGTCAGGAGCTCGCTCGTCGGCGACAGCGGCACGCCCTCCTCGGGCATGCAGTACACGCAGCGGAGGTTGCACCGCTCGGTGACGGATATGCGGAGGTAGTCGTGCTGGCGCTGGAAGGTGTCGGTGAGGAAGTCCGAGAAGGGTCTCGCGTCCTCGACGAGACGGCGGCGCCGGGCGAGGGGTTGCTGCCGTTCGGAGTCAGCCGTCCCGTGGGCTGCGGCGGCCGCATTCAGACCCCGCGTCTGCGCCTGGGACCGCGGTGTGCGTGCTGGTGCTGGTCCATATCCGTGTCGTCGTAAAAGCTGCCCGTTGGCGCGCGAGACGGCGCGTGGCCACGAACTGTGCCTCATGGTCGCTCTCATATGAGAGAGGTTGAGGCGAAGAGGCGGGGTGGGTGGCAGGGATGAGAGTGAGAATGAGAATGAGAGTGAGAGTGCGGGAAAGAAGAGAGTACGGTTCACACACTACTCATTCCCATCACTGAGTTGACACACACACACACACACACATACACAAGCAACGGCTAGAGAGAAAAAGAAGAAGAGATTTAAAGCTGGTAAGACGCGGGATTCGAGCTAGGGCTATGACCGGTCATGCTATCACAATGATGAGATGAGTTGGCCATCTCCGAATTCCTAATTGAGAGAGATGTGAATGGCACCGTGAGTCAGCAAAGGCGTGGCGATAGGTGATACCTACCTACCTATCCACGGCGGGGGGAAGATGGCCGCTGAAGTAGGAAGAGACCAGTGCACAGGTCACCGGGCCACGCGGAGTTGAGCGCTGCTTTAGCGGGCCTGGCCTAAGTACCTAGGTACCTAGGTAGCCTGCATGGCGGTCAGTAAGGAGCTGCAGCTGGTCTTGTTGGCGATAATGCCGCCGCGCTGATTGGCCCCGAGTCGTCGGGGTCGTCGTCGTCCAGCCGGCAGACGAGAGGTAGGAGCCCCGCACTAGTCCCGAATAGGCAGCAAGGTAAACAACGATGCGTCGCCGATGCATTTCGGGCTTCTTTGCGACGACGGCTTTTCTTCAAGACTCCGCCGGGATCCCAAGAGAACACTTGCCGCATTCAACTGTACAGCAAAAAGACGCACTTCTTCTTACCTACTCACTACTCGGGTGCTTACGTCGACGGCGGTCGCGCTTACCTTGCCGTCGGGTTGCTTCGATTCGTTGTCTCATACCTTTCCCGAATAGGCCCAGTCAACTCTGCTGCATCGCCATCCATGCAACACCATGTACTTCTCAAGGGTCTTCAAATGTGAGATAAGGCACACTGCCATGACGCCGAACCCGAACCGTACAGAGAGTCTGACCTGAACTTTGCCAGCATCGTCGCACTGCGCGTCGAGTCCCGATGGCAATCTGATTGCAGCCCTGTCTCCAACCAGCATCACCGTGCGATCTGTCGAAACCTTGGAGACGATTCATAGTGTCAAGGTGTCCCCCAAACTCGGCCCCGCCTACGCTCTGCGATGGTCGCCTTGTTCCCGACGAATCCTGGCCTGCTTTGCCGATGAGATCCACGTCTACGCAGCTTCGACCCCGAGCTACCATGCCGTCGTCAGGAACCCGGCAGCCCCCAACTTGAAGCCGACCTTTGTCCAGTTCGGCTCGTCAGATGCCGAAATCTTCATGTGCTCCTCCTACGGACTCAAGTTCTCCATCTTTGACCTGGCAACATCGTCGACAGTCGAGATCAGCAACCCAAAGTTTTACCAAGCTGCGGCTGCCTCGCGGGGCTTCGCCCTGAGGCCCGGTTCAGGCCATCTGGCCATCCTCACCAGAGTGGCCGGCAAAGACATCGTCAGCATCCATCACCCCAGAACGAGAGAGGTGCTTCGGTCCTGGCAGCCCGACACTGCCGACGCCCAAGCCCTGACCTGGACCCCCGACGGCCGCTGGCTCGTCGTCTGGGAGTCTGCAGCCCAGGGGCATAAGATTTTGTTTTACACGCCTGACGGCCACCTCTTCAAGACGTGGCCGGGTCCCTCGTCTACAGAGGCGGAGGATCAGCATTACGAACTCGGCGCCGGCGTGAAGGCCTGCCAACTCAGTCCGGATGGTGCCCGCCTTGCCGTGTGCGATCACACCCGCAGCGTTCGCGTTCTGGATACCAACACTGTCACCGAATCGATGAGGCTCAATCACCCCGTAGCTATCACTCCGAGGGAGACCATTCAGGCAAGTGACACGGCCTTCTATGAAGACGGCTCTTTATACTGATATCAGGAGAGCAGATCTGGCAAGAACAAATCGGCACCGGCCAGCCGGGTCCGCAGCGTTCCTTCTCGAGAGCGACTCAGGCTGTATCCGCCCCCGGCCGGACGAACAACGGAAGTACCGACGCAAAGCCAGCCCGGACCCTAGCCCTGTTTGATGCTTCATCGAGTCTCCTAGCCACGACGTTGGAGGACTGGCCAAGCACTGTTTGGGTTTGGGACCTGGCGTCGTCCGAACTCCGAGCCGTCCTGCTCTTCCACGGCAACGTGTCTGCCTTCAACTGGCATCCGACTCATCGAGAGGTGCTAATGGTGACGTGCGAAGGAGACAGCTATGCAGGCCTGGCGTTCGTCTGGGACCCGCTCTCCGACGGCCCCAAGACTGTGGACTTTGGTGGACAGTTACCGGAGGCAAAAGTCTTGGGAAAACCGCAGGTCTCATGGCTTGACTGGACCGGAGATGCCGCTGTCCTCCTGCTGGGAGATAACAAATACCACATCATGGCGTCACTTGCGGATCCTGAGGAATCGGTGGCTCCCTGGCAGGACGCGCAACGCGGTGATCTGACCATGACCACGGGCAGAGATGAAACCCAGCTGTCAGCACCTGCACTGGACGGCTTCGATGAGGACCTGTCCGGCCTAGACATGTCAGAAGTGGATGACACATTCTCCTTCAAAAGGACATGATGGATTTGCAGCGCCGACATTCCAGCGTTCGAATTATCGCTACACGCCAACCCCCTCAAGCAGCCCGTGTGTAGGCCAGCACCAGCTTTTTGGCTATCGACGGCCCTCCTTTAGGCTTCCGGTTGTCCGCAGGTACCAGCAGCTGGTGCACCCAGGGGCACAGTTAGGGTTCTGTACCGACTATCCGAGTCAGGCTCACGTAAAGGGCCGGGATCAGGAGAGGATGTCGCCATTGCACCTTTATCCTGCAGGCATCCGACGAGGTATCGTCAGTTCCTGGGGGTTGAGATGCCTGCAAAAACGTCGGGATCAACCGCAAAGAGGAGAATTCAACGGATCTCTCAGGTCCAAACAAGGCTGAACATGTTCGCTGAACCTCGACAAGATGTCAAGGCCCTCCGCCAGTCAAGTATCACCCGGCGAACACAAGTCTCCCTGCCATTACCATCGGCTACAGTTCTTGCCCTTACCCGAACCCTAACGAGTCAAACGATGCGGTCAAAGCGATAGCCAACACGACATCCAGTCGGTAATGCTGCTCGCAGCCTTTGGTTAGAACTCCGAAGCCCCCCCTGATCAACGACATATGACCGCAGCAGGCCACAAGATCACTGCTCGTCTCTTCGGGTCAGCAGCTGTGGTGCATCTATAGGCAGGAAGCCGCAACAAAGAATAAGTTGCATCAAGCAAGCCGACTACTCGAACTCCGTGTGGAGAGTGGCAGACCGAACAGATGGGGTCCAATGGGATAGTGCATGGCGCGGGGGGCTATGACTGTTACTTGGTGATTGTCTCCGAGAGGAAGACGGGCATTCGGTAAAAGGCCAATCACTGCTCATCCCGGTTCAGCCCTGGAGACGATGGATGGCATAGACAGCCTGGGCCGCACCACTCCGGTCTTGGCATCTATCCAAGGAGCCATCCGCCGGCAGAAACATGCCCACGATACAGTCGTGGACACACGCCCCGTCCCGATAGAGCGTGCGGCCCTGTTGTCGAGGAAATAGCGCAGCCACTCTCACTGTCGTGGCCAAGTAGAAATGTAGAAGGGGCTTTGGGTGGTGCCCAGGGAACCCGGAATAATCGAGTGAACAACCACAAAATATCAAAGCATTTGACTTATTCCGTCCACGAAAGAAGCAGCCCCCACCCATCCGTGACCCTGTTCTTCTCGAGCGCGTCGGGGCCAAGACGCCGCAATCTTTGCGCCGGATCCCGTCGCCACTGGCATTCCTGAAGCTTGATCCAAGCGGTTTTCTGTACCGTCTCGCCCGGCCAAGGCGAACAGGGATGGACCGGCTTACACGCCACGGGTCGGAAGACGCGAGACCAGGCTCTACGAACCTCTCGCTCCTACTACACTGGCGGCCGAACAAGGCAGTCGCCGCACCGTAAAAGTCGCAAAGGTGGCACGAACGGGCGAGCTGAACGAAACTTCCTGCGTGGTGTAGCTTTCTCTACTTCCGTCTACCGCCCGTCATCTCATACAGACATAAAGAGAGTGCCCGCAGGCCGCTCGCTCTCCTTTCCCCGGCATCGTCCTTCTTCTAATGGTATCCCGTCCTTTTTCCTCTGCCCCCCCCCCAATCATCATGAGACTCAGCCACGATCCTCACCCCCCAAAGTTCATCTTCAGCGCGATGGTCGGCTGGCCCGACGCCTCGGCCTCGGCCGGCTCCGCCTGCCCCTGCTGCCTGCCCCACCGGATCACCTCCTCGAGGAACGCCCTCTGCCCCTCGTTGAGCCCGGCGACGACGGTGCGGAACGCGTTCTGGTCGACCGCCGCGAGCTCCAGCAGCCTCGCCGACGTATCCCGGTAGCAGTCCTCGCCCTCCGACGACGCGCGCGTCAGCAAGGTGGGCAGCACGAGCGCCACGGCGACGGGGACGCGGTCCCGCGGCACGGTGCCCACGTACTGGCTGAGCGAGTGCGCAACCATGGACCGTGCGTTCTCCGGGTCCTCCGGCGCCGTGTTGGAGACGAAGGCGATGAGGCGCGGAAGCAGGTAGCGCGCGATGGTGTGGTCTGCCGGTGTCGATTTGGCTTGCAGCAGGAGGGACCTGATGCAGTTTGCTGCGATTTTGGCGGTCTGTTGCAATGTTAGTCCACATGAGGAGGAAAACTCTCCCGCATCCGAATAAGTTACATACCATGCGATCTGTGAGACAGTCGATCACCTCGTCGAGGTATCTCGCCACCAGAGGATCGTTCGCCGCCAGGTGGTTCGTGCCGCCCGTGAACAGAATGGTGCTCGCCAGCAGGCAGTTCTTGACGCAGATGAGGGACGTTGGCACCTCGCGCTTCTGGGCGTTGAGGTAGATGGAAAGGAATCGGCGCAGGCAGCCCTGCAGTTGAATATCCGTGGGCGACGGTCCCTTGCCGTCCTCGCCGCCGCTACCTGCCCTGCGGGATTTCGTCATGCTCCCGACAAAGCGCTTGAGCGTGGGCAAGGACTGGGGCACAATCACCTCCTGGCACCCCGGCGTAGCGAGAATGGTGGCCAGGATGTGAATGATGCAAGCATGGAGGTCCGTCTTGATGATGGAGGGGAAGACCTCAGCCGCGTCGACGAGCGCGTTCAGGGACGATCGAATGAGCAGTATGGCCTCTTCCGTCATCTGGTGGCGGACGGGCTGGTTCGCCTCGGCGAGGTTGGGCAGGAGGCCCGCGAGCACGAGGACGATGATGCGTGTGAGCTCGAACAGCTGGTCGATATCGTCGGAAAGGTCGCCGTCGTCGCCAGAGTCCTTCTTGCGGGCCGACGGGTGGGAGACGCAGAGCGCCCTTGCAATCTCGACAATGACGCCTTGAACGTCGAGCCCCTCTGTCAACACCAGCCGGTCGAGCAAGTCCATGGTCTCTGAGAAGATGGCTTCTCTGTAGATGGCATGGCCGGAGACGCTGGGGTGGAGGATCTTCTTGAGGGCCTGCAGGATGGCAAGGTTCTGCTCTTGGGTAGCCAGCGAGTCGCTCTGGCCAGGACGCGTGGCCAAGGCCTCGAACGCGATACCAAAGAGAACGAAGAAGAATGCGACGGGCTCGTCGCGGTAGTTGATGTCAGGCCCCTTGGTGTGACCGTTGGTGCTCAGCCCTTCAGACTCCTTCCCGTCCAGGGCGTCAAAAACGAACTCGCTATCTTGCTCAATCAGGCTGGCAATGGCGTCGACAAGCTTGAGCCACGACTCTTGGTAGAACTTGAGCAGAGTCTCCCGGTTCAGCGCCGCATAGATGGTGTCGAGACTACCAGACAACGACGGGGGCCCCAGCGTCATCGAGATGTCGGGTTCGAAGCGCAGACGAGCAAATTCCCGTAGGGACTCGAGCCACAGCGGCGTCAACGTTCCAATGTGCGGCTTCAACACGTCGAGCAGGTACTTCTGCTCGGAGCTGGCAACCTGCAGCTCCGCCCAAGCCGAAAACACCGACATCTTGACCATGACTTGGGCGTTGGAGCTAAGACCTTTGAGATCACCGATCCCGACGTTCTCATCCTCTTTGGAGAAGTTCTCGAGCGCGGAGACCAGGGTCTTGAGGATGCGGCCCATCCTGTCGATATCCGTGACGATGCCCGTCGAGATGAAGCCAGCGCAGACATTAACCGCTTCAGAAGCCAGCTCGGGGGACGAGTCCGCAGCAAAGGCGGGCGTGAGCGCCGAACTGATTTGGGCCTGGTACTGCTCCAGAAGCATGGCCTCGTCAAAGTCTGGGTCCGGTGTCCTCCCAAACATCTTGAGGAGTGCTCCGATAATCTTGAGGCCCCACACGCGCAGCTCCAGGACACTAGACGTCGATGCGGAGAAGGCCATGCGGACAACATCGCCAATCTTGTTCTGAAGCGCCAGCTGGGCGGCGGACTCACCGTTCGTCATCACATCCTTCGCAATCAGGGCGAACATGTCGTTGATGCAGCTAATGGCAAACGTCGTCACCTGCCATCGCAGAGGCTCGACCTCGGACGCGGCCTTGTTGTCTGGGTCGTCTTTGGCAGTGCCGGCGAAGCCAGCGACTTCTTCATCTTGCAGATCGGGCATTCCACCCGACTTCTTGGTCGCGGCGTCCGACTCTTCCTTCGCCTTGACCCTAGTCATTTTCAGTACGTTCTGGAACCTTTGAAGCCACAGAGCAGTGTCGGTTAGACACGTCTGGCGCATCCAGTTCCTGATGATGTTTCTGATACCGTCATGTGTCGGTGCAGTGTCCAGGACCAGCCACAACTGTTCCTCAAGGCCCTTCTCTGCGGCATTGATCACGTCATTGGGATCCCTCTTCATAATGTTGTACAAGCCGTCGACAGCAACGTCGCGCAATATAGGAATCTCTGACTTGAGGTACTTCTGGAGCAGCCTGACATACTCCTCAAAGTTCATGTAGCCAGGTGCGTATAGGGACAGGTGCTCGAGACAGCTCAAAGCGGCTCGTTGCACCAGCAAGTCGTCCTCTTCTTGTAGCTGGTTGACAAGGTTGAGGATAAGCTCCCGTGACTTGGTGGAATCTTGCAAGTCAGGGCCGAGCACGTTGATAAGGGAGTCGACGCATCGCGTGATGGCTGCTGAAGTCGACAACTCCATCTCAAGGTTCATAGTGATAGCGGACGAGATCTCAGGGTGGTGCGTGTCGGAGACGTACAGCTGGGCCAGCATTCCGAGCGTGCTGGGCACGTACCCCGCGAAACTCAGACCAGCAGCATCCGATGCCAAAGCCAGCGCCTCCAGCGCCCAAAAGTGGACAGTAGGGTGGGGGTCGTTGCACAAGGACATCAAAATGCCGAGAATCGTCTTTAGGTGGTAGCCCGCGGCCATACCGCCGACCTTGGTTTGGATGGAACCCAGTGCCATGGCGCAACCCGCGCGGGCGCTCGGCTCGCGGTTGCTCACGATGGTGTCGACGAGGTACTTGATTTCGTGGTTGGTGAAGGCGTTGCCGCAAGCATTGCAGAGTCTCGCCACGGCAGCATAACCGACGCTCCGGACGTACTGATCCCCATCAATGACGAAGTCTCTCAGCATGTCCTGCAGGAGCCTCTCCACGGCAAGGTTCGTGACATTGCCTGGAGATGACTGGGTCTCCCTGACGGCCACGCGCAGCGTCGACAGAACTGCGACCGAAACGTTGACATTGATGGCTGCCTTCCTTCCAGGATCTCTCAGCAGGGTGCCCGCCGACATGAACGTCCTGACCTGTTCCAGAACGCTCTCCTGTACCTTGGGAGGCGTGAGGGGGAAGACGAAGGCAAACAATTGGATGGCCATGTTGATGACCTCGGTGGCCGGGGGATCGGGGTTCATCGGCTCCGAGGCGGTGTCGCCGACGTACAGGAGAGATGCGTCGTGTTCCAAGGAGCCGCACACTGGCGACAACAACAGCCTGTCTATCGTCTCCTCGGGACTGTCCGTCTCTACCGGCGTCCCTTCTATCAAGTTATCCTGCTGTCCCGGCAGGCCCTTGATTTTGAAACCAGAAATCAGTCCAGTGATGCCGAATCCCGAATTGTCGCCCACGTCCCAGACAGTCTCGAACGTGGCTGCAGCGTTCGCGATGGACGCGCTGAGGGAGTTGGCCGAGTAGTTTTCCGGGTCCGCGAAAAGTGATATGGCGATCGTGAGAAGGTTGGACTGGAGCAGGGCCTCGCTGCCGCCGGCCGGACTGAGGTTGACCAACTTGATGTAGCACTGAAGAACGCGGCGCTGGACCATCATGTCAAGATCATGCAGCTGCAACGCCGGCGTCAGTCTCTGCGCCACGTCGTCGGTGATCTTCTTCGAGGGCAGTGTTTTCAAGAAGGCCGACGTGTTCTGGAGCATCGTGGCTATGCGTTTGGAAACGTCAACCGTCAAGAGTCGGTTGTTAAACTGCAGGAATGACAGGATAGATCCCAAGGCGCATTCCCTGACGTGCGTCAGGAACGAAGCCTCCAGGAAGCTCCGGTGCGCGGTGTTGTCTTTCGATAGCGGCTTCGGTAGCGCGTTCTTCCAAAGCAGAAGCAATTGCGAAAGGTGAATCTTGACAAAGTTGGGCCCAAGGGACATCAGACCTCCGATCAGAATCCACGCGACCTGGATCTGGGTGCTCGAGACCCTCAGCTCAGACTGCCCACTCGACTTCAGCAGGTTCGTAGCCATGGTCAAGACGCGGCTGTTGATGTCAACGGAGCCATGTAAAGGCCGCGCGGGGCTGGCACTGAGCGTTGCCGCCAGGCCATGGGCAAACCCAACGCATCGTCGAGGAGAGTTCCGCCCGCTGGTGAGCAGTGACAGCTCGCGGCTCAGGCTGTTCATGCACACAGACAAGCACGGAAGGAGCTGCTGCGGGCAGGCTAGGACGAAGGCCTTCATACATGCTGAAGCATGGACCTGAACCGAGTAGCTGGGGTGCTGCAGGACCTGGAGAAGACCGTCTCGGCAGGACTCTGCAAAATTGTTCGCCGCAGAACCCAGGTCGTTGACCAGCGACGACGCCGCGCCGAGGGCCGCAATAAGGGTGTGCTTCGACGGCTCCGGGCGCTCAGTAAGAGCCTGAGGGTAGTTCTTAAGTACGTCGCTGATGATCGACTTGGTCGCTGTCGTCTGACCAGACTCGCCCAGGATCTTCTTGCCAACGATCTCCTGGAGGATCGTGTCGACGATGCGCCGCGAAATGAGAAGACGGTACCGATTGTTGAAAATGTTGGGGTGCCCCAGCAAGTCTACGGTCAGATTCTCGAGAATTCTGAGGTAGTTCGTCTCAACCGTCTTCTCACCAAGCTTCCGGAGGACCTTGCCGTAGCAGACACCGATGGCCGCCCTCGCCTTGTTGGATGTCGGCATTTTGGTGTATTGCGTAGAAAGAACCTTGAGGATCTCCGTGAGCGAGAGCGCGAGGTCCTGCGTCCTTTTTCCGCCCGGCGCGGGGCTGCCGGGCCGCGACGTTGGCAGGTCGTCCTCGTCGGCGACCATGCTGGCCTGGGTCCCTGTGCGCTTGGGGGGTTTCTTTGAGAATCTCTTGGACGCCTTCGAAGCCAGCGGGGCGGCGCCGTCCGCGACACCCGTCTCAGAGTAACCCCGCACCATGGCCTCGGCGAGAGCTTCCGCAGCTGCATGTCTCACCTGCGACGAGTTCGAGTCGATGACCTTGAAAATGGCGGCCTGGAGCTTCTCAAAATCGCTCGAGTTCTCAAAGTAGGCCGTGTGCCGAACCAGCGCCCTCAGGCAGCGGCACGCCGACACGACGACAAGCGAGCCCTTGTCGCTCGTGGCGTAGCTGCGCGACTGCTTAAAGATGTCTCTGGCAACGTTCTCATCCACGCTTCCCTCCACCATCTTGACGACCTTGCTCAGGGACCCGAAGACGGCGGCGCGGAGACCGGCGTTGTTGGACGACGACTTGAGCAGCTTGACGAGGGTGGCGCAGACCAGCTGGTGCAGGCCGATGGCGCTGTCACCAGCGGAGGAATAAACATCACCCAGGCACACGACAGCGGCATGCTTCGTACGGGGGCCGGTATCGGTCTTGGACTTGGCGCCGGAAATGATGCCGACGAGGTCGTTGATGGTCTCGAAGAGAAGCTTCCTGTCGCCGTGGCCGAAGATGTGGGCGAGGCACTTGCCGAGGTCATTCCTGACGACACGGCTCGGCTGCGGCGAGGGCAGGTTGATGATCTGGAAGATCTCCTTCTTGAGGTAGAACTGCTGGGCAGTGCAGTCGTCGGCGGGGAGGCTGAGAACATGCTTGGACAGGGTCGAGACAAAGGTCAGGAGAAAGAGCTCCTGCTGTTCGGCGGGGAGGGATTGAAGCTTGGATACATCGAGCTCGGGGGTTGTGGTCGCTAACGAGTCCGCGGTGGCGGCGTAGGGGGAAGCTGATGCTGGCCGTGGCGGTAGCCCAGATGCAGCTGTCGATGGTCTGGGCGAGGGTGCTGCTGATCTCGCTGTTTGCGCGGGGTCCCCATTGGAGCCATTGGGGGCTCCTGTCGACGACATGGGGGACGGCGGGGGATGCGTATATGCAGTGATTACGCCGTCGAGCGCACACACGGGTTGGTTGTGATGTCGAACAGCGGTTTTGTCCTGTTCGTCGGATGTGTTGTTGAAAGGTGGGCGGGATGTGATATTGGGGACAGGTTGAGGGACATGACAGGCATGCGGTCAGGTACGGGACGATTTAAGGTAAGCCCAGGCAATTAGGGGGGGCGGCTGGCCCCTCGGCGAACAAGCCCAAGCTCTTGGGGGAGGAAGAGCTCATGGTATTACTGCATCCACCCGCTGTGGCTTAAGCCTGGTGCGACGGGTACGCTGTAACCGAACAACGAGCCACACATCAGCCACTCCCGTTCAAATTTGAAGCTTCGAGCTCCCAGTCGCGGCCGGCCATGTCACATAAAATGACCCGGCAGAAACATGACATGACTGACCTAACCAGAAGAGGCCCTTGAAGCTCCAATTCCCTCGCCGCCGAAATCACAGACACACACCACCGCTCCCGAGACCCTTTACCGCACATCCTACCTATCCACCACGGCCATGCGCCCGCTCGCCTCAGGCTCCCTTCGGAGCATCGCATCGAGCATCACCGCCGCTTCCAGACCTCGAGCCCAGCCCGCCTTCTGCCACCAATGCCTCCGTCAGCTATCGACGACGGCCGCCGCGGCGAGCGGGCATAACAAGTGGTCCAAGATCAAGCACAGGAAGGGCGCCGCAGATGCGCAGAAGAATAGCATGCGCAGCCAGCACTCCAAGACGATCGCCCTCTACTCACGACGTGCGCCCCCCCCCCCCCTTTCCCACTGCTCTGGCGTCACTGAAGCGAGCGCATCCAAAGGCTGACATACAAGCCTCTCCTTATATAGTATACGGGACCAACGACAATCCTCAACTAGCCACAGCGATCGCGAACGCAAAGAAATGTACCTGACCTCCCAACAGCCGAACCCCCCCTCCTCCCTTTCGAAACCACATACAACAGAAACTAACCGCAATCACCCCAACCGCCAGCCGGCGTCCCCAAGAACGTGATCGATTCCGCGATAGCCCGCGGCCAGGGGCGCACCGCCTCGGGCGCCTCCCTCGAGACGCTGACCCTCGAGGCCATCCTGCCGCCCGGCGTCGCCCTCATCATCGAGGCCGAGACAGAGAGCAAGGCCCGCAGCCTGCAGGACCTCAAGGTGCTGATCAAGAAGCACAAGGGCGCGGCCAACACGGCGACCTTCTTCTTCACGCGCCTCGGCCGGGTCGTCTTCGAGGCCAGGGAGGGCGGGCCGGGCATCGACGACATCATGGACGACGCCATCGAGGCGGGCGCCGAGGACCTGGAGACCGACGACGAGGGCAACCTCGTCGTCTGGACGCAGCCCAACATGACCAACGCGGTCGCCAGCGGCGTGGGCCCCAAGTTCGAGCTGAAGCTGCTCGGCTCCGACATCATCTGGTCTGCCAACGAGGACACCAAGGTCAAGCTCGACGAGGGGCCCGAGGCCTCGACTCTCGGTGAGCTGCTGGCCGCGCTGCAGGAGCTCCCCGAGGTGCAGGCCGTGTACGGCAACCCCTCCAGGGGGAACATACCCGAGGAGGAATGGGCCAGGATCGAGGAGAACCTGGACTCCTAAGCGATAGGATAACGATCAGCCTCGGATATAATGAGATGTTGGATATTGGGACGAGCAGTATCGTCAGGGTCCTTCTTCCCCCTTCCCGCCCCCCTTTTATTGTACAACATGTAGAAACAGATAAATAATACAACCGCGCAATGGCAGCTCCGAGAGGAGGCGATGCCTGGGTGCAGCCGGAGAGTCCGGGGGACAACCCAACCCAACCCCTGACAGTAAGGCCCCCCCCCCCCCCCCCCCCCCTTCTGCCCAAAACGCCGCGTCCATCGCACGACAGTTTCCCAGAGCCAGATGATGATATTTTTGACCGCCAAACGCCCAATATGATACAGCGCGCGCGCACCTCCCTCGCGACGAGGCCCTCACTCGACCGCCTCCTCCGGCATCCCAGTGTCGCAGAATACTCGCTCGGCTCGCCGGGTCTCGTGCCGGTCCCTCCCCCCCTCGACCTTCCTTCCGCCGTCACGGACAGCGCCCGTATCCTCACGACTGCTGCTCGTTCGACGAGGGCGGGTTCCGCGCCGCCTGCGCCGCGTCCCTCTCCCTTCGCATCTCGTCCAGGGCCCGCTGCCGCCTCGCCAGCCGCACGTACTCGGACTTGATCTCGTCGCGGTCGAACGGGATCTTGTGCGAGTGCTCCGCCTTGGGCCAGAAGTCGGGCACCGCGAAGCGGTTGTCGAGGTTCGTGCCGAAGTAGTACATGACGCCGATTGGGAACATGACATACATGCCGAACTGTGCGCGCCCGGAGCATTAGAGATCAGCCCACACGGTCACCAGTACCATGTTCGCCCGCAGGTGGTATTGCACCCGGGAGAAAAAGTAGGAAGGAAAAAAAAAAACCCCCCGGAAGAGCACACCGTACGTACCTTGAAGACTTCGAGATTGAGACCGCCCATATTAGATGCGTTGCGCTAGCTGGTTATGGGTGGTGGTTGCTATTGTGCGTCGTTTGAATCAATGACGATGGAGATGGCATCGGACGTTTTGCAACGTCGGATTGAGATGGTAGGTCTTCGCCGCCCACTGCACTGCATGCCACCGATCGAGAATCACCTACGTGATTGGACGCACCCCAGGCGGAGCACAGTTCCATTGGATGGGTAGCCCGGAGGCTCGGCGCAGGTTTTTTCCACGTGCTCTGGGGTTTAGTGTGGGGTCACGCAACACCCCGAGCTGACTGAGCCCCGATGGGACAGCCGACGACAACTTGTCAGTGTATGTGCGTGTGTGCGTGTGTGGTACGACTACATCCGTGCCGGACCAACACGATATTGCGAAGCGATCCTCTCTCTCTCTGGCCCATGAACCGTTGGTTTAATTGTTTTTGAAAAACTACTATGATGCAGGTATGCCATGTACGAATGATGCTTTCCACCCGCCAGCCAAGACTCCCCAAACCGTACCGCCCAGTTGACCAGCCACCATGCCTCTGAACGCCGAAGCATGATCTATGTACAGACTTCTGGGCCTCTAACCATGGCCCATACCCGTATCATACACATGAAATTTGTTGTTCACGCTGCCGTACGCCGCTTATGAGTGCGGACGCTGCGCTGCTGCCCGCATCTGGCTCTGTGCTTCTTCCATCATCATCCGTTCCGTCAAGCTTCGGGGTGTCCCAGAGAACAGCACCTGCCCGATGCTGGCACGATAGCTGTTCAGGTCGCCGTCATCGACGCCGCTGCTCCCGTCCAACCCTCCGATAAAGGTGCTGACATCGCCAAGCGAGGCCGCTTGCTGGTAGACGTCGGGGTTTTTGACAATCGGCATCGTGACAGGGCGGCCTTTGAACGAACCCACCGACCCTGAAATTAGGTGCGCAGGGATCGCCGGCTCTGGCGCCCTGGGGATCGATACAGCGGGCGACGTCGAATACAGTTTTGGCGCCGCCGGCTCGTTCGTATCTTTCTTTTCGTCGCCCTCGTCCTCATCTTCGTCCTCCTCCTGAATTGGCGCCGGCCGAGTACGAGGCTTCGGGGGCGCACTGAGTCCCTCAAAGTGGAACAGTTCCTCTCCGTCGTCATCGTCATCCGAGTCCCTTTGCTCTATAGGGGACTTGATTTCGTTGAGCGACCCTGTCTTGTCCTGGGTCGGGCTATACAGAACGGGTGCCATTCTTGTCGGTGAGCGCGACAGTGGTGAAAGGATGGCTTTCTTGTTAGCAAAGGACTTTGGCTTGGCCATAGCTAGGAATTCGTCGTCAGAGGAGCTGTCGTCGTCTTCGTTTTTGTTGTTGTCCCTCTGCCTGTCTACCGCCGCTGGAGAGAGGGGGCTCGAGGTCTCCGGGGTTGGTTCGTGCTCTAACGCAGCGGTTTTTTGGGGGGGTTGCGGCTTTGGTGCAGACTGGGGGATATCGTTCGTTTGCAATGATGTCTCGGAGTCCGACGTCGCCAGGCTTCCATTCTCTCTCTCCAGGGCATCAGGGTTTACGACGGTCCAGACAGTGTTCGAATCCAGAGGGGCGCGAGACAGGGCACGAAGGGCCTGGGAGGAAGACACCTTCTTGGGGGGCGGCCCGCTGTCCTCGCCAGGGCCCAATATGGACTCGACACTCATTGGGTCATCTTCCGGCGGAGGGGGTGACCTTGAGTTGGCGAGCGTGTGCGAAAGCACCAGCGACGGCTCTGACGAATGGGGCGAGGCTGTGGGCAGCACCTCTCCTCCCTCGAACTCGAAACGCACTCGCCTGGGACTGGGCGGGGGCTTGGATCCGCTCGAGGCCCTGCGCAGGGCGCTGCGGCGCACCTTGGAATCACTCTGCTCCGATGCGCCAGAGGAGGTCGTGTCGTCGGTCGCACGGCGTTCGTGGTTCGGTCGGTTGGGCGTCTGGGTTGCGGCAGCGGACACCTGAACGGCAGGCTGCAACTCCCCCGGCTGTCCGGACTTGTACCGACCCATGTCGTCGTCGGTAGCAGGCTTGGGCGTCGGCGAGAGGGTTGGCGAGGGGTTTGCTGGTGCTGGCGACACGTGTGAGCCGTCGAGCAGGGGCAGGTAGCTCGGGGTGAAGAGACCGTGGAAATCCCTATCCCTTTCCCGGTCGTAGGCGGTGTCGGGAGAGGTCAGGACAGCAGTACCGGCATGGGGGAGAACGGATGGAGGCGTAGACTTGGGGGACGGCGACGGAGGAGGATAGCGGGGCCCACCGGGGTTGCTATGGGTTTCGGTGAGGTTACCGGCGTGATCGGTAGTGGGCGGCGGTGGCGGTGAGTCAAGCGAGTCTCGTGGTGAGACGAGGGCGGGACGCAGCGCGGGATAGTTATCGAAGGAGGCGGCGACAGCGCGATCGACATCGGCAGATACGTCGTGTGGGACGTTTTTGAGAAGCTGGTGCGAGTATCTATAGAACTCGGCGGCCATGTCTTGGCGGTAAGCTGCAACCTTATGGTCGAGGTCGGCTAGCTTCTGATGCAGGTCTCCAATGAGCCTCGTGGTATCGCCCATGTCCACCATGTCTGTCGCTTGAGGGCGGCAGAGGCAGTAACACAGCGACTGACAGCGGTAGCGGCAGCGGCGACTAGGGGAGGCAGGTGAGCGAGGGTTTGGGGATCGGGGCGAGCAGGTGGTGGTGGGCCAATGGGTTCCTGGGCATAGGCATGACGCAGGGCGTTAGAGGGAAAGGGAGCCCGCCGCGGCGAATTGGTCGGCGGCGTCCAATGTTTGTTCGATTTACGGTTGCGGCCAGACCAAAGATACCGACAAGGCAGGGGCGTACAGTACAGGGTTGGGGGTGGGCGGCTGTACGGCGGGAAGAAATGAGAGGCTCGGATTGCAGAGCCAGGCGTCGCCTGTGAATTGAGATGGGGCTGGGATGTTTCTCTGACTGTCTTGTCTCCCCTCAATGTCTCTTGTTGTGCTTTCCCCGCGGATGGGTGATCAGGTCGAGGACCCGGGGGTGTGGACGGATGGATAGTCTTGGAATCAGGCCAGGTCAAACTCGGAGGCGTGAGCAAGACAAGACTCGAATAGGACAAGATCTGGGCAGATCGAGACAGGTCAGGTCGATCTAAGCACGGCCGGAGAGGTACGGCAAGATGGAGGGTAATAATAATAAAATAATAATAAAAATAAAAAAGGGCAAAAATGCGGGAGTTTGCACAGACCGGACTAAGAATGTGTGTGTGTGTGTGTGTGTGTGTGTGTGTGTGTATGTGTGTGAGTGTGTGTGTGAGTGAGTGTGTGTGTGGTCGGTCCAAGTTGGCCGATGTGCGATGTGGGTTTATTTTTTCGGTGGTGCAGGACGGGGCGGGTATCTCTGCGCCTCACGTACGACCGTTGTGTACATTAGCGATACGACGCGGCCGGTACCTGGGATGCAGTGGGATGGTGGGAGGGGGGAGGCCTAGAACACCCTAAAGATGGTGTCCCCGATCCCCACTGTCTGGACTTTGGGTCAGATGCATGGTTCACCATCGAGGACTCGCTGCGACTCCAATGGAATGTTTTTCTTCGGGGGGGGGGGGCACGGGGGTTGCCGATGGAAACTCGGGGGTGGGCGCTGTAAGGCAGGCAATGATAGGTACCTATTATAGGTGGTAGGTAGTGTACGATACGTACCGGGACTGGCTTGCCAAGGAAAGCACGGGCGGCCCCTCCTCTTCCCCTCCCCTCTCTCCTCCTTCCTCCTTGCCCCCTCCCTTCTGAGACCGAGAAAGAGCCAAGATGGAAGGAAAGGGCAGAGACCATTTAGTGCACTGTACAAAGGAGAAAGTGAGGACTGTGCAAGGATCATAATTTCGGTTCTTTTCCAAGTCGTTTACGCATGCAATGAATGCATCCTGGCAATATCTCCTTCCACATCCAGCATACGATTGCTAGCCGCATCGTTTGTGGGCATATCTATCTCATTTCTCTCCATGGATGGGGGGGGGGACGGAGGGGTATCATGTCACCAAGACATGGGGACTAATTGGACAACCGCACACGCCTCTCTTTCTCTCTCTCTCTCTCTTCGACGGACCTCGGATGCCTTCCAGCCAGCATCCAGCAATGCCCTGACTGACTACTTCGCGCTCGCCGTGCCTGGTTCCATTGCAATGGCAAATCTTACCGAATCCTACAACAACATGGAGCCTGCCGTCGTGCTCATGCATCTCGCGGCGGCCATGTCCTTTCGGGTATCGATGGGGGGCTTCAACACTCGCCGGACGACCCGTCGAATGGCTTCTTGGAAATGGCACGTGAGCGTTGTCCTGGGGAACA